GACAGGCCAGTGACGGTGGTGACAAGCAGGCCCGACCCCGAGGTGTTGTGCTGAGTAAAGCTTCGACAGTGAAGAACAGACTGAGGATCTTTGGAGCAGCATCAAAACACACTGGCCGCTATGCCTATTCAGGGATAACGCGGCAGGGTCGGTCAGGTGACTATGAGGGCCTGCAATTCCGGGCATCCACAGGCAGCAGCTGATCTCGTCATGCCAACCACCTCGCATCTTGCGTCTCCGTTTGTCTTCCCGCTCCATCACCCGCCGTTTACTTGAAGCGTCATCATGTCTTTCGATCGCCTCAACTCCCTTGAGGCCCAGCCTACCACCTTCCGCCGATCGGACGACCCGCAGTATCGCGATGACCCCGACTTCGACCGTCTCGCTGAGACCCTCTCGAACCAACTGTTTACCCTGACCAGCAACATCACTAGACTCTCTGAACAGGTTGCTCTTATTGGAACCAAGCGCGATACGGAGCGAGTGCGCGAACGGATTCACAATCTACTAGAGGAGACGCGTACGGGGTTCAAGGACGCCGGAGAAGAAATCAAGAAGCTCCAGACATGGGAGGAGGTCAATGTATGTTTATCTTCCCTTTTGGTACTCGTCCTCGATGGCTCTGACATACCCTTTAGCCCTCTCAAAAATGGACGCAGCAGAAGCTGTCCACCGAGTTCAAGGCCTCCCTGGATGAATTCCAGACGGTGCAGCGTCGCGCACTGGAGAAGCAGCGATCGGCAGTCGCTGCTCGCGCTGCAACGGAAGACGGCGGACACCCATCCGGCCCTGGCGAGTCGCAACAACAGGACCTGCTACTCGAGCAGCGGTCGCAGCTGGCCAACCAGGATGAAGTGGATTTCCAAGAGACGCTGATCATTGAGCGCGAGGCCGAGATCCGCAATATCGAGCAGAGCGTCGGCGAATTGAACGAATTGTTCCGGGATGTTGCACACATCGTCCATGAACAAGGCGGCCAGCTGGATATCGTCAGCGAGAACGTTGAAAACGTCACTCAGGACACCCGGGGCGCGAATACCGAGCTCCGTTCAGCCCATCGGTATCAGAAGCAGGCTCGCAATAAAGCGTGCTGCCTACTCGTCATTCTTGCCGTTATTCTGGCTATCATTGTGCTCGCCGTTGTCCTCGGATAGACGGGTACTTAGAGCTGGCTCCTGGTTTGATTTTACGGTCTGCTGCTTTACCCCTGGTCATGTTTTTGCACGATATCCCCGATGCCCCACGATGCTCGCATGGGCATCCTTCATGTTTTCCTTGCTGTTTGGCGTCTTTGGAATGGAGAACGGGTGATCTTTATTTGTCTGCTTCCCGGTCCGTCAGGACAATATCGTACATAGCTCTTGTTATACATGCATTATACATTGAATGATTCCAGCCCCCGGTTTCAGGGAACCGCCTGTTATAGGCCAGTAAACCGGTTGAATCTCATCCGCCACCCTTCATAGCTGTTGAGTTTCGGCCGAACATCCAAATAGAAGCTGAGTTTGTCTGGTCCCGCATTGGCTGCCAGTCCCGACGGGCCGCCATTGCCCGCGGATTTGCCTTGATAGAAATCAATCACGTACTCAACTTTATCTCCACCACATCGCTCCACAACCCAGTCATGTCGATCGAACGGCCGCTGGTAGCCAAGCCATCCATTGACCCGCGCGCGGGGGCTCAAGAACTGTGGCTCCACTCCAAGTCCTCGGAACGAAAACAACTTCGGTCCTCCGCACTTCTTGCTGCCCGGATCTGTAGATGGAGCCTTGGCCTCCCATTCCAGAATCTGCTTCCAGGCGCGCTCGTTGACGGCATTGTGGATGGGAATAATAGAAGCTACCGATGTAGCCAGTTCCGAGGCAGACGAGGCAGAGGCAGGCGTGTTGCCTTTGCGCATCAACGCCTCGAAGAACTGTTTCTCGGACGGGTAGATCCAGTTGCCTGTCGCCTCATCCTTGCCCGTTTCGGATTCGGCATTGGACGGGCTGCCGTGCGAGGCTGCGTATGGGGAAGGTGCGTAGGGAGATGGTGCGCCTTTGTTGCCTTCTGGACATAGTCCTGCGGCGGTGTCTCCAGCTCGAGGGATGGAGCTCACTTCTCGGTCTGCGGATAGAGGGCGATGTGATTTTGTCCCTGGTCGTTGACTTTGTTCGGAGGCTGCTGCATCGGGGGCTGGCGGATGTGGTGAGTCGGAGCCCCGGTGCTGCTGCAACCAGACCTCTCGAGTTTTGTGATCAACTGGACACGACCCGTTTGGTGTCTCTGGAGAAGGAGTGCTTGCCCCGGCCCCCATGTTGAGGTGAGTTGTTTGTAGTTAGTTGGACAGTTGTAGATCGATCGGCCGGAGACAAATTTGCCTTCACCGCCCAGATCAACATTCGCACTTCCTCCTCGGCCTCCTTTCTTATTTACCCCTCCAACACACTACACTGGATCAATCAATGGCGTCCGATTCTAGCAAGCCCGTTTACCGGGCCACTACTACTGCTCCGGTCAACATTGCTGTCATCAAGTAAGTCAATCATCACACTATGTCCCTCATCATCTCACCGTCCAATCCCCTCCTGACTTGGTCTTTCACAGGTACTGGGGCAAGCGCGATGTCACGCTCAACCTGCCGACCAATCCCTCTCTCTCGGTGACCCTCTCTCAGCGTTCTCTTCGCACCCTGACTACCGCCTCCTGCTCGGCCAAGTACCCCAAGGACGACACCCTCAGTCTCAACGGCAAGCCGCAGGATATTTCCTCCTCGAAGCGCACTCTCGCCTGTCTTTCCAATTTGCGATCCCTCCGTCAGGAAATCGAGGCCGCCGATTCCTCGCTTCCAAAACTCTCTGCCCTCCCTCTCCGGATCGTGTCCGAGAACAACTTCCCTACCGCGGCGGGTCTTGCGAGCTCGGCTGCCGGTTTCGCGGCTCTTGTTCGTGCCGTTGCCGATCTCTACCAATTGCCTCAGTCTCCCACCGAGTTGAGCCGGATTGCCCGTCAGGGGTCAGGCTCAGCATGTCGGTCTCTCATGGGCGGTTACGTCGCATGGCGCAGCGGCGATCTTGCAGACGGTAGCGACAGTCTGGCCGAGGAGGTCGCGCCAGCTTCCCACTGGCCGGAGATGCGGGCGTTGGTTCTGGTTGTCAGCGCGGAGAAGAAGGATGTTCCCAGCACAGAGGGAATGCAGACCACCGTGGGCACCTCGGAGCTCTTCGCTAGGAGAGTCGAGTCCGTCGTGCCCGAGCGTATGGCTGCCATTGAGGCCGCTATCAGGGACCGGGACTTCCCCAAGTTTGCCGAGATCACTATGCGCGACTCCAACACGTTCCACGCTACCTGCCTGGACTCGTGGCCCCCGATTTTCTACATGAATGACGTTTCCCGCGCCGCTGTGCGTCTGGTCCACGATATCAACCGTGCGGTTGGTCGCACGGTTTGCGCATACACCTTTGACGCAGGCCCGAATGCCGTGATCTACTACGAGGAGAAGGACTCCGCGCTCGTCGCCGGCACGGCCAAGGCCATTCTTGGCTCGGAGACTGAGGGCTGGGGCGGCCCCTTCTACGAGACTTTGGCCAACGTCACCGCTCCGGGCGTTGAGCTGGAGAAGATTGACACCCGCGTCTTGAGCACACTCAAGGATGGTGTGAGCCGGGTCATTCTGACCGGTGTCGGTGAAGGACCTATTAGTGTTCAAGACCATCTTGTGAGCGAGACCGGTGAGATCATCACCAACTAAAAGATATCCGACAGCTTGAAAGATACCCCCTCCTACGTTACTTTTGCGCAGGACCGAGTCATTGCTCTCAGCCTCGCAAACGATGCAGAATTTTCTTTCATTGTATATTCTGGATAGTTTTCTTCTCTTCCTTCAGTAGACAATCCCATTGCCGCTTTCCTTTAGAGGTTATGAGCCCGGACAACTACTCGTCGCCGGGCCTCTTCTTATTAAGAGCTATCACCCCCACTCTACTTTCTTTGCGTTTCGTTCGCTAGGTCCAGTCCTAGCAGGGATATTGCCATTTTTCTCTCACGTAGCATAAGAACTGATGGTTTTAATTTTACTAATTTCATTCTGGAATCCGCTTCCTAAGCTACTAGCAGGCTCTAAGTCCAGCTAGGGCAACTCTCAATGTCCATTTCTCAACACTCCGCACAGTCATCACACCGTTTGAACCCATACCCAAGGTCTCTACACATATTAATGAACCGCGATTGTTGCCTCCCGCTGTGGACACAGCAACCTGTAAACCCACATCCATAGACCCCGTATCGAGCACCGATTGCATCACAGGCCGTTCTAGAGTGTTCAGTTCCTCCATTGCAAGCGCACTTGATAGCCTGTACTGAGGTAAAGGCGCCGAATGCTAACAGGAAGGTGGTGAAAATATTTGGTAGGTACATGGTCTGACACATGAGATTCAATTTCGATGGTAAGTGTGGATCAACTTACTATGCCTTGCGAGAGACTGGACGTTATTATCTATCTTAGATGTGGGACTCCCCGTCTCAGCGGGAATCGATATGGTCTTATATAGTTTTGATATGTTAGACTTGTCCAGCCTCATCTGTGATAACTATTGGGTATTGTGGTTGCGTATGACCTCTAGTGTAACTAGCATTCCTGTATACTTGTGAGAGGGCGGCATGCCATCTGTATGACTTGCTGCTATGGAAACGAATATACATGGGTCATATGGATATTACAGAAACATGCTGCAAAGAAAGACCAAAGAATTTGAAAGAAGCGATGTTGAGAGCAAGAAGTTTCAAGAAGACGACATAGAGAGCGAAGCGGGTCACGCTGGTGTGTATATGATACCCAATAAGCTAACGGAGTTGGCCACTTAGGTTCGCAGGAAATAGAATTAGACTTTTTCAGGATAGAAAAGCAAACAGATCAGTGCAAATTTACGAATTTCTGGCTCTGGTAACAAAATGATAGCTCCATAATACACAAAACAGCTTCAAAGCTTCACTCCATTAGAACAACACATCGAATTCCGTTGCTAACAGGAAGACAGATTTCGAACAAATTCCAAGATATCTTCCACCAATTGCTCCCTATGTGTGACTTGAAGTGCTAGGTTTTAAATTAGTCTGAAAAGATCGTTTGTAGACTATTGGGGTCGGTGAAATTTACCATGGGCGCCCTGCTCGTATATCTTCACCCGGGCTCTCGGAACGATCTCTTTCATCACCTTCGCAGTGGTCTCATATGGAGAACCGGTATCAGAGTCGCCATGGATGCAGAGGATCGGTGTCGAATAATCTTTTCCAATCCGACGCAATTTTTCTGAGAAGTCGACTAGTCTTATAGCGCGGGCGCAGCCTTGAATCGCTAACGCATCGGCATCTGAGACAATTCGCTCATAGTGTGCTAGGGTCTCAGGGGCCAAGTGGTATTGTGAGCTCCCAACAATCACACCTGGTAATGCAGAATGTGTGTATTCGGCGCGGGAGGTAGCAAGGCCATCGAGAATCGATTTCCAAACGGCCTCATGCTCTGCCAATTCTTTGTCCGTCTTCCGGGAGTTGCCGGAGAAATCTGATGCAACCCACACGAATCCCTTGGTGCAGTCAATTGGCATCAATTATGCTGATTTTGGTGGGGTCTTTGAGAGTATAGCATACCTTGCAATTCTGTCGGAAGTATTCATTCGCGTCAAAAGCCAGTATGCTTTCGCCGGGGCCCATGCTCAGTGCAACAACCACAAACGGCCCAAGATTAAGGACGTCCTCAACGAGATAATTCGTGTCTTGAGCGAAGGTATTGTAGGTGATGTTGCCATCACTTCGGGGACCATTCCAGTCGCTTTTTCCGAATCCACGCCGGTCCGGCGCGATGCATCGAAAATTATGGAACTTACACAAGGGAACGGCGATGTCGTCCCACATCAATGAGGAGTATGGCCATCCATGGATGAAAAGAATAGCTGGGTTGGATGGGCTCACGCTCTGGGAATCGATAGTGCTCGTGGTTACCGGTTTGTAGTCGCGATAGAATAACTGAGCATTATCGACAGGGCTATTAAAGCGAGGCATTTCGAGCAGAATGTAGTGGAAATAGTTAAACAAATATTCCTTCGATCGAATTTAGCTGTTCAGTAGAAGACTGTGAAGCTTGAATATGATGAGAAAGGATGAAAATATAGACTATACGGTGGATTTAAATAGTTTATTGCTCGAAGTATATTTTCGTATGACCCAGACCATAACAATTTTGTGTGCCACTCGTTAGCGAAAGGATGGACCAGAAAAGATCATTATGGTAAGTCTGTGGAAGTAGCATAACGTGATTGTCTTGGTTAAAGACAGACTTTGATGACCGACTGCAGTAAATGTTCGAATCAAGCATAACGTTATGCTCGTGTTCGGACAAAGTGAGGGGCTGACTAAACAAACCCACAATTCCCGATGCTTGATAGTTAGATCGCGATAGATCGGATTAGCCATTGTAATAGTCAGTAGACATTTAAATCCAGGGAGTGCCGGGATTCAGCTATTTATGAAGCTGACAAAATTATAATTAAATTGCTCCCAAAGAGTCCATGTGGTATACTTTTTATGCCAGTGCTTAAACGTTTGTTTTACCATCTTTGTTGTAGGCACTAAACCCGCGATAATACGAGCGTCTTCCCCCTGAACAACCAACTCCCTCTGATAACGATAAGCATAAAACGACAGATACTAGTACACTTCCTAGTGGCGCGCCACATGGCGATAACAGCAACAGCGGCATTCCAAACCCCCAAGGGCGATGACACGGCAGACTTTGGTGACTTTGTGAGCACTAAAGACGAGAAGTTGATTTCGAAGAGGTTGTCGAGTCCTGGTATAAGTACGTCATGAAGTGAAATACGCAGCCTTTCTATCCTACTTTTGCCGGAGGGGTGCTCAATGGAACGTCTGACCGCAACGCAGGATCCTTCATTTGAGAGCTATCGTGGACAAATCCGGTTGTGGATGTTACGTTTTCTCAACTTCATCTGCTTCCTTGCTGTTTATTCCTTACCTACACTGCGTTTCATATACCTTTTCTTTTCCCACTTCGGGGGGGGGGGGGGGGAGGTGGGGGGCTTCCTTTGAATCTCAAGGGACTTGGCGAGCCAATTGCCAATCAGCAAGGCGAATATATCCGTACTCGATGTGTAACAATGTGTGAATCATACACAGGGTTGACTACTGTATTACGCATTTGTAACTGACAGGTATTTATCCACTTCGTCGAGGCGAGTTCAATCCACCTGCCTAGAGAGAGGCATTCCCACTGGTATGTTTCCCCGGGGGAGGGGACAGCCGGGGTAACCGGGCACTGACGCTACGATGAAAAGCATTAATGGCCTCGCCCGATGTAGATGATAGACTATCTTTTCCTTTTAGAGTGACTAGAAATCCGGCCACAGCCCATGGGCTCAGGGCGCTGTCGTTCCTTTGAACTATTTAAATACAGGCCATATCCCTCAGGAACTATTCCTTTCAATAATATTCGGAATAATATTCGGTTAATAATTTTTTCTAAGTACCTCCGTCATGATCTTCAAGTCTGCCGTTATTGCTTTGGTCACGGTTGGTGCAGCTGTTGCCCAGCGCCCAGCTAATGAATCCATCTGCGACTACTACACGACAGCATTGTTGAAAACCAACAATGCCACCAACCAGTACACCCTCCTGACCCTGTTAGTCAACACTGCTGTCATCGGGAACTACACCCAGCCGAACGTTGGCGTGAGTGTTCCTGGAATCTTGAACCCTAATGGCATGTACAATGGGACCAAGGTCAACTTGATGCCGTACTTCGATGGTGGTCTCGCTTCCACCAATGACGGAGGGAAGATGGGTGTCGCGAAGAACTTCCTGGATGGAGGCGCCGCTGCCCCTCTCATGAAGAACATGCCTGCTGATGACATGTCATCGAACCAATAGTAAGATATTCCTCTCTCCAAAACATTCGAAAGGATTAGCTGACCTCGAAAACAGTAAGCTTATGACTCACCTCTACGAGTTCTTCGGCGATCTACTTGGCTGCTCCGGTGTTGGTATGAAAGGCTTCGCCGCCTACGCTGGAGATTCTAGCATGTACGAAGTTCACAAGTAAGTCGCGCTGGTGAAATTTCCCTCGCTCCACGCATGCTCACAGATCGTGGGCAGGTTCATGGTTCTCGACCCCTATCAGATGGGCTACTTCATTGAGCAAGTAGGCATGTCCGCTGCTTCTTTTGGTGTCGCAAAGTCGGACATCACCGCCGTCGCCGAGACCCTTGAGAAACTGTTCGACTACCGCTGCGCTCCCAAGACTACTGTCATCAAGTCACAGGGCGCCGATTACCAGAGCATTTGTACCGACGAGAAATGCCCGCTCGCCATGAACGACACTTGCGCGGCTCAGCCGAAGATGCTCCAGCCTCTCGCCGCCAACAAGACCCTAGCAGCTGGCCAGGGTCGCATGCCATCTGGATCTGGATCTGGATCTGGGTCTTCCTCGGCCTCGGGTTCCAGCTCTCCGTCTGCGACCACCAATGCTGCCATTCAATCGGCTCCCGGGTTTACTGCTCTGCTTTCGGCTATTGTGGCCATCCTTGCCTTGTAATTACTTTGTTGCGATGTTTCATCCCTAAGGAGGAAGCTGTATTGAAGGACTGGATTAAGTTTTAATTTCTCTCACTGGCCTGCACAAAGGCATTTACTTGCGATAAATTTTATATCTTTTGAGCAAGAAGCTGAACAGAGCATCGGTTTCTATACTGGCCACTCTTTTGATTATATGAATGTCATAAGAGGAAAACAAAGAGCTCAAATTCATGAGTGGGTTTGCCCTTCAAATGCAAAATTCAGTCATGATGACCTACTGGGCAGATCTGATTGGCTTGAAGTCAATTCCACGTTTTCTACACATGGACTAATGGAATCTCCGAAATGGGTCCAATTCTGGATCGGAGAAGAATAAGATATGTCATAGTCAAAGGGTCCAAGCAGAAGCGGATACTGATGTCGATTCGCAGAATTGATTGAAATCTAGTAATGCCTAGAGGCCGGCCTATAGCAAATATTTCGCGGGGATCATGAGCTGGGGCATACAATCGGGATCCGCTCTCGCTCGCGATCGCTCTCGCTCGTTCTCGTTCGCTCTCTTCTCCGATTCGCCAGAAGTAAGGACGCCAGCAGTAGTTAGTCGAAATGCGGGGCGCCACCAAAGCTAGATTGTGTGTCTTGAATCAGTATGTAATCGCTGTAACTGAATTACATGGTATGACTTGAGAATGCAACTACAGAGTCCGTAATTGTAGAGGCAGCTAAAGGCAGCTAAAGGCAGCTAAGAAGCTCTAGCTCCCGCTCCCACTCACGTTCGGACTATTAAACATATACTACGTGGGTCTGGAGCCAGCGGATTGACCTATGGGGCTCCTTCAGAAGTGATGTACTTGATTGTAGTGTCCGTGCGAGATGAGATCCGTGGACAAACAAAGTAGCAGATGACACTATTCCTGGCAGTGCGAATTTAAACATCTACTATATTGTGCATCCCTTTCTACCGGGACTCATTTTTGCGGTTATTAGCCAACTTTCATGTGTTCAGCGACGGCAAGACTTAGAATAGTCTCACCGCTCACTATTTTTCAAGATATCTCCGTGATGGCCTTCACATCTGGCGAGCGGAGGCAGATCCTCACGACCCTGACAATTTCCCTGCTGTTGGATTTGGTAACTCCCAATTCAATCTTGAACAATTGAGGCCATCCTTCATTCTGACCATTCATGCATTTCACCGTGCTTAGATCTCATTTACCTTAATCCTCCCTCTCTTTCCATCCGTCTTAAGTTATTATCACGCAAAAGAGGACTCACCTACGAGCCTGCTCAATCAAGTCTTTCACTACTTGAACGCGTACAAAAACTTGTTCTCGAAACCCATTGACTCGACCTATGACATTATTTTACTTGGAGGAGCATTCGGCTCTGTGTTCTCTTTCCTCCAGGCTATAGCCTCCCCTGTTATCGGACAGCTCTCAGACCAACATGGCCGACGCAAGGCTCTGCTTTGTTCTATGGCAGGAAACATTTTAAGTGTCTGTCTCTGGGTCGGCGCGACAGATTTTCGGACGTTCATCGCGAGCCGCATGGTTGGCGGTATTAGCGAAGGCAATGTCCAGCTCGCCAATGCAATTATCGCAGATATTAGTGATGAGAATCAACGAGGATCAGCCATGGCTCTTGTTGGGGCATGCTTTAGCCTTGCGTTCACCTGCGGTCCGGTACTGGGTGCAACACTCGCAAGTATCAACATGGTGGCTTCAAACAAATTTGCTGTGGCTGCTGGAGCTTCCCTGGTTCTGGTCGTCATGGAGACAATATACATATACTTCTCTCTACCGGAGACACATCCACGCTTGGGGCACTTGCAAGACCATTCCTCTGCGGCTGCCAGACCAAGCCACAATAACAAGTTCGACGTCACAGCACCACCGGCTATGGCCAATGGTGGCGTATCAAAGGTCTCCACAAATGGCCACACATCGTCTTCCGCAGCACGTCAAGAGAAAAACAGCAAGACAAAACCTCCCAATACGTTTGTTCTGAATGTCCTCCATCTCCTCTTTCTTCTCTCTTTCTCCGGGCTGGAATTCTCCCTTCCATTTCTCACGGCGACACTATATTCCGGCCAAGCAAAGAGCATAAACCTCTCTGCTTTTAATGGGCGCCTTCTTTCCCTTATGGGCCTCATTGCTTCTTTACTTCAAGGAACGGTTGTTCGACGTTTACCACCGATTGTGAATATACGAATTGGCGTTGTCGCTTGTGCAATTTCATTTTTTCTGCTTGCACGCGTGTCTTCCATCAGAGGTGTCTATGTCGCGGGTATTTTTCTGGCTATTACATCAGCTACAGTCGTGACAGGTATCAACAGTCTAGGTAGTTTAGTGGCGCGTGAGGGTGAACGCGGACTTGTTCTCGGCCGTCTACGAAGCTGGGGCCAGGCGGGCAGAGCCGTGGGACCATTGTTCTTTTGTTCTCTGTTCTGGTGGGTTGGAAGGGAGGTTGCATATACAACGGGGGGTATAATGATGATGGCGGTCGCGGTGGCTGCTTTCACCATACTGCAGTCGCCTAAAGTCTGCAGATGATGTATAACTATTTAGACCCAAGTTCAGTTTAATCGACAAGTGGGTCGCCCCATGACGTACTAAGCCAATCCGTGATCCGGGGTGTGTCAAACACTAAATTATTCTTCCAGAATTCGAAGTCTCAACTTGCACCTTCATCTCGACTTCAATTTTCCTCACGGGCATGCCACGCAGAGCACACACCAAATCCCGCTATGGCTGCGACCACTGTCGGCGGCGGAGGGTCAAATGCGACGAACAAGGGCCCCCCTGCACCAACTGCGTACTGCGACAGCTGGAGAACTGCACATATTCCCGAATACTCCCAGAAAATATGATCGCCAATGCCCGACATGAGAGCCATGGAACAATCCAGAGGAGTCCGGCCGTCGTCAATCTGCTCAACTGTGTGGCACCACCTTCCCCGGCCCCACCTCGTGCCGTCACGGACCTGGAACTGATGCATCAGTTCACGGCGGACACGTACAAAAGCCTCTGTGTTAGTGACTTAGAAACGCACACATGGCAATCGCTTGTCCCGCGTCTTGCGCTCAAGCACCACTACTTGATGAACGGGATCTTAGCGCTCGCGTCTCTGCATATCGCCACAACTCTCGAGCCTGCCAAAGCGCTCACCTACATTGACACAGGACTAGAGTACCACAGTCTAAGCCTTGGGCCGTTCCGCCGCGTAATTGATAACCTTGCGCCAGAAAATTGCGACGCGGCATTCGCACAGTCCGTCGTCACGACGGCAATCAGTCTAGCCTTGCCGCAACTCACCGCGGCTCGTGAGAACACAAGCAGCATTATGGAAAATATCATCACCGTTTTTGAGCTGCTGCAGGGTGTGAAAAGGATATTGGTACTCGGTCAATCCTGGATTAATCTAGAGCTGTTCTCTCAAGGCCAATATTGGAAGGATACCGCTGCGACCCTCGATGAAGATACCGACAGCGCGCTGACCCAGCTGGCTGTGCTGAACGAGCAAACCAAAGCCAGTGGCGATGAGATCAATTACAGGATTAATAAAGACGTCATTGAGCACCTGCGCCACTGCTTCATGAAGTTCGCCTGCTCGCCTGATCCCGCGCCGGTCCTGGCGTGGCTTGCGGCCGTGGATAAGGGGTTTGTGGATAGCTTGCGGCAGAGACAACCGTTTTCGCTACTGGTCCTTGCATACTGGGGCCTGCTTCTGAATAAACTTGATGGGCAGCGATGGTGGGCTCGTAACTCTGGGCGGGCACTCGTGTGTGAGCTACTGGGGGCTTTGGATGCCGAGGATCTTTTGTGGGAAAGTTGTTTGGCTTGGGTGCAGCGGAGAATCTCTTCGTAGTGTCCTGCGCCTCGGTCAGATATGGATGTCTCCTCTCCGTTGATCTAACTTTCCTTTATCAAGAACATGGAGATCAAGGAGTTCAGGGATAGGCTTGGGCATTTAAAATCCATCGTGGGAGGGAAACATTAACTAACCTATAGATGAAGTACCCCAAGTTAAAATCCGAATGGTTTACCTAACCAGATATTATATCATTCAGGTCATTTTGTATTTATTCCAGTGATCAGAGCATGGCAGAACCCCGCTCGCGCATTTTAATGCTGCGAAACCGCATGCTAATAAATCACGAATTATCCCATTTCCCTTAGAAAACTAAAGTACTTTTGTTTTACAGGATATATTGCTGTATACACGTATTCTCGAGCTTTTATAAAGTCGCTCTCGCGCATGCCTTGATCGTTGTCAGACCGCACTTTTTCAAGACATAGAAGATTGCATACAGCTCAATGGAGTTATTAAAAGTGGACTTCTCTATAGAGCAATGGCCAATTCCACTCGCAGGCGACTGCCGTAATGGATTTTAGGAGCAGCACGGACCTAGTAAATGTCCGATATCATAACGTAATTAGTTGCCATCGTCATAGGGGCCAAAGCATGAACCCCAATTAGGGACTCGCTATCGGCGCCGAAGCCGTAGGGCGGAATGGATCGCCAATCCCCGCAATGATCCACACCATCATAGCCGATCTTCCTCGGCGTTTGGCGCCGTAGTATCTGGTCAGGCTTATCTCTATGATAGAGTGATTGGCATTCGGGGGAAAAGCGGCGCCATTCTCCGCATTACGACGGACTCTATTCCGTTTGCTTTTTCTAGCGATAAATTCATCTTTATATACAGATCTACTTGACTATTTACTTTCATCTCCACTACTAATCCCAATGACCGATACAGTGACCGTTCTGGTCTCGAGACCACCGCAAAGTGCGGGAGATTTAATGGCATCCCGAGTTCTGCCGCCTAAAAGCGAATGCAGTGGTATTCGAGGGTTCTCTCAAGGGCAGGGAGGAGCAGAATATCATGTCAGAGAGACAGATCTGTTTCGAGCGCCAACTTTACCACCGAGCGACGAGGGGATTGAACTTGAACCTCATCAATTTTCAACAGCCATGTCTTTTCCTGAAGGGGGTCGGAAAGCCTGGCTTGTCGTCTTCTCGTCGTTCTGTTTGATAGCGGCGACATTCGGGCTCACTGCTTCAATTGGACTTTTCCAATCACATTGGCAATCCGATCAGCTCTCAAACTATAGCTCTCAAGATATAGCATGGATCTCTTCTACCCAAGTCTTCCTGACCTTGTTTTTGGGTGTGCAAATTGGCCCGCTTTTTGATCGATATGGACCGCGATATCTGACATTCGTGGGCTCAGTGGGATGCGTGTCTTATCTGCTGCTCCTAGGCCAATGCACAAAATATTGGCAGTTTCTCCTTTGCTTCGGAGTTCTCGGCGGAACAAGTGGTGCGATATTGACGACCGTTGCACTATCTGTAATATCCCACTGGTTCAAAGCTCGGAGAGGCCTGGCCACTGGCATCACCTTTACCGGGACCAGCTTAGGAGGGATAGTGTTCCCATTGGCGCTGCGGTCCATATTAAGTCACATGTCATGGGCTTGGTCAATGAGGGTATTGGCTTTATTTGTATTCATCCTAGTGCTATTCGGGAATATCTTTGTGCGAGGCCGACTGCCAACTCAGGAGCAGGGAGGTGTCATTAGCCTGAGGAGCTTCCGAGATGCGAGATTTGTTTGGACAACTGCTGGAATTTCGTGTATGTTCATGGGATTCTTTCTGCATATTGAGTTTGCGCCCGCTGACCTTGACCGAAGGTTTCGAGTTCGTCCTCTTTACGGCCATTGGCCTGCTTCCCACCTATGCCCTGGATCAAGGGTTTGGCCGCGAGACGAGCTTCAACGTGATTGCCATAATGAATGCGTAAGTGTCACCACTCCTGTCTTGAATTAAAAATTAACGGGCTCAAAGCGGGTCTGGACTTGGTCGGTGTACTGCGGGTTTAGTTGCAGACCATTGTGGCCGCTTCAACTGTATGACCGTGTCAATTCTAGTTTCAATTTTCGCGACACTGGCACTCTGGCTACCGGCCAATAACAATATTGCCATTTTTTACACTATGGTCCCCATCTTTGGATTTGGCTCCGGCAGCGTGATGAGCTTGGCCCCGGTGTGTATCGGGGAGCTCTGTAAGGTGAGTGAATATGGACAGCGATATGGAACAAGCTATAGTGTTGTAGGCCTTGCGTAAGTGTGTCTGGAATATTTACCAGCGGAGATATTGATTAGGCGAACAGAACCCTTATCTCGATTCCAATCGCTGCCCAGCTCCAAGCAGCCGCAGGGACAACTGCCTTCGTGGCGTTTTGTGGTGGAATGCTGGTGCTGGCGCTGCTGTCGTTTATAATAGCCAGGTGGGCCTGCTTGGACTATAAGTGGCAGTCTAAGGTCAAAATTTAGGCGTAACAAATGCATATTACCATGAAATTTACATGCAAGCAAAATGAACATACAAGAAAAGCTCTATCTCTGAACCAGTGGGACTTCCTAAGCTTGCATTTATAGTTAAAATTGACTAGTTTTGATTTACTATCTCTCACATTAGACCAGACTTGGTATTTGCAGATACAAGCACGCAATTATGTGAAGAAAAATGAGAGACCTATTTATTTAGGGACACGCAGAATATATAACAAATACTGTTGTAATGGATTTCAGCAGCTACAAAGATTTCAAAACAGTCTCTGTCATCACCAAAACCTTTTCTTCTTCAAGGCGCCGAGCAACCAACTGCAGGCTCACAGGCATTCCATGGACTAAATTGGCGTTATCTGGAGTTGTATAAGTCAGTTGAAGCTGCCCCAGAGATATAAAGCTTCTAGGACTCACAGCTACCCTGCACCTGGACATCAAATTCGCTGAGCGGATTATGTCCGCTGTACGCAGTATCTAGCTTCTCGTCGGCCTTGATGCCGCACGGGAAGGAGACAGCGGAGTAATCAAGAAGATTGTAAGCGCCGGTATATCCAGCGTACTCAAGTTTCCCGTGCTCCACGGAGCTGTAGGGGGTTGTTGGGCCTTATGACGACATAATGGTTAGTGGCAAGTTATTATAGAGAGATGGATGACCTACACAAAATGCCGTCCAGGTCGCCGACGGAATTCCAGTGATCAAGATAACTCTTCTGAAGATCACTGCGCTCCACTTGAAGCTGCCACATTTCATAAACTCCCATCTCCTGTGATTTCTCATACGAACCCATTTCCGGGCGGAATGGCTCGCCAGTTGGCTCCAGCAGCTTGCGAATTGATTTGGCTCCGTCTGCAACGAACATCCGACGGAGAAGATCTCGTACGTCCTTGTGCCCCGCTGGCTCCCAATCGACGAGCTCATGCCCCGCAGCTTTGAGCTTTTCGACGGTTTCTTTCAGAGCACGAGCAACTGGTGGAGTTGGCGTGACCAGGCCGTCGTTCCACATAACAGCAAGCTTTAGTCTTCTTTTCGACTCCACAGTTCTCCATGGAATTGGCAGACACTTTGGATCGTGAAGCCAGGGCTTTTGGTCGATAATGGTTTTGGAGTAGAAGACTATTTCTTCAAGAGTTTTGGCCAGGGGGCCATTTACACTCATCACGGCCTCTTGGCCTGCTAATCCGGATCGAGCTCGGCAATGAGGAAATCTGCCAGCCGATGGCCGGATGGTGAAAATTCCGGTACAAGCTGCCGGTATACGAAGAGAACCTCCTATTTCATGGCATGTTAGCTCATTTTCAGCCTCCCCGGTGATTGTTGTGTTCTCACCAATGTCTGAGCCGAGGCCAATTCGGCTGCCGCCAAATGCGATCAGCGCCGACTCGCCTCCGGAGGATCCACCTGATGTGAGACTGCGATTCAGAGGATTCAAAGTCCGACCGGTAACATTGTTGACCGTTTCTGCGAGCATCACCGCGGTAGGAACATTTGTCTTCACGTACAGGACGGCACCGGCTTGCAGGATCAAGTCTACGATGGTGCTGTTGTATGTTGCCGGAGTGTTTGCCAGCAATGCAATACCAATTGTAGAGGGCTTCCCAATGATATTGAAATTATCTTTGATGGAAATTGGGAATCCATGAAATGGACCCTTGGGACGACCATGCTTCCGGAGATAATCATCGCATTCCTTTGCCTGAGCAATGGCTTCATCGAAAAATATTTCCGACAAGCAATTGGTCTGCAATACAACAGTAAGTAAATCCTGCCTTTTAAGAGTTTATTTGCGCATTGAACAACATTCTTACCAATTGGTGCGCTGCAGCCGCGGCCTTACAGTACGCCGAGGTCACGTCCTCGGATTGCCAGGAACCATTAGACAGATAACTCAGCGTTTTCAGCGCATCGGTTGAGACAATTTCTATCTCGCGATTTGTGAAAAATCCTGACTGAGACAGAAAATCGGACACATCCGCTTGGCTTTCTGAGGGCAGCTTCTCGTCCGGGATGACCCATTTGGGTGGGATGGCAGCCTTGATCTCCTGCTGCTTTTTCTTGGCAATATTCTGCCAGTTGTCAGCTGTAGACCCCATAGTTATAAGATTGACGGTGATCAGATGAGGTGCAAAAATGAATTATCTGCCTATCAGCCACATGGGGATTGGATTTGTTATATCTTTGCCATTTGAATGCAAAGCGGCAAAATGCGGAAACATCACCGAATTCAAAATCACCGAAAAACGCCATTCTGCGGGGCTATGAGACAAGAATGTCAAGGCGGTTGTTATCAAAGTAGTGGACCTTGACCCCTCGAACGATGGAGGGATCTGTGCCCTGGATGCGGGGTTAAACAAAGCCAAGGATTTTGCAAAGGAATGACACTGAGCTAATAAGGGGCCGGCAGGAAGCGGAACTAAGCCGTTTGGGTGCTTCTTATCACTTGAAATACTACTCCCCAGCGCCTCGAACCTTGTTGTCGCTTCTTATAAGCGCCGAGGGTGCTGGTATTGATCTGTTATCTACTTCAGGTTTCTTCGACATACACACACACACAAAAGCACACACATCCTACTTGATATAATCATTCTGCCCATCTTTGTTTCTCTATAATGGGCATTGATATAGCTAATCAGGCGAGCTCTTTGACTCGGGACAAGAAAAAGGCACCAGATACCGAGACTGATGGAATACAGCTATCGGCACAGAGAAGCGCCAGCTTAGGAGGCATTGGCTCCATTCACAAAACAGAGGGAGCACACACAGATGTTGGTCTGGAATTATTCCAAAAGTCTCTTCAATACGACGAGGAGCAACTCACTGCCGACGTCGGAAGAGTCCGACGGAAGCTAGATTTTCTTGTCCTTCCAATGATGATGGTGACATATATGCTTAGCTTCTTGGACAAGCAAACGTGAGCATGTCTCCAAACTGTTGAGTTCTAGTCTGATCAGCAACAAGTCTGAACTACGCCAATGCCTACGGCCTCCAAGAAGACACTAATATGACCGGCAATCAATACTCGTGGGTGGCCTCCGCGTTGTATTTCGGCTGGCTCCTTGGCTCGTACCCGTCCAATCTTGCCCTACAGCACTTCCCCATTGGGAAATTTGTTGGGGGTATGACTTTCATCTGGGGCGCGATCTGTATGCTTCAAGCTGCAGCCTTTACCTTTTCGGGTCTTTTCGCGGTGCGCTTTTTCCTCGGTATGGTAGAGTCCTGCGTGTCTCCGGGATGGCTTCTTCTATCATCAACTCTCTGGACTCGGGAGGAAATGCCCCTCCGAAGTTCATTCTGGCTCGCCATGAACGGAATGGCCCAAGTAATTGGTGCTCTCCTTAGTTATGGGTTGGGGAACGTAACGAATCTCGCGGTTCAGAACTGGAAACTCATCTATATAGTATGATACTCGCACTTTGTTTTGACTGCATATGTTGACTTCAATAGGTTATTGGGGCACTGACACTCCTCTGGGCTATCGTCCTCATTATCTGGATGCCGGACGGACCCCATAATGGTAGGATGTTCTCTGAGTATGAGCGCATCGTCGCTGTCTGGCGCATTCGAAACAACAGGACCGGCGTACAAAATTCCACCTTCCTGCCGCATCAACTTAGAGAGGCCTCGATTGACCCAAAGTCTTATATACTACTCCTGATGGCTGCGGCCTATGGTATCTTGAATGGCTGCGTCTCCAACTTCGCTAGTGAACTTATCAAAGGTTTTGGATTCAGCGGCCTACAAGCAAATCTGCTACAGACTCCTGGGGGAGCCTTTCAAATTTTTACAAATATTGGTTTCGGCTTCCTGGCAACTCTGCCAAATATGCTTGGAGTGTCAAATTTCTTGGCTTGCTTTCCCGGCACAGCCGGACTAATCGGCATGCTCGTGATCCCGAACAGCCAGCGCTGGGCCCTAGTCGCCTGTTCGTGGCTACAGGGGTCGTTGGGGCCTTGCATTGTGCTAAACTGGACTTTGCCTTCTATGAACATCGCAGGGCATACGAAACGAACCACCGTCATGGGCCTATATTTCGCATTCTACTGTGCTGGCAATATTTCCAGTCCTCATCTTTTTATCCCAAGCGAAGCTCCAAGATACAAGACAGCGATCAAAGGCCTAGTGGGGACATACTGTGTGGCCATGTTTCTGCAACTGGTTTACACTGCCTGGTGCTACATGAATAATAGTGAACGCAACAAGGAATCCCAACAGGAAGGTTTTAACGAGCAGCAAGTTGTAGGTGATTTGGAAGGATTTGAGGATTTCACGGACAAGGAGAACAAGCATTTTAGATATCGACTTTAGATATATCTGCCCCGGATGATAGTGAAGAGATGGAAATGAAGTTATTTATCTCCCCCAAAAGCCACACAAAAAGGCTTAACAGCCAAGCCCCTTCTAATTTAATTGCGTAATTTGGGTATGAATGCACTCATGTCAGTGGCTTTTGGATCCTCAGAGGTACCCAGTTAATCAGAAGGGCATCTTTTTGGTTCCTTGTCCCTCGTTTTCCCATGATTCCTTTTCTCCCTCCTAGTCATTACTTTCCTTTTAACTTCAATTTATTGATTTTCAGAGACTCTTTTCGTGGGGTTTTGATATCTCTTGCTTTCGGCACCTTGCAATTTTCAACCTTGCCAGAAGCGCCAGACGCAGCAAAGCATATATCCACCGACATGGCTTGCAAAATTTCACGAAGATCGGCCAAAAACGAGGGTCCACATCAGATAATTCTACACGGCCGATCACTAAAGGATCCGCTTCTTGCACCCACCACGGGAAAGAGCGGTGGATCAAAGGGGAACTAAGTAGATGGTTGATCAACTGGCTTGTATCTTCACGTGCCTTTTCAATAAAGTTCGCACATTATATCCGCGCTTTTTAAACAACTCGATGTGTTACGCTGGCTCTCCAGAACCTCATTGGGTCTTGTCATGCTATGCCTCTTTGCGGTTGCCCGGAGCAATAACAATGCTAAAGCCAGTGCAGATCTTTCGTTCCAAACAAGCCCTTTTCACAGACCCGTGCCGTGGTGAATTTGCCGAAAGGCGGAATGCCGATCCTCGGGGTCGATGACGGATTAGGCTCGGGCGACGCGTGGATCGGATCAGAAAAGCACGGAAGGCGACCTTAAAGTGAAGAGAAAAAGAGATCAAAGAAGATTGTAATAAAAATTATAGAATTCGCACAACATGATCACAGAATTTCCTACAATAAGCATGCAGCGGCATGCTCTTGTGGGTTTGATGAGAGAAGGGTTCAACCCTCGGTCCCACAACTACCCGCTTATCTGATTGATTAGATGCCCTCTAATAGTCTCTCGCCTAGGCCCTTCCGGTCGATGCCAAGATGGCCAAATTTGCTCATAGTCATTATTAGAAAGCTCACATATCCACCTAATGTGAGCTGTGACGTAAATTGCCTAAATTAATTCTACAATTCGGAATAACTCTTAAAATATGTACCCGCACCCGTCTTGGTGGCTTAAGGGCGTCTCCCAATAATGTCTCGTGAGCTTACACCTATTCGGTCTAACCAGTGGGTCTAGACAAGAAGGGAAAGAGCGTGTAAACCTTGCTTTCCATCAGATAAGATTTCCTTTACGAAGAAAGGCCCCAGTGCCTCCACTTAGTGCCACCGGTGTCGGCTTATAGACGGTTGATCAATATGAAATTACGGAATAATCGAGAAACCCCATGGCTCTTCAGTGGCAGTGCTGCGCCTTTTTCTTTCGAAAATTAACTCCACCGAGTACAGTCACATTAAATGTAAATGAGAGCCGATGTCCGGAACTACAGAAGACCGAGAACCTGCATGAATTCTTCATACGCCTTTTCTTGTTCAGCCCGCATCCACTAATTTTGTCAAGATCAATATTCTTCCTGCGGTATTGAAAATGAGTGACTCGGAAGACATTCAACAAGAGAATAATGTATGGAGTAGCAAATACTTCGCTCTTTCTATGGGAGCAATCATGGTATTGTTCATGGTTCGCCAGTGGTCTCAATTACTGTCTTTCCATTATGGGCCCAGGCAAAAGACTGGCATCTTCGCCAGGGACTTCCCCAGAATTTCCCTGTGCGATAAATCTGGCCTGACTGACTATTCTGGTTCACTGAACTGACTGTTTGTAGGGCTTCGAGTCGCTTTTCTCTCAGCAAGTTCTTTGGATTTGAAGTCGACAGGTTACTTCTGTATACAATATACTGGGCTATTAACTTGATTTTACTTTTGACAAACAATATCATGGAAGCTGAAAATGTTTGTCGTGACCCAGTTATGTTATAATCAATACATCACGCTGACTATTTCTAGATTGCAAGACGGCTGGGTTGGTATGAACATATTTGTGTCCGACAGTCCGTTCTCATCTGCTTACAACATTTAATTTCCAGGCTCTCAGTTGCAAACCTGGCTCTCCTCGTGTTCCTGGCTCTCAAAAACACGCCCCTTGCACCTCTCACAGCGCAATCCTACGAGAAGTTACGTCCGTTGCATAAGACTGCCGGCTACACCTGCATCCTCGTTACCGTCCTCCACGGCCTTATATTTGTGATCGAGTCGGCCATCACCGACATATTATACTACTTCAAAGAACAAAAGGACTATGCAGGAGCTATTGCTGGGCTTGCGATGATTCTCATTGCTGTCTCTACTGTTCCTTGGATAATGCCGAAACAGTATGAAGGTGAGCACGAGCACTCTCAACCAAAAGGGCATTCACTGATCGAGACAGTATTCTACATGATGCATGTTACAATGTTCATACTCATCATGGTCACACTCGGCATGCACCGGCCCGAGTTCAAAGACTCCACAATTATCATCACCATCTTCATAGCCTGCCTCTGGATGTACGACCGCATAGTCAGGACAGGTAAACTGTGTTGGAATTTCTTTGGAAACTATGCCACCATAACCCCCCTTCCAAACAATGCAATCCGAGTACAGCTCAGCCGGCCTATTTACTCTCGACCGGGATCCCATGCCTTTTTGTGGGTTCCTGCGATTCGATGGGTAGAGACTCACCCGTTCACGATGGTTTCGGCCGATCCGGTTCAATTTGTGATTCGAGTCTACGACGGCTTTACCCGTGACCTCTACAAGGCTGCGCAGTCATCTCCAGGACAATCTCTTCGCTGTTCTGTTGATGGAGGCTACGGACAAGTCCCGAACTTTAGGGTCTTTGATAAGGTGGTTCTTGTCGCAGGTGGTAGTGGAGCTAGTTTCACATTTGCTGTGGCATTGAAATTGATTGAGAACATTGCGGAAAAAAGGGCTGCAAAGAGTATTGACTTTATATGGGCTGTTCAATACGGCGGTAAGTGACTTGATACTCGTTCTTACTGAATGAGACGTGTTAACTGTGACGAAGACACATTGGAATGGTTTGAAGATGAATTGAGACAACTTGAGATGAGTCCGATTGTCAACTTGGCCATCCATGTCACTCGTGGTTCTAGCGCATCGTCTCCGAAATTTCTCCCAAATTTTGATAGCGGCGATCTGGAGAAAGGCGCCTCGAAGAGCACTGGAGAGGGGAGCTCGATCAAGTCAATAGATATACGAGAGGGGCGTCCTGACATTTCCCACCTCATTGGGACTGCTACTGCCTCCGCACATCCAAATGATCGCATCGTGGTTGGGGCGTGTGGCCCTGTGAAAATGATTGATCAAACACGGAACGCTGTATCTGAGAGCATGTGTGAGGACGGCCCATCCATAATCCTATACACCGAGGTCAGTCATTTATCCTATCTTGCACAAAACTTTATAAACTAACATGTTTCAGGAATTTGAATGGTGAGAAGGGTTTCGACAGAAAGGATTTCAAATAAATGAAGCTACTTGCAACACCTCAGACTCAGTAATCAAAACAAAAACAGGCTCAGAGCGTAAAAAGTTCACACATCTCCAAACAGTGATCATTCTTGCAAATGTGCTCCATTAGGTGGTTGTCATTGAGGGGTTGGTGGACTCCAGCAGTTTGTTGAGGGAGTCCTACGTGCAGACCATTACTACAGCGGCATACAGTAGATGAGCTACTCGGGTGTGGATCCTATCCATATTCGGCCTCAGTATTCCTAGGGGGCTGCTAATATCTATAATACACTATTTACTCCGTCACGCTGTCCTGGATACTCCGCAACGCACTGGTCTTATGTGCAGGATCAATCGCAGAAGCATTGAGAGCGCGGCGACGCGCATCAGTCCACAACATAAACTCTCCATATCCCTTAGGCATAACCTGGACATCTTTCTCCACCAAAAACGTATAGTTGAACATGCCCGTCGACTTCTTAGTCCCGTGCTCGACATCACGCACCTTCGAGTCAACCCGCACCTGCACCCTGGTATAGCGGCCACCACCGGATTCACGCTCCGCGGGCTCCGTGTACGCCACTGTTGCGCGCAGGTACAGCACGCTGCCGACGGGGACTGGGTTCTCGAAGGTACTTGGGTCCAGCGCTACGAAGTTGGGTCGCGCGTGGGCGAACGAGGCTGCGCAGCAGAATGCTAGCTCGAATGTTTGCTTGAGCAGGAAGCCGCCGAAGATCATGAAGTTGTGGCGATTGCGGTCTTGGGGCTGCATGATCATTGCAGATTTGAGGACTGTGTCGCTCATGAAGACTTGGTTTGTTGGGCGCGTTGCGGGGGATTGCGGGTCTAGGATTTATTAGCAACGTATCTCTTTGTATAATGAGCCACCTACTCAGGTACGACATCTCCTTAGTCCACATCGAGTGGATCAGGTTGCTCTCTTCATCGTCCGGGGCTTTCTCAAGCAGGCTGCGAGTTCGCAGCGCCTTCTTGGCCTTGTAGTTCTCCTCACCCTTCTTGAACAGACGCTTTTCCTCTTCTGTTTCGACGACAAGCGGTGCCACAGAGGCAGGTCTACCTGATGTTAGTGCGTCGACGTGATGTTACATACCAGGCAGCACTCACTTCTTCGTTGCCGGGTCCAATGATACCATCGTAAACGCACAAGTGATCAACACATCCTCCGGCGTAACAGCCTGGCCCTCCGGAAGCATCTTGCACACCTGCAATGACACTTCCATACTAGACCGTCCAGTCGCGTACGTGACTTGCCCACTAAGCTCGAGGTCACAAATTTCCATCAGCGGGTGTTCAATGGTGATCCGGTCCACGGCAGCAGTGACGGTGCTGACCCCATCACCTGTGTGCCGATATGCAATGACACCAGCGAGAGCATCGAGGTCCATAAGCAGTGACCCGAGTCTGGGGTGATTTGTTAGAATTGAACAGAGGACAAAAAGCAATTGTAACTTACCTGATATGCCCAGACGCATTAAGGTACGTATCTAGGAGCCACTTATCTTGCGCCAAAGGAAGTACCTACATGGAATAATTAGTTTTCAGTCTTTGAGAGAGAGAAAATACATACAGCGCTGTAGTAGCTATCGGACATCTTCTTCGGTGTCTGATCCGGCTTCACGCTCGCTGTCTGGCTCTGCTGTGCACCGGCATGAGCCGCTTCGCGGCTCTGCGTCAGGGCATCAATCCATGGCGTCTTCACGCGCATCGGCATCCATGTCGGTCGGAACGCGGCAGATGCGGGTGTGGAGCGGAACCCCCGGGAGCGAGCGCTGTTGGATGGCGTTGCTGACACCAGCGCTGCCCGAGCGGGTGATGTACAGGGTGCAAGGCACTTGGGACCCGCCAGAGCAGTCCATCTTCCTGTGTGGCCGAGCATTGTGCTATTTGAAGATGGATGGGGAGGAACAAGGTGTTGCGACATGAGAAGGGGAGTGTCCCGAGTGCACCCGATGTGGATTAGCGCCCGGCCCGGCTGCGATTCCAGGGACGAAATGCCCCGTGCCGAGTACATACTTCGGATCGGGATGGACTGCATTTACTATGTGCCCTGCCATTGGTCTGCAGCCCTAGTTCTCAACCGGAGGTTATGAGACAGCTCTCTCGGCGCCAGGCATACCAATCGACTCGTGGACGATTTACTGTGCTACGGCGAAAATTGAGCGAGTGCCCCGCTTGGTAGATAAGAGTTGGGCTAGTGTAGCTCGAGCATTTTCGGGTGGACAAAATCGCTTGCTAGGTACTAGCTAGGATCATGGTCTCTTATAATGGAGACACTGAAGAGTAAAATTGATCAAGGAAGTGAATGTTTTAAGATGTCTGAGACGACACCGCCGTCGCCTGGGGCCACCCCACACAACTACCCAAACGCCAAGGAGTAGTTAGTAGACACTGCCGTATCTTGTAGCTTTACTGCAAATTATCCTAAACAAGCCAAGCCCTAGTCAGCGAAGGCCTCTCGGTTGGTGATAGGCTAGTTAGAGGCCGCGAAGAGTAGCCACCATAATATAGAGTCCTCTTATTTAGGATAGTTTGATCGTCATGAAGCAATTTTGCTCACTGGGAACGTAGTTCCCAAATGGACCGCAAAATTCAAACCCCATGCTGCAGTAAAATTCCCGTGCATTTGCAAACGAAGGATCAGTTCCAGTTTCGAGACTCAGCCAAGTATACCCTCTCCTCCTTGCTTCACTAACAATATGCTGCAAGATGGCCCGTCCGACACCTTTTCGAAGGTGTGTTCTTGCTGTCCTCATGGATTTGATCTCTCCAGAAAAAGGCGTGAGTTCTTTTAACGCTCCGCATCCTAGCAGTTCGGAACCTTCCCAGGCAGAAAAGACGGATATAACAGGCTCATGCAGATCGGCGATATCGAGAACATAGCAGGATTCTGATGGAGTCTTATTTTGCAGTTCGGAGAAATGGAGCGTAAGCAGCGAACGAATGGCCGGGCTGGTCAGGTCGTCGAGTTTGATGAGCATTCTTCCGAATAGGACAAGAGCTAGAAGTGCGTTAAAAAAGGTAGCTAAATAATAAGATGCGTGCTGGATTTCCATAGGCGGACGAGCCATGGTGCTGTTTGTGTTACTAGAATAAATTTTTGACTCACTTAAAGCATGGGTTGTGATTAGACTTCAGTGAAGCTTCGGAGGGCAAAATTTTCTTTTCTCACTCTTTCACTAAGGCTGGCGATCTTCAAGGTTGGGTGTCAAAGTTGTCAGGCGAATTGATGATACGAACAATATGTGTTGCAAAAGTCTGAAATCCTTCGGAGTACCGCGATAATTATTATGCCGGCACTTAGGAATTGCTATTAGTGGGCGGTGTGCGTTAAACATGAAGGCGGTAAATATAGATGCTTCAAAAGGGACTCCAGACATTTCCTAAACGAAACCAAAGGCGAACCTTCGACATAAAGTATACTGTCGAAATTAATTACTAGATCCCGGAGTAGAAGAGCGACGAGGCTTTTTACGCTTAGCAATGCAGGGTCTTCTGTTATATCTTGAAGGTTCCGTCGGATCAGAACAATGTAATCCATTCCAAACCAGCTGTACCTGGATCATACGTACATCGCGGTACTATACGTATCAAAGCTTGATTAAGTAGTTCTCTTAATTTTATCCAACGTAATGGCGAAAATCTTGCATAACGGTGCTTTTTGACCAAAAGATGCGTCAGAGTGAAGTCATCGATAAGATAGTTATCTTTCGTGGATATGCGCTGGGAATACATCCAACATCTATTTCACCATTTTCAACTAAACCAGAATAACTAGAGACTTCGTGACATAACAATCAATATGGCTGACCCGACAAACCCCCACATCCAGAACCGCACCACGCCGCAATGGAGTCTGTATCAGCGGGAGCTGTTCAAAAAGCCGAACGAGGGCCAGACACCACTCTTCAGCACAGGTGCATATACCATTACTACGAATTGTATAGCACAGTACTTAACTATAGACCAGATCCTCGAGAGCTCGAAGAGCGAGCAAAAGAAAGACTCAGCGAAGGCGGGTGGTACGCTCATATCACACTTCACCGACGCAGCAAAGTTACTAATTAATACGAGAAAAGGTACTACGCCTCCTCCAATGCAGGGATGTCAAACACCCACCTAGCAAACCGACAAGCCTTCTTCCGGCACCGCATCATCCCACGCCAACTAGTCGACACCAACGAACGCGACACGACCACCACAATCTTCGGCCACCGCGTCTCAGCCCCGATAGGATTCGCACCCATCGGGATCAACAAGATCTACCACTCGGAAGGCGAAGCAGCTGTAGCCAAAGTTGCTGGCGAGCTGAATCTCCCATACTGTCTCTCCACGGCGGGGAGTACCTCGATCGAGACCGTCGGCGCCGCGAACGGGAGCTCCAGTCCACGGTTTTTCCAGCTCTACATGCCCCACGACGACGAATTGACGCTGTCACTATTGAATCGGGCGTGGAAGGCTGGGTTTGACGCTTTGATTCTTACGACAGACACGTGGCAGCTCGGCTGGCGACACGGCGACGTTGCGCGGTCGAACTATGCCTTTTACCGCGGTTTTGGCGCCGACCTAGGTCTCACAGACCCCGTGTTCCGGCGACGATGTGCGGAAGACGGTATCGATATCGATAAAGATGTTGTTGCTGCGTCGGCGAAATGGATCGACTCTATCTGGCACGGCCGTGCGTGGTCGTGGGAGAAAATCCCGTGGTTGATGGAGCAGTGGAGGCGGATTTCTGGCGGACGGCCGTTTGCGATCAAGGGGATCCAGTCTGTTGCTGATGCGCAGAAGTGTGTTGAGATGGGTGTAGATGCGATTGTGGTTAGTAACCATGCCGGACGGCAGGTGGATGGTGCGATTGCGAGCTTGGATGCGTTGGAGAAGATCGTTGATGCGGTTGGGGAGCAGATTTATGTCATGTTTGACTCCGGGGTGCGCGGGGCCAGTGATGTGGTTAAGGCTCTTGCGCTAGGTGCGAGGTTTGTCTTCGTGGGGAGGTTGTGGATTTGGGGTTTGAGTATTATGGGTGAGGACGGAGTGAGACATGTTATGAAGTCGTTGTTGGCTGATCTGGATATTTTGATGGCGGTTGCTGGGTTCAATCAAATCCAGGATTTTGATCGCAATATCCTAGGTATGTTTTCACCACTTATTGACTCGTGTACTAACGACGTCGGCAGAGTCGGATCCCAAGTCTTATACGCTCATTCCGGAGAAAGTGCTTTGAAGGATAGTCTTCATTGGTGGATTATTACAAATATATGTATCCATCATAAAATATAGACGCTGCAGGTCTAAACAATCAAGCGAGTGACATGTAGAAGTGAGCCCAAAGACGCCCTAGAATGGAACAGGAGGCATTGGGATGTACAAGAGGCGGAATGAAGTATGTGAACTGGCGGGTTACCAGAATGAGATGATGGCAGTATGCCACAGTGGCCTTGGAGGGAGACATGGATGTATAAACAGCAACTGGCCCTGAATGTGCAGGTAACTTTTCGCATAGACATGAATCGCTGGAATCTAAACAAAGAGTGCACTGAGAAGAGCACTCAGCAGCGGCATTCCGACCGCATGAGCGACTCGGGAAGCCGAGTTCGTCGAGGTCGCTGTGGTTGTCGTTGTCGTTGTCATTGTCTCCGACGTCGTAGAACCACTTGTTGTACCAGTAGCGCTAGGTAGAGTGCTGGCAATGGGCGTGTACGTGGCGGTCGCAGCCGAAGCATCAGCCCGCTGCGCAAAGCCGATAGTCGCATTGTCAAAGTCGAAGACGGTGTACACATTCTTCAGAAAGACATCACCAACAAGCCAAGTATCTGCATCGCCCGACTGGTGACCAACAATAGTCGACACACAGCCGCCACCAACGGCCTTGGTGATATAATCCAGAGGGGAGATGGAGTACTGGACTCCGGAGAACGAGAACTGCAAGAGGGCAGTCGTGTTGCAGGGAATATGAAACTTCTCGCCCTTCTGATAATAGCCCGGGATGTGCGAGAAGAGTTGCTGGGCATCTGCCGTCGGAAGGAGGATGTAGCTCGTCCCCGTGTCGATGGTGGTGGATTTTCCAGAGAAGCCAACGGCCTGGCCGTTTACGTACGCGTCGTCCAGGGGAATGCACCAGTTATCCGCGTCTGTCGCAGTGTACGTGATGTCGCCCTGAAACTTGGTCGTGTCGACATCGCCAAAATTGACTTCTCCGTCCTTGGGGTTATCCGCCATGCGCGAGAAACTGAACCCGACGATGTTGGACCCAAGATAGCCGGCCTCCGCGACCATGTCCATGAACGAGGGCATATTCCACCCATCAGTGTTGGAGCGGCCCAGGCCCAGAATCCCGTCGAAGGGGTATCCTTTGAAGAAATCGGACGCGGAAGTAGCCATCCCGAAAACCTGTCGCACACTCAAACCGGCCAACGACATGGTGTCGTTGCCCAGTTTCCCAGCAATGGTGCCGGTGCCGTAACCAAGGCTAAAGCCGGCTCCGTTGACCGTGAAACTAGTGGAGGAGCTCTCGTCGAACATGTGATGGCTGGTACACACCTCCTCCGTGCAGGACGCATCGAAGACCCAAGTGTCCGGCGCGCCCGTGTCAAGGGCCAGCCACATCTGCTGCTGCTCCGAACCGACCTCCACAACAGAGAAGTAGGAGTAGTCCAGGCCATCCTGGTCCAGGGCAGCGCTGTTTGGGAGCGTGGGCGTGTCGGCCTCGACTATCGTGTAGCTGTCATCCCGGCGGACAGCGCGTTTGCGAAGATCCAATGTCGGCGGTTTCCCATCGTGTCGACGGCCTACTGTTAACCGGGTTGTTTCGCTTCCTGAGGGAGAGCCATCTTGGAGGTTATATGGGTAAAATGCTCGAGTGCATGTCGAGCAGGCCGCGATGACCGCTAGACATGAAGAGAGGTGCATGATCCGGTGAGGGACCTAGATGCTAGAGAGGATAGAGGTCCGCATTGGAGTAACTAAGCAAGACCTGCTGCTCGTGCTGAGCAGTTCGTGTGTGGCGGATATCCGAAATATGTGGCGCGAGCGAGGAGTCGGGCGAAAAATCCGGGGAAAGCAGAGAAAGATGCGAGCGAAATACCAAGAACAAAAAAAGGAACAGATGCGAAAGACTGACAAGAAATTAAAATGATCTAAAAGAAAACAAAACGAAAACACGAATTGCGAATGAGTGAGTGAGTGGGAGGTTGAGAGAAAGGATGGCTTTCCCCATGGCAGACAGACAGACGTGAGGGGGGCGTCTTTGGACGGTCCACTGTTCCTTGCAACACAGGGAAGGAAATGCCCCTGACAAGAGACGCGACTGGGTTAGTTACTTTGCTCTAAACCTGTTCGCGGTGTCGATCGGCCGATCGATTGGCCCTGGTCGTTGCGCCAAGTGGGCTAGGTGGGTTTCGGTGTAGCCGGCTGGCGCCAAGAGGTGCAGTGACATGGATAGAGCTGGGTTTATTGGCGGTTGAACCGACGAACTGCGAATAATCTGGGTGATGTGAGTTGATAAGAGAGAAGAATTGCGTGGCTACCAGTTGACTAGCACTGGATTGAATGGTTGGCAGTCGAGTACGACCGGATAGTCAACGATTTAGAAAGAAATAGACGGAACCCCTGAATGAGGCCCGCATGTATTTTCCGACAAAGGGCAGTTTCTTATCTTCTGCCAACTGCTTGCAACTCTTACTTGGATAAATCGATAAGGACTGAATTTTTGTGATTTACGCACTTCTATTGCTGTATCGACTTGAACCTGAAACAGCGACTAGTCATGCACTGGATGATGACGCGTGCTCGAGGGGATAACCGTAGCTCACAATGGGAACAAAATACAATTGTAGAACAAGATCTGCTCAACTATAAAGTGATGTCCCTGAAAACTACACTAAACCTCAGAGGGACTATCAGAGAGAGTATGATACTCTAGGTGCAAGGACCAAGGTGGATGTGCACAGCATAGCACAATTATTAAGACTCAACGGAGAGAAATTCCACCGCACGTGAACGTAGAACAAACTATTCAAACAATAAATAATCCCCGAAGAAGTCCTTGGCTTGCGACTCGTGTGTGCTAGATTCAAGCCGGGAACCCGGTGGTCGGGATAGATCGGAAAGTGCATTAACGGTTAAACCAACGCTGCTTCTTGTTGCTAAACAACCTTGGAAGAAGTGTCTCGTGCACGGATGAACAATTGGAGTATCGTTACCCAAGACACTTCCGAGAATTGAATGACTCCAACTCAATTGGTCACTATCGTTGTAGACATGATAACGTGCAATTTAAGAGAAGAGCATCTATAGATCTCCCAAGAACCACTGAATAAGAAAACATGACATCTTGTTCCATTATCCCCAGTATCCTCAGAAACAAGAGCCCCTCTGTACGTCATTGCAAAAGACTCGGGTCCAGTAGAAAGATCACCCCACGGAAGTGAGCGATAACCTCGGCCGTCTAACTGCCCGACGCAAGGAAGACAGTGGCATCATGAATGATCGGACGCCATCCCGGAGCGGGCGTCGATCATTACGGAACTGACGAGCATAGTGGGCTGGCGCTGTCCCGGAAGGAGACATGCCTCGGCTTAGGAAGAATTGGGGAAGAATAGTGGAGTCTTCGAGGATTCGAGATGTAGGTAAATTCAGGATCCGAACGGACTGCATTGGATGACTGGCTCTGTATGATTGAACAGAGGACAAGATAACAAAGGAAAAAGAGCCCTGTAGAATGCGATCACTCAACAGAAGATATTACATGAAATAGGTAAATAAGTACCGCTAGTTCTCCGTCTCCGTCTCAAAGCTCAGACTCGAAACGACAAGAACAACAATAACAACAACACGAATGACCAAGAAGATTCGTCTCATTCACCACCGCTATTATCTAAGTCCTGGGCGCAGACTGCTTCGGCCCAAGAACATCATCCAAAAATCCCGTCCAAAGCTCTTTAACAATGCCCGGCTCCCGGGCCCCCTTCTCACCCCTGCTGAGTTCCTCGCCCACGCGAGAGCGCCCAACAGCCTCAGTCAGCGAAAACGGATCAATATCCACAGCGTGGTTATCGACGACCTCGCTCATTGGGCTGGCCGCGACGTCGGCGCTGGTACCGGCCACGGTGTAGATCTGGGGCTTCATGGGTGGGGCGCCGGAGTGGGAGTGGGGGGATGGCGAAGATGGAACGGACGCCGAGGCCGCCGAGGACGACAGGTCGGGGAGGACCGGGACGCGGGGATATGAGCGTGCAGGTGATGCGTCGAGGTCTGCCATTGAGGGCATGTAGACTAGGTCGACCGGGGAAGTGTCATGGGTGGATTTAGAGGAGCGGGATGTGTTGAAGGGGCGGGTTGATGGGGCGCTGTTTTGGGGATTGTTAGTATGATTGACTTCCAGATAGTAAGAAGTATGTATGAAGAATGACGTACTCAGCGAAAGCGCTCCCGTTTATCCGACGCATAGCAATGCTAAAAGCTCGGGATTGCAGGACGTCATGGTTGGAGAGGCGCTCGATGAGCTGTTAGAAGCTTATTGTTAGCGTGGGTTGTATTGCGTTGCCGATGACTGTCCATCGTCTTTGCGATTACATACCTCGGACTGGCTACCGGCAGAGCGTAGGGAGCGGCGCTGGCACTCGAGCTTGAGGTCTGGCACGCTGCGAGCGGAATAGAGCGAGGCCTTGTCGGCCGGGTTGGCGGGTTGAGCAGATTGCACGCCGGTGATGTGCAGGTTGCGGCGAGCAGGCGCGGCAGCAGAGGTGGAGGTAGAGTGTTGCTGGGAGAGCACACGCAGCGCCCGCAGGGAAGATGAGCGGGGAGCGGCCATTATTGAATGTTGTATAGAGAGAGAGAGGTGTGATGGGGTGTGTGGTTGTAGTGGGAAAGTAAGCAAAGAAGAAGTAGGCCGGAAGAGGACGGACTTCACCTTTATATGGTCGGAATCAACGTTGGGGCAGATGGGCGGTCTGGACTGTGATTGAGTGAGTGACTGACGTGCTCCAAGGGGAATGCCTATCTATAGGATGAGATCTACGGCGTATGCACGGGATGTACCAGGTACTACCCCGTACCCGCCAGTACAGCGCAGCACGGAGGTACCAGGTACTTCTCAATCATGATGACGCTTCCAAGGTTCCCCTCTCTCTACGATTGCTGCAACCGGGAGGGGAGCCAATAGCAGGAAAGCAGTGTGTAATTTATTCTTAGTCCTAGTATTATTCGACAGGGCAATAGGTACATCGGCCGATGAATTAATAATAATTAACAGGGCAAGTACTTTAACGTTAACTAGTTTGTTAACTATCATGACTAACGATCCTCCTCAACAGTTGAGAAGTGGAGCGGTGAAGCGATCCAGCTGACCCCTTGGTCTGCAGTCTACACTCAATATTCTATCATAGGAGTCTTTTCGCTACTAGTTAGTGATAGTCTAGCCCACGGGGTGGTCAGCTGAGCATTGCATTCTTCGGCAGGAATTCCCCCCTGGATATGTCCATTCTATACTATACTCTAGTACTCTATCTCAGTCCTATTCATAGCCTCGCTCCCGGTCGACGCCCCTTGGCCACCGCCCGCGCATACGGATGTCTCCGCGACGCAGGCACCAGATGGTCTACATCCCCCGTGTGCACCAGATCGGGAGATGCCTCATCCAGCGTCGTGATCCCGTTATTGCGCATGGCGGTCTCGAGCTCGTCTTGCATAACTATAACACCCATTAGCCTTTTTCCTTGTCACTGTCAACATCCTCCACTTACTATCAATTAACTGCTCCACACCTTCCTGCCCATAGTTCGCCGCAAAGAGCATACTCCTCCCCATCCCCACAGCCGTCGCGCCCAGACAAACAGCTTTCAGAATATCGCTACCGCGCCGGATCCCGCTATCCACGTAGACCTCCATCTTATCAAACACCTCAGGACACCGCCGGTGGATCTCCAGCAGAGTAATAATTGACGGCGGACTGGTATCCAAATTCCGGCCTCCGTGGTTACTTAACAGGATCCCATCCAGCCCAGCCTTCATAGCGAGCATAGCGTCGTCGGCCGACATGACCCCCTTCAGACAGACGGGTAGATGCGTGTGCTGCCGCACCCAGACCAGGTCTTCCCATGTAAGACCCGGGTCAATGAACCCGGCCATCACACGGCCGAGGCCGCCGCCCTTTTTGTCGTTGGAGGCTTTGGATGGCGCCATCGGCACGGATAGGCTCTCGTCGGCTTTGACGCGCTCGTCGGCTTCGCGCTTGCCTGGCCACGCGGCGTCGACGGTTACGAAGATGGCTTTGATGTTCGGGTTCGCGGAACATTGGCGCAGTAGGGCGGCGGACTTCGAGCGGTCTCGGTTGACATATAGCTGGAAGAAGAAGCTGGCCGAGGGCGCCGCAGTTCGAAGTTCATCTACGGTGAAGGAGGAGTTGTTGGAGATCTAGAGGAGTGTAAGCAGGGGTGAGGTAGGGTGGATAGCCAGTTTAGAAGAAAAAGAACTTACGCCCTGCATGATTCCTTTCCTCTCGCACGCCCTCGCAATAGCGCATTCTCCCTCAGGATGAATAAGCTTCGCCATAGCCGCAGGACTCACGAAGAGCGGAAGATTAAAGTCACCACCTAGAATCTTCGTCCGCGCATCCACGGCACGAACATTTCTTAGCACGCGCGGCCGGAACCATATCCGATCGAAACAGGACTTATTCGCGTCTCGCGTGATCAGATCCGTAGCCGCGCTGGAGTAGAATGCCCAAGTCTTCTTACTGGCGGTTTTGGACGCCACGACTTCGAAGTCGTGCGCGTTGATCAACGTGTGCAGGGGTGGTTTCTCATGGTCCAATACCACCTTGGGCGACTCGTCTGGTGGTGGCTTGGTCCACTCTGCGTCAATGGTGGACTCGTCGAGGATGCCCTTGAATTGGTTTGGCTGGAGGTTGTTTTTCAGTACGCTGGGCGCGTGGACTTCCGAGTATGCCTTTGTGGCGTCGCTCCCGGCGTACTTGAGGATGACTGTTTGTCACAAATTAGTGTGGAGACCGGGGTGAAGGTGATCGAAGAAAGACCTACTTGTAGATCCGCCGGGGTGCTCGTCCAGGAAGTCGGTCACATCCCATACCTGCTTGTCGACGACAATCCAGCAGTCGTCTGGGGTTTTGTGCGAGGAGATCTGCTGTGCAGACCAGAGTTTATCGCCTGCCATTTGGACGGGCTGTGCGAGAGAGTATTCGAGGAGAGGTAGCGGGTGCGTGAATAAAGAGAGAAACAAGCCAGCGGAATACTCAGAGGGGCGTTCTTATCCAGTTCAACTCCACACGGTAAACTCTCCGGACTTACCCCGGAGCCGGCGTCGGGTTGGTGCTGCCCGAGCTGCCTTCAGGGTGGGAGTTGTCACCAGGAACGAGCGAGACTATTTGAATGAATGCCTCCTTTACCCTCATGCATTCTCCAAAAAGGACCTAATAATAAAAATCCCACTCTCAAACAATATTTGCAGTCACACCTTCCCTGCAATAACCTCGGTCGATCACTCTCGTTCGCCAAAGCCAACTTGTCGCGCTCGGGGCATCACCGACCGGATTTCTCTCCGTTTCTGATAGTGATTATGTAAGTTGGCATAGCCACAGGGGTTGGAAGTTTGTGTGGCTGGGTGTGGCTGAGGTCTGGGGATGACAACATTCGAGACCACCCCAGGAGAGCCATAACCCTGGATTCTTTGTTACTGGGCTGTGGAATCGAGTCTGGATGGGGAATTATTTTCTTTTGTCTTTGATTTTCGGTTCTGGTATCTTTAACTTGCAATTATTTGCTTACTGACAACCGACCGAGGCAGGTATGGAATAACATTCTGGGCGAAGATTCAGGAGGAGAAACTCATTTCCAGTGCTGAATTGAAACATGATACTCTCGCCGTGAGAGGGATTGATGAAAAATGGTTGACCAAGCCCTTTCACTAGAGGAGTCGGAAAGGCACTGGACGAAGGTGATGATTTGCTTGAACTCTCAAAACTGCCTGCTTTCACCAATATCACAAACATCAAAAAGCGTCTCCGAAAGACCACTTTTAGCCATCGCTTTCTTGAGTAACTGTGGCGGCTCCAGCACATTCTCTTCTGCGACCGCCCACGTCCCCCAGTGAATCCCTATCGCTTTCTTACACTTTGCATCCTTAAAGATCTCAACGGAATCATACGGATTCGAATGCACGGGACTCAAAACATGCCGTGGCTTATACGCTCCAATCGGAATCAACCCCAAGTCAAAGGGACCTCGGAGTTCGCCGATTTGCTTGAAAGCAGGACAGACAGGGAGATGAGCAAATTCGGAGCCCCAGTCGTCGACTCCCTTGGGCAAGCGAGGAACCGAACGGTAGCCCGTGTCACCGGCGAAGTACACTGACTTGCCGCCTGAAGAGACTGACCACGAAGCCCATAATGTAGCTGCTTTATCAAAGGGAGTACGCGCGGACGTATGCTGGCAAGGGAGGCAAGAAATCCTCGCGGTAATGTCAGATGTCGGAGAATTTGGAGAAGGTTGTTTGTGTGTTGATTTGGTCAATGTGAGGTCAACGTCCTCCCACCAGTCGAGCTCGACGACGTTCTTGATGCCGCAGTCTAAAAACCAATTCCTAAGACCCTTCGGGACGCAGAATTGAACTGAGGGGTGATGTTTTTGGATTTCAAGGATGGTAGGGTGAGAAAGATGGTCGTAATGGGAGTGGCTTATGATGACCTACTTAAAATTAGCTGTCACGATTGAAAATCGAAAAAAATAGTATAACGACCTACACTGTCAATTATTGGGATATCAGAGATATCACAGGGCTTAGGGGTGAATCTTCTATGGCCTAGCCAGGAGAAGGGGGAACAGCGGTCTTCGAACACAGGGTCAAATAGGACTCGTAGGCCAGTGGGAAACTCAATGTAGTAACATGCGTGTCCTAGCCATGTTGCACGGAGATTTTGTGAGTGAGAGCTTGTTCTAGATGGGAGGAACTTGGGTTTAGTGACCGGGACAGTTGGCGGCGTGGTATCAGGCCGCTGGCTGTCTCCCGAGAAGAACTTGTGTCTGCAAAGTCCGTATCAGCCATTCGGGTTCAGACTGCTAGGAAATCAGAAGCTTCTACAGCATATGGAAATCTTACTGGATCATGGCTTTAAATATCTCGGGAAAAGAGAAGTCATGAGAACTCTCCCACGGATTGATAAAGCCCCTCACTTCCCCGGCCTCATCTCTTACCCAATGGCTCTTCTCGCTCGCCTTTTCTGGCACCGCACCTAACGCCGCGGGCACACTAACGGTCACGGCATACCCTCCATTCTTGCCAGAACCCATGGTTCTATACGTTGAACCCACGGTTCTTCTATATCTTCGTATCTCGGCCTCGAAGAAGTGTTGAGGGGTACGCGGGAATTGTCTGAGGATGTTCCGCATAGGATGCTCGTAGCTTCCTCACAACTCCGAAGTGGAAGTCGAGAAAGATATAGGGGGCTTGTCAGGCCTCCCACATGGTTGTCTGCGAGACCACAAATTCTTACCTAAGCACACCACCCCTTTACAAGCACCGCCGCAGTGGAACCAGCCACAGTTCCGCCCTGTGGCTGGTGCCTGACGATGATCTTGACTCAGCGAAAAGCATTCGACACTCGTCAATCACACATCTCAATTGGTTGCTCTGTCTGATGCACCCCGTGTCTGCCGTGGGTAGTGTGTCGAGGAGCTTGACTCACATCAGAACATTCACTATCAAAGCGAACGGGGTCGGGCCGGCCATCTTTCAGCCTTTTGTTCATCGAGAAAATCATTCCATCTGTCGCAGACCAGGGCGTTGTCTGCCATCTGTCCCTCTAGAATTTTCGAAAAAGCACTTTTCCACCTCCCTAATCAAGCAAATACCCATGGCGAACATGGACGACACCTCTAAGCCTCTCCGATATGTTGATGTAGGTCATCTCTCTCCCTGGCAGCCGCCCGGAAGCTAAACGCAATATTCAGATCGGTATCAATCTCAGTGACCCGGTGTTCCAGGGCAAATATCATGGAAAGGAAGCTCATGAAGATGACTTGGACGATGTGATCCAACGCGCTCGTGATGTCGGCTGCGCAAAGTTCATGGTGACCGGGTCGGACCTAATCGAGTCGCAGCATGCCGTTGACATTGCCAGCAAATACCGTGAGCCAAACAATCTCACTTCTGTTCGAACGTAATATTAACTAAATACCTTCCAGCCGGCTTCTGCTACGCAACCGTCGGCGTTCACCCATGCCAAGCAAAGCATTTCGACACGCACCCGGGCGGCGCAACCAAAATGCTAGAGGAGCTGCGCACCCTAGCCATCTCATCAAGAGATTCCGGACGAGCAGTAGCATTTGGTGAAATCGGACTCGACTACGATCGACTATTTCTCAGCGCGAAGGAGCCGCAGCTCAAATATTTCGAGGCCCAGTTAGACCTGGCGGTCGAGCTTCAAATGCCGCTGTTCCTCCATTCCCGAGCTGCCAGTGAAGACTTTGAACGACTTCTTGCGCCCAGGCTGGCGAAGCTTCCTAAGAGGGGACTTGTGCATAGCTTTACGGGGACATTGGAGGAGATGCAGCGGATGGTGGACCTGGGTCTGGACGTTGGGATTAACGGATGTAGCATGAAGACTGAGGAGAATCTGGAGGTTGTGAAAGCTCTCCCTTTAGATCGGCTGCAGATTGAGACTGATGGTCCCTGGGTATGCACTTCTCCTATGTTATTAACCACTTATTGACTGAGTCCGCCAGTGTGAGATCCGGCCGTCGCACGCCTCGGCAAAGTTCCTGGACGGGGCTCCGGAAATGCCCAAGGCCGTTAAGAAGGAGAAGTGGCAGAAGGGCTGTATGGTGAAAGGACGGAATGAGCCTGTGGCCATTGCACGGGTGGCGCATGTCATTGCCAAGGTGAAGGGCATCACGGTGGAAGAAGTGTGCGAAGCGTAAGACTTCACTGGCATCTAGCCCTCAAACTCTTGCTGATTTATTGTCTCCAGGGCTTGGAATAACTCCATTCGAATGTTTGGACTTGGTGAGGAGGCTTCATAGTGGCTCATAACTGTCCACATCAGTGATATGCCCCGAATTCCCACCCCAGCCATCTCGGCGGTCAATTCATAGCGTCTGCATATCAACTATTCCTATCAATGAAATGGCTAGCATAGATACCTAGATGATCCGACTGTATATCCTTGGATACCTCTTTATTGCTCGTGTGCGGATGCAAAGAGGTGGAATCTGGGACGATGGCTTTTTGCCACACACCATATTTCAGACAGATACTTCAAGACATGCAAAATCCGCATTCCTTTTCTCTAAATATGTCTAGTATCTGTAACAGCCACAAGTATATAGTATACACCAGTATATATATGCGATATAACTATTCGCACAACATCTGACACCCCTCAAAGTCCTGTACCTCATCCTGCTGGTCCAACAGTGGAACAATCCCTTCCTGTCTCGCTGCGCCATCGTTCGAAAGAAGCATCTCATGGTCAATGAAGAGAAGGGAACATGGTGAACCTGTATCGGGGAAGGTGGACTGCGTCGATTCGCCGATGTCCACAAAACTTGACTCGCTCCTCGTTTCCTCTAGTAGCAGATCATCCGGTTTTTTGAATATGTCTTTCTCAAGTAATTCTGAGAAACCAGCATCGACTTCGTCTCCCTCGTACTCCGTTGCATCAGTGTCCTCCAGGTAATATGGCTCTGAAACTCGGTTCTCAAGCAGCATTTCCTCCTGTTCAAAGAGTGGAAGGTCCTCGGGCTCTTCTGTTGCCAGCTTTACTTCTAGTCCAGGGTCCATGTCAAAAAAGGGAGTCAATTTTCTTGTTTTTGGAGTCTTGTGGAGGTTTTGCTGGGCGATGCGCCAGAGTGAAGTTGAGATTGCGGGCTTTAGATCTGATATGTTGGATTGTGTCGGAACAATTTTTTCATCAGGGTTTGAGGTTGTCCGTAACAGGGTCGATAATGTATTTTGGATGGCACGGTTCCGGCTGCCCTCAAGCATGGAAGATAGCGCTTTGGTGAGAGTAGTTAGCGATGCCGCTCGCTGGTTGATGGCCTGTTCGACTGTGAGATACTGGGGTGTGTGTTGAACTGAGAGAAAGATACTCACCTCACGGTATCCCCGGCTGAAGACTGCCGGTGCTATGTCTGATAGGGTGTGTAGGGTTTCTTGCCCTGGCATCAGGACTTGAGGGTCTTTGATGGATCCCGAGAGAATGAGTCTCTGGAGCCCGAAATCGAATAAACGCAGAAGCTCTTGAGATATTCGGATGGTGGTATAGTCGGTTCGCGGGCAGCGGCTTGTCTGCGAGAAAGAGGAATGGCTCGATTGACTCGACAATGGACTTTCCATGATGTATCCAGATATAGAAGGTCTTTGTGGTTCGAAAGGGGAATTGGTATCTGGATGGTAGCGGTATTGGAAAGATGGGGCTGGAATCAAAGAATACAACTGTGGCTGACCCCCAGCTGCGAAGGTATATTGCCATTCTTGCCGAGGCGAATGCTCGGCGCAGTAACTGTAATCCAGGACGATGTCAACTGAAGTCAAGAACACCGTACGCACGCCCGTCGGAGGGTAGACATCAACGGGATTCTGTATTGCATCGGGTAAGGTCCAGCGTTTTCGCAAGGGAGAGGCCTCATCTTGCTTGCACAAACCAAAAACGAGGCACTGGTCCCGGGACATATCCAGATTCGTGACAGAGGTGCAATCCTTGAGCATCGCAGTGTATCCGAGACTCGGCCAGATCTTCACAATTGTGCAGGCTCAGCAAGCGACTCAAATGACAAAATATTCTTTCTCGTACCTTTGACCTACAAAGCTTGTCCCTCAGCAGTGAGCTCAACCCAGAGATAGCACCCTCAAGAACTGGGTCAGCGCTAATGCGACAGGAAAACTCCAGCTGCGGGCCTGGCAGCACCCAAACATCCTCAGAGGCTAACCATTGACTCATGTCGAAAGGGATGTCTGAGCGTCGATGGGTTGGTGGTAAACGGAACTGGGCCGAGGCTGCCAGATGAAGACGTAGACGGGAGTCGATCGTGCAGAAGAGGCTGCGACCCAGATCGACTTTGTGGGTCATCCTGAAGGGCTTGCATTGTCGTCCAGCTCATGGGTGAATGAGGGAGTTGGAGGAATCCGAGCAGGTTAAGGCTCGAGGGAGGATGAGGGTGTTGCGTCAGGTGGCATCACCTGGTCTGCCATTCACCCGACATTGACTGGATATACAACTACTAAAATACCGGTTTACACCCATCAGATATATTTTGGAGTTAATAAAAGTAGATCGGAAATTACATGCGTTTGGACTATGAATATACATTCGAGGTCGTGTTTCTGGCGTCATCTAGATCTAGATCGGACTGGTGGTGTTGTATTTGCTTCTTTCCACAGGGATATATGCAAACAACGAACCAACAGACAAGCGCTACAACCTCAAATGAACACCTCACTGACACTCGCACGAGACGATGTCTTTGCCCAAAACACTCTTGAATCGAACAAAGAGCTTATCAGATAAGACTCGTCACGTGCAGCCCCGACCATATCAGCCAGGCTGATCGCAACCCGTGGAATGTCAACTCTCTCTCTCTTGATCGCCACGGTCAGCGATGCCCGGGGATGACACGCACGAGCATTCGTTGTCGGCGCCCCAGAGCCCGGACGCGCTGGAGGCCCAGTCCTTGCTCTCCGACGACGTAGAACCCAATTCGCCTTCCAACCCCCCACGGCTCGCGTCCAATGGCATGCGCCAGTCCTCCATTTCCCAACCGACGACAGACGGGCAGCGTCGCACCCCGCGGACCATGAACCATGTCCGGTTTGACATCGATGAAGATTCGGCAGCAGCAGAGGACGATCACCATTCGAACGGCCGTGCTCACAGCCTGGATGATGAGCTGTGGCTAAATGAAGAGGACTATGAGCTAGGAGACCAGGGCGCGCGAGGTGCGCGACATACAGGACAGGCAGTTCCTCTTCTCACGGACATTGAGGCCCCTAGCGTGACCCTCGCCACCTCAGATGACTTCTTCCCCGAAGACCACCTCGAGAATGCCCGCCCCCGAAGCGGAATGAAGATGGCGTTTATGAACATGGCCAACAGCATCATCGGGGCTGGGATCATTGGCCAGCCGTATGCACTCCGGCAGGCGGGCATGGCTATGGGGATCCTGTTGCTCACTGCATTAACCATCACGGTGGACTGGACGGTCCGCTTGATTGTGGTCAACTCCAAGCTCAGCGGAGCGGATTCCTTTCAGGCGACTATGCAATACTGCTTCGGGAAAAGCGGTCTTATTGCCATTTCTGTGGCACAGTGGGCCTTTGCTTTTGGTGGCATGGTTGCCTTTTGTATCATCGTCGGCGATACCATTCCCCATGTGATGAGCGCGTTGTTCCCGTCTCTGCGAGAGATGTCCTTCTTCTGGCTTCTCACGGATCGTCGGGCTGTAATTGTCTTGTTTGTTTTGGGTGTCTCGTACCCATTGTCTCTTTACCGGGACATTGCCAAGGTGAGGCCTCTTGCCCGATCTCGATATGCCTCAAAGCTGACATACGGGTAGTTGGCAAAAGCATCTGCGCTGGCGTTGGTTAGCATGATCATCATTGTTATCACGGTCATCACGCAGGGATTCCGTGTACCCTCTCATTCTCGTGGAGAAATCAAAAGCCATCTCATCATTAATTCGGGATTCTTCCAAGCGGTGGGAGTGATTTCTTTCGGTACGCCATCCTTCCCTGCTCAGAATTGAAGCGATTGCTAACAAGTCGCAGCGTTTGTCTGCCGTATGTTGCTGCTTCCTCGCTAACAGGTCTCGAAAACTAACGCATCCAAAAGACCACAACAGTCTTTTGATCTATGGATCCTTGAAACGGCCGACACTCGACCGCTTTACCAAGGTCACCCATTACTCCACCGGAGTCTCGCTGATAATGTGCCTTGCGATGGGCATCGCGGGTTTTCTATCATTCGGATCGAAAACCCAAGGCAACGTTTTGAACAACTTCCCATCTAACAACATCATGGTCAACATCGCCCGATTGTAAGAAACATGTTCATTCCTTTTATTATTTGCACTAACTCACTCACCTTGACCAGCTGCTTCGGCTTGAACATGCTCACCACTCTACCACTCGAGGCCTTCGTCTGCCGATCCGTTATGACAACCTATTACTTCCCCGACGAGCCCTTCAACATGAACCGCCATGTCATCTTCACTACGGCGCTGGTTGTCACGTCCGTGATTATCGCCCTAATAACGTGCGACCTGGGCAGCGTCTTCGAGCTGATCGGCGCAACCAGCGCCGCCGCGCTGGCATACATCTTCCCTCCGCTTTGCTATATCAAACTGAGCGGCGCCAGCCGGCGGGCTAAGATCCCCGCTTATGCGTGCGTTGCTTTTGGGCTGATTGTTATGGGCGTTAGCTTCGTACAGGCTATTGCGAAGATTATTAGTAGTATGTCCTTCCCTTAACTAGTCCTGACGTGTCAGCACTTGCTAATTTGACTGACCATTGCAGATAAGGGAGGTGGTGAGACGTGTGGTGCGTGAGAGCGAATTGCATTGTTATCCGCTATAGATTTTATGGTGTGTTGAGCATCCTGTACATATCTGCTCGGTTAATAGGTATAGAGTCTGTATGCATCATTCGAATTACTGCTCGTTGACCATGCTTGATATTCATCAATTGAAAAGGCTGGTATTTACTCGACCTAGAGATTGATATTGAATCTATTCTGAATTGGTGTGGAATACATTTCCAGCGGTGTTTGTCTCCCAGGCTGCCGTGGTTGTTCGTCCTGCAATAACTACAAAGACCTCCCACACCTTCCCTGTTTGTTTGCCTTCGTCTGCTTCCACACTTCGCTTTCTCTCCCCTTCCCACAATACTTTCACCTTCTTTTACATCCAATCCACCCCTAATCCTCCCTTCTTCCATTCTTACCATCATCTTGACATCTCTAGAACCACGCAAGAAATCCCCCAGAAACCCATCTCGATGGATTCTGAGGCGAGCGAAAGGCTTCGCATCCTACAGCTGGTAAGTCAGCCCAATGAGTCCTCACCTGTCCTGAGCCACTGAATGCTCACTCGGCAACTCACCAGGCTGATCTGGGCACTGCGAGACGCGAAAGGATCTCCACGGCGCACGATCCTCGCAAGCAGGTCCCGGTCCATCTCGCCTACATCGAAGCAACTAGGGAGTCGAATATCACTGGGACCAAGGCTCAACGTCTTGCTGAAGAGAACAAGGGGCAGCTTGAGCAATGGAAAAGTAAGTTACTGACCATAATTGTCCCCTATGTCTTGCATACACCACGATCTGTCGTCAACCACCCCTCCAACCTCTCTATGAGAAGTGCCTCAATCAACCCCCTCTATCACTCAATTGGCTAATCAAATTCCCAACAGACCTGCACAAGACCGTCAATGACACGGGGGACGTGGAAGATTTGAATGACATACTCCAAGGCCAGAGCCATCGGGCTCACTTGTCTGCCAGCTATGGTTTCCTTCATACTCAGGGCCATGGCCATCATCCGATGGCAGTGCAGTCCGCCGGTCGTGGGGGCGGTGTCATGGGAACTCGAGGACGCGAACTCGCCCATGGGTAAGAAACCTTTGGGGCAGCTAGTGTTGCTTAATTGTCTCCAGACTAACGCGGAGCTAGATCTCCCAGGGCTTCGTACCGTGGAGCTGCCTCCAAACCACATCCACGAGCCTCTTACGCCTCAGCTGTATCGGTCCATTTGGACCCTGCTCTTGACACCAACAACGGTGTTGCTGCTAGTGCTTATCGCGGTAAGGGGTATTTCAGAGGCAATGGTGTCAAAGAACGAGGCCATGGTAAGGAACCCACAGATCACAGGTTGATACAGCACTGACACATTCCCCCAGAGGGCAGGAAGCCAGTCCCAGTCCCCCGACCCACGCGACCGACGTATGTACTTCATGTTACTCAAGCTCATCCTCTCATGCTAACTTTTTTCTCACAGGACGGACTATTCCCGACATGTCAGTACCCCACAGGCGTTCTTGGCTTCGATTCACAGCCCAGTTCAGCCTTCCAACCTCTCTCCTGCAACTGCCACCTCTCCAGTCCAGAGGCCTGCATCCGTTGCCATCACCCCGGAGCCGAAGCGTCCTCCTCCCTCGTTTAGGCCTGAGATATCCATTCCGGTCACCGTGCCTGTGAACCCCAAGGCCAAAGTTACCAAGGCTCCTGCTGCTACGACTGCTCCGTCTGCCGCTATAGCCAAGGCTACGCAGGTTTCTTCCATGACAATTCCCTCATACCCCAAGTCCGCGGAAGCTCGAGCTACAGTTCGGCTGCCTGCTATGGCTACGGCTGCAGCTAAACCTAATCCGGCTTCTCCTTTCGCTATTATAGCTGCCACCGCTACTGCTAACGCTCGACCTACTCTACCCTCTACACCAGTTGCGAAACTGGTTGCAGGCGCTCTTCCTGCTGCTACAGCTCGACCTACGCCGCCATCTGCGCCAGTTAGGAAGGCAAATGTGTCTGCGAAGCCGAACCCACAGATGAAATACCCGGTCGAACTTTTGCTCACTATGCAAACCAAGGCAGAAAGGCATCGGCATGCGGTGCTGAAGTCGACAGCCCCGGAAGACAAGAACAAACATGCAATGCAGCATTTGAGTGCCAGGACTTTCCATGATAAAAAAGCTGCTTCCGGGAGCCAGGCCGGTCAGTTTCAAAAGGCCGAACCGCAGGAGAAAGCTCGGGCTGCCAAAGAGCAAGCTTCTCGCACGTGTGTGGAAGTACTGCAGCGACAAGTTGCATTCCTTGCAAGAGTAGGAGCCGCTCAGGCTCCAATGGCTGCTTCTCGTGCCGGAAGGACGCAAAGGTCAGATTCTGAAGCTACGTCGGTGGATACATCAGAAAGCGCCATTTCATACCCCAAGCCTATGCTTCCCGAGAAAGACAATTTCACCCAGTCTGTTTCGAGCGGACATCTTCTCGATTTTGAAGCAGAACCAATGCCCCAAACTGAATTGCCAGAGCATGTTCTCAGCCCTGCGCTGGTGGATTTGACAGGGCTCGATTTCCCCAAAACCAGACTTCATGACACAGTAGAGAAGGAACCCTCTATTCCTGGAACGCCTTCCGTCTCTTGCGAAGACATTGAGCAGCAGACCCTCTCTGAAAGCGTTCAAGATATTGAAAGAATGCTCGATCCGAGGTTGGTTGCGATGTCGAAACTGGTTGACGAGTTCCTGAAACAAATGAACGATTACAGGAGAGAATTTGAATCACATGTCACAAAGGCCCTCAGCTCATCTGGGAAGTCTCAATCGGCATCGCATCAAGTTATCGCGACACCTCAGGGATCCTCCCCTTCTGTGATCATGCACACCGCGCCGGGCAGTCCAGTTCGAGCTCCAACAACACCCAGCATGACCAAGACCGACAAGATCACGGAGATGCAGAAATGGCTTTCCCAATCCGGTGCTATCTCTAGAGATGCAGCAATCAACCATCCATCGTTCTCGCGGTATCGATCTCCGGTGCGTATCCCATCTTCCGGGACAGACTCGCCTCCCGATGCACAGGAGTTACCAGGAACTCCTCTCAAAACTGCTTTCTCCGGGAAAATACCAAGCTTTGACACTCTCCGAGTATCTGAATCACCTGATCGTACAACTCATACTCGTGACCCGGTGAAGAAGTCTGAGCCCGAGCCTGCGGTGAAAGGGTCTACCGCAGAAGGAACCACGGTCTCGGAGACTGTGCCGCCTGGTACGAGCCCAAAGATCAAGTCTCCCGGTGATGGTCAACCTAAAAAAAGGTTTAATTCGATGAACAAATCTATCTACGCAACTCCTGGTGTTCCCATGTACACTGGCCCTCCACTGTACACTGCAATCAGTCAGCCAATCGATCAGCCACTTGGCCAGGTGACTGAATTCGGGAAGACAAAGGTCCTCGGCGTTGCCCCGTACAATCCTTCTGCACGAGTTCCATCGCTGTCTCAGCGCTCTCAGAATATTTCTGTTCGAGATATTACAATGCCAGATGCTCCTGAGCAGACGGAGCCGAACCAAATCGGTGCTCGAAGTACTAGCCCCCCTCCATCTCCTTACGTCGGCCGAACCGACCAGTCAACCTCCGCCTCCTCGGGTGGACTGTACCAGTTGATGTCGAGTGTGCCACGGAAAGAGGAGAACAAGCCAGCCTCTGGTCCTACAGTGCTTGGTCCTAAGCCGTTCACAATCGCTCCCGCGTCCTCCTCCGGTGGGCTTTACCAGCCGATGTCGAGCGTGCCACGCAAAGAAGAGAAGAAGGTATTATCTGGTCCTACTGTTCTTGGTCCCAAGCCATTCACAATTCCCCCTCGCAAGGAGTCGAAGTTCGCTCTGTCACGAATTTTCCAGTAATTGTGAGTAGTGTCTTTACTCGACCAAATCAAGGTTGTTTACGGTCATCATCTCCCCCACTGCCTTCGTTCTCCCGCAGCGGTGTCTTTCTCCTCCCTCTATTTCTCCTCTCTCTCTCCCACTCGCCGTGGGCCTGGCCTCTCTCGTAGGGAATCTTTCTCCTCTCGTCCTGTGTCTTTGCCTCCCACTTTGGGACGACTTGTCTGTTTAAGAGTAGTGCGAATACCGCTCAATGAATGAAAAATGTTAGATTACTGTCAAATCTTCTTTCCCTTTATAGAAAAAGCTTCTCGGAATCTGTCCAGTGTCTTTTTCTCATTTATAAGGGGAGGTGCCCATTATTAACACTACGGGAGTGAGCCACTCTATACTATATTGCATAAGTACCACATAATGCCTGGCATTTCTTGGCTTGCTCTTTCCGTTTTAGTGCTCACCCCTCGCTCCCTGAGTAGAACTGAGCACAGACCAACAATAGCGCTAGCTATTAGGGGTCCGACTTGGGACGGGTACTCCGACACAGACTCAGGCGATCTGACCACTACGTGTGACTTTATCTAGTCCGTCAGGCCCAGAAAATGACTGCATGTGTTATCGAGCTCTTAGTATGAGAGGACTGTGACATCCCTATGGCTTTCAGGATAACTGTTTGCGGTTGCCGTTATTTGGGGTGATAATATACTCTTTACCAACCTCCGTATTGATCGGACCCGTGTAAATCTTCCCGTTGACCGAGAATAACTCACCATCTTGCACGCGGAGTTTGAGCTCATTGCCGAGCTTCGACCTAACAGTGCCACGTGTAAAATTGCCATCCTTCCACTCCACATCGACCTCAAAGCCATGGCGCGCCACGAGGCCCTTGAAGCTACCAGTGGGCACCTCCGACGGGAGGGCAGGAAGGAGGTAGATCGTATGGTCCAGGCTCTGGCTTTGGAGCAGCATCTCCGTGAGGGCAGCTGTGATGCCGAAGTTTCCATCAATCTGAAACACTGCTCCGTGGTCTGTGTTCCATAGCGCGGTGGTCGGGTACGTCTCGTACCACTTCTTCACATGGAACCACACGTCGCTACCCGAGAGAGCGCGGGCGTACTGACAGGCCAGCCAGGTGCGGCTCCAGCCCGTGCTGCCAGATCCATACTGGACACGTCGATCGAGAAGGACCTTGGCTGCGTTGAAGATAGTGTTGTTCTCCAGCGGCTCGAATTGGTTGGAAGGATGCAGACCGTACAGAGGGGATAGGTGCCTCATGCCTGGTGTTGTCTCGTTGTACTCGTACCGCCACTCGAGAAGCTGGCCGTAGGAGCCAATGCGAGGTTCGCGGATGAGCGGCAGGAACTTTTTAGCTGCTTTGACAGCCTTGTCGTCTCCCGGAATCCCGAGCGCCTCGGCGCCCTCAAGAACGCCCTTCATCACGTCGCGCATGAGCTGGTTGTCCATCTCTGGGGCTATGTCCATTGCAGCCCATTGACCCACCTCGCTTTGGTTATTGAGCAAATAGAATCCATTCTCGGGCGAGAGTGATGGGCCAGTCACCAGGTTGCCTTCCCAGAGGAATGCGTAGCACTGGTAAAATGTGGCGACGTCAACCAGGAACGGATACGCTTTTTCTCGGAGAAAATCCTTGTCTCCACTGAAGCGGTAATGGTCAATCATGTGCTGGACGAGCCAAGCAGCTCCCATCGGCCACATAGTAGCCGCGGTATAGTTATCTGTCGGAGCTGGGTCGCCCCAAATGTCGAGATTGTGGTGGAAGACAGTGCCCGGGCAGCCGTATAGGCCCTCAGCCATCTTTTGACCTCTGGGTTTGGCCACGTTCATGAGCTCAAACAATGGCTCTCCTAGCTCACCAAGGTTGGTAGGATCAACTGGCCACATGTTCATTTCGATGTTGATGTCGATGGTGAACTTTCCGCCCCACGCTGCGAAAGTGTCGTTGTTCCAGACTCCAATCAGGTTCGGGGGCATGTCAACGACATCCGGTGTGTTGCGTGAGGAGCTAATTAGCAGATGCCGCCCGTAGTTCCACGTTAGAGTAACAAGCTCAAGATCATCAAGGCTAGTGCGGGCCCTGTTGACGCGCTGGTCAAGAGGGAGCTCAGCCAGGCCATTGGGAGATTTGCCCAGATCCAGCTCGGCACGATTGCTCAGGGCCATGAAGTCGTCGATCGCCTCCTTCTTCAGATTCATGAAGCCCTTCTTCATCGCTGTATCAAGACGCTTGTTCATTATCCCTTCCCACTCTTCGCGGGTGTGATACTCATAGTTTGTCTCAGTGTCAAAGAAAATATCCACAGTAGTCGCTCCCGCAATGGTCAGATTCGAATCAGAAGAAGTGAACTTCGCTTCCAAACAATTAGTATGCATCTCAATAAATTTGAAGATGTTAAAAACCCCACTTACCTCCATCTGCTACAAACCGCGCTTGACCAGTGAACTCGAATGGATGTTGCTCGGCTGGTTGTCCACTGGAGGCCCTCATCGTGATAGTATTCGTCCCGTTAGCGGTCGAAGCGTTGTTGGTCTGAATATATCTCGTGCGAGTGAAGTAGGCGTTGAAGTTCAACGCACCCTTCTTGCTAGCAGTGATACGCGCCGCAATAACATTTGTAGGGAAGTTGGCGATATACTCGCGACTATAGACGAAGTCAGAAAGATATCTTTGCGTGATAGGACGTAGTGGATTGACTGACGTGTAACTGACTCCGTTATACGTGTAGGAGACGCCAACGTTTCCATGCTTGGTATCCAGCCACCGGGTATAGTTGGCCAGGTCATTGGGATGGTCAAAATCGAGGTGTAGGTTGCCGAAGTAGCTGAACTGTCGTTCCGAGGGTTGGGCAGGTGTCATTTCCTGAAGACAGAGATCACCGCCCTCGGTGATATTGCCCTCAAGAAGGTCCTCGCGGACCTTTGACTCATACTGCCGGCCATTTGGAGGGATGCGATGCTGAATCGGACCGTCCCAGATGGACTGCTCGCTGAGTGTAATGATCTCATCACCGCCGCCAAAGATTGCGGACCCCATTCTTCCGTTTCCGATCAGCTGCGCACTGGTTTCCCAGTCGGAGCCTGGCTTATCGAACCAAATATAACGGGCTCCATCAAGGGCGGCATGGCCAAAGCCCGCCGTTCCCAGCAGAAGGCTGAGATGGAAAAAGGAATGCAAGAGCATGGTTGACAACAAGATCTAGATTTGCGGTCTCACAGTCCAGACACTATTAAGCCCTCGTGGGTTCAAAATAGTTGCCTGGAGATTGATGAAAACGACGCATTTTAAATCACAATATGCCACCTTGGAACCCATTTCCCCGCATCAGATACGGTCCTCATCGGAAGATTGTTTGAGAGTTGAAGCTCGGCACTGGGTAAATAGATCTACGCTCGGTCGTCTATTCGCACCAGGCACTTATGCGCATTGGACCAGGTGGATTAAAAAGCTATAGGCCACGGTTCTACATTCAACGCCTTGTCTCCGGTTGTTTACATAAAAGACATTCCGAGACACAATTATCCGACGTAGGGGCCACGTGCCTTTTCTTCCTATTTGCCGGCAAATGCACAATTTCATGCCTCCGTATCTTTTTTTTTTTTTTTTTTTTTTTTTTCAATCATCTATGGTTGATAGATGAGATCAACTTCGGGAGGAAATCAACTGAAAGGCACCCTTAAGCTAATGACCGGCAGAGAATATTGCCAAGGCAGTGGCACAAGAATTGGGAAGAAGGGCCCTGAAACGAGAACACGAAACGGCTGCTTTAACCAAAAAATTTCCGCCAGTTTTCTATCTACTAATGCCCAAAAGCACTACAGAGAACCAAGCATATTAGCTACAGGAAGCTCTTTTGTAGTTAAATATATCGCATGTTCGAGACTTATAATCATCTGCGTCATCATGAAGGCATTTGGGATGAGGAGGTAATGTTCACCTATGCCGTGGTAGACCTCTATCTGCGTGTTAGCAAACGTTGCAAAGAAGGAGTTACGTACGACTTACCACCCACAAAGAATCCAAAAAAAAAAAGCCTATGAGAATACCCCATAAATTCTTAGTCCACATCCTCGTAGGAGTCACTCTAAGGAGCGCCTTACCAATGAGACTAGGATCGTATAATCGTCTGTTCCTGTCTGCTTTACTATGATTGTTCTTGTATGAATCCGAAGGATAACAATAAAAGCGCTAGGGAGGTGAAGACAGGACTAATGGTCAGCGCGGAGCAGCCTCGTGAGGTTAATAATGTTGACATTATTGCATATAGACCATGAATACTATGATGATTTGCTAGTTTGTTTGCTTAAGGACCACTAGGGGTCTAATGGTACCTATGCCGAGGAATCGAAACCCATTCATAGGAAAGTCCATGTTCTAGTCAGAGTCACTTCTTGTGGTATCTAATGCCGTAGCTTTTGGAGGGAATGTCAAATAGGGGGCTAGGGATAGTAGTCCATAACGCGAGAAGCTTTAGGGGGCACTATTTCTATTCGACCCCGCAGGAAAATTACGGATGGAATTTTGGAAATCACCTATGCGCTGCGGAAAAATGCAGAGATTACCTGTTTATTGAGAATAATCGCGTAGCTAACGCATAGCATACCTTCAAAAGTATGTTCTTATAGGGAAATAATCCGCAAAAGACCGTTTAGGACAAGCGCCGCACACTCGTCGACCGTTCTTTCCTAGCATTGTCGAAATCTAAAATCCCAACGGATAATAACGTGATAATACCCGATTACTGTCTTGGATGGCCAGGATGTTGCAATGGTTCCGTCGATGAAGACGATCGATTATTAGCCTGCATGTACCATCATGATTTTACCCTGCAGCTCTGCGGGAGAATAATTTTGGCTAAAAGTAAAGATCAAATCGGGCTATTCATCAGAGGTACCACATGATGCCCCGCATTCCCAACGACTAATGGGCTGCGCGCAGAAAAGCCAAACTTTTCTGGTGGATTTCGGAAAGCTCCCATAGCGGCAAGTAGCGCCGTATTTTCAAACCTTAAGCAATCTTTAAAGACACATGCTTGTTTCCGTGCCCTGTACATTCCCGTCAAACAAACCAAGGCCCAAAAAATATTATCAGTGCGACTATATTCCTATCATGATGTTCCTCAGCAGCGCTGGTATTCTCGTCGGGCTTGGGCTCATAGCCAAAGCTCAAAATTTTACCAATCCCGTCATTTATGGAGATTTCCCTGACAATGACATCTTCCTCGGTCCTGACGGAAAGACCTTCTACTTTTCAAGCTCCTCTTTCCACTACTCCCCAGGTGCCCCGATCCTGGAATCTACCGACCTGGTGAACTGGCAGCTAATTGGCCATTCGGTCCCAACTCTTGATTTTGGGCCTGACTATTCCATGGAAGACGGCAACACTGCCTATAACCGCGGAATCTGGGCTTCTACTTTGCGCCATCGCAAGAGCAATAACAATTGGTATTGGATTGGGTGTATCGACTTCTGGACGACTTATGTTTACACAGCCCCAGAAGTCACTGGACCCTGGCAGCAATCTTCCAGTTTTCAACCCTGTTTCTATGACTGCGGTCTTTTGATCGACGACGATGACACGATGTATGTGGCTTATGGAAGCAATAATGTGTCTGTCGCTCAACTCTCAGCAGATGGATTGAGCATTGTTAAGACTGAGGTAGTGTTTAGCTACCCCCCTGAGTGCACTGGAATGGAAGGGAATCGCATGTATAAAATCAATGGCCTGTATTACATTCTCGATGATTGCCCTGGGCAGTCAATCACCGAGATTTGGAAGTCTTCTAGCCCGTGGGGCCCCTATACAAGGAAGATTCTCAGCGATAATACCCCCTCTCCAGTTTCTGGCTCTGGTTCAGAAGATCAAGGCAGTCTTATTCTGGCTCCTAACGGGCAGTGGTACTTTATGTCTTTTGCTTGGGCATACCCCGCAGGCCGATTGCCTATTCTTGCTCCAATAACCTGGGGTTCAGACGGCTTCCCTATACTTGAAACAGTCAACGGTGATTGGGGTGAATCCTATCCGTATCCTCTTCCACGGAATACTACGACGCCACCGTGGAACAGTTGGGATGGATTCTGGGGTGACTCACTTCCCCCGACATGGGAGTGGAATCACAATCCAGATACGACTAAAATCTCCTTCGACAATCCCGGACTCACGCTCCACACAGCTACCGTGACCAATGACTTGTACCATGCCAATAACACTTTGACTCATCGGCCTAATGGACAGTTCCCAGTCGGAACTGTTCAAATTGACTTTACAAATATGGCAGATGGTGATACAGCTGGGCTGGCCCTGTTCAAGGAACTAAGTGCTTGGATTGGCGTGGTTCGCAGTGGCAACACTTACAGCCTTACTTGCGTGCAAGGTCTCACTCAAGATCCTAACAATCACTGGGCAACACTCAGCACAGGAACTGTTGTTGGAACAGTGTCTATTTCAGCAAAACAAGTCTACCTACAGGCCAGTATGGATGCGCGCTCGGACGGATCCAAGCAAGCGACATTTGGATATAGCCTTGATGGTAATACCTTTACGCAGCTTGGTGGTGCCTTTACTTTGAGCGATAACTGGGGGTACTTTATGGGATACCGTTATGCTATCTTCAACTTTGCGACAAAGGCTCTAGGGGGCTCTATTAAGGTTCTTAGCTTTGTTAGCTGGGACTAGGGATGGTGTCGTTACAATTCTGGACTTGAGATTACAGTGTTTTGTATATGAATGTTGTGAAATCGGAGGAATGGGAGCACAAGAAGCGTCGAGATTAGTTACACGTTATGTTATTGAAGCAATTGAGTCTGTATCGTTAATCTTCTCTTTTTCACGATCTGAAATGAGCGATGATAAGCAGCGTATTACGGCAGAGCCTCACCTTGTAATAGGCGTCGAGATCGGTTAGCGCCTCAGAACAGGCTCGATCAACCATATTGACGTCCACGCGTTCCTGAATATGGTCTACGTTGAAGTACAGCGTTCTTCACAAACCCTACTAACAAACGCTTCCCGGCGCTAAACCAAAAACCTACTAGCGCCCGCTAAACTTCAGGGAAATCCCGCTGTTCTTCAAAGGACTCCCACTACTCAAATAAACATGTCCTCTCGGATTCTGATCATTCAATCTGAATCTACGACCTTTCTACTATGACCACGCCTAGTCGTAGCCCGGTAGCGTCCGTGGTGGGACCAGAACTTGAAGCGCTTCCCTCGTACCTTAGAGTCCTGCCAGTGTTCCGTGTTGTCCTCTGTACGACACATGGGGGTTGCTACACACGACAGAACCTCTCTCGTCATCTATTAGAGAAGCATCGCTTACAGGGCAGCCAGCGACGGAGAATTGCATCCTCTAGTGAATTAGACCCGGTCGCTACCTCCAATGACGGTGTGGTGCACCCACGGGATCGCACGAATGAGATTCGCAGGCTGCCGACCGTACTGGGATTCCTCTTCCACCTCCCTAGACTGCGACTTCGTTCGACCAGCACCGATTGGATACGACACACTATAATAAAACGCATCAGTGGCAAGTTCTGAGTCAAGGGGCCATCCCGTGGCACGAGGCATATCTTCAGAACGTTATTTCAGCAGAAGCAATGCCAGCAGTACTTTGCGGTGGTTCTAGCCGATCAGATCCACCAGACGGCTACTCCACAATGTATAGAGGATATATGGGTAACAAAACGGGTAACAAAAATGAGACGTAATCTGCGCGGTTGTGGTCCGACTTTAGGGGGCGATTACAGTGTTGTCTCGCTGAATGGAGACGATCGATTCACAGGCAAGGCATCAGTGACAGAAAATCAATAATTCACGCTGGCAGTGTTTTCACGTAGTTCATGGATACTGTGATGCTGTTGATGCTGTTGACGGTGTTGACGGTGTTGGTGAAGACGATGGTGACGCTGCGCTGATAAGCGGGAGCGGTGACCTGTTAAAACGGTCAATCACCAGGCGGTGAGTCAACACGCTTATCCCTGACGGCGCACATCTTCGTCTGTTACGCACAAGACCCCACCTGCATGCACAGTCTACTTTTCACTCGCACATCCAAGGCGTGTCTAAACTTCATATCAATTGGAAGCTTGTACGGCGCTAAATAGACAACGACTTCGCATGTATGACCCCTGGTTCACTGGAGTGGACCACAAAGGATTCTGTCAGTGCAACTATCCACCTGGTAATTTACAATATGATCCAGCTGCTGCATTCCTAGCGCTTACTCAGCTAACCGCCACTGTCTATTATGGAAACTGGCGCCCGATGTGGAATTTACACGTCCATTTTCACTCCGACAATTCCCGCCTGTCTGCCCTATAAATACAGTCAGAATAGCTAGTCTGAATAGCATCGATTTCATCATTCTCGAATGAGACTACTAGGTAGAATTACTAGTGCATACGCCCATCAGACATCCTGACAGATTCCAATCTGTGCAGAGTGTACACCGGTCCGCATCTGTGAAATCTTTGAAGTTTGACTATAGTAGTCTATTAAATTAAGCTTCATTTGTATGATTTCTAAGCAACTTCACGCCTCAAAAGTTCATTTGCGAAATGTTGCGGTCTGGTTCCTGATCTTCAACAGCCTCAAATCACGACGATATATTGATACAGGACCGTGCGAATGTGTATGCAATTCCTATGTCTTCAACTGGGAGCTTCCACCTGCTTATGTCCCACGGACGTAGAAGGCTACAACTCCATGTCTGACGTCGACCAGCATGATACATCGGTATTTGTCTCATTGACAGGCACAATAGTTTCTCATCATGGTCTGATATACTCGCGTCCAAGAATGTTTTCAATCATTGGCTGGTCGGACCAAAGGCTATTTGTCCATTGGTGGAAGGTCACTCCAAGAGATAGTGTTAGTTTTTACGGTTCTGTTGACATTGATCAAGCTAATGTCTCAAAGAGAGGACGAAACGTGCTCCGATAAGTACCTTGATTCACTCGTTGATCACATGAAGAGCAAACTCCCACATCTGTGCGCTGTCTTCTCGAATTTGGATCCACTTGGCAGTGAGCTATTGAAAACTGGCACCCTTCCTCCGCATGTGGATTTCAGTGATATTGCATCCAAGGTACAGCGAGCCCTAGGCCTTGACCATGAGGAAGCGGTTCGGGACAATTGTAAATGGGCTTCCCTGGAATGGAAATGGGAATCAAAAAATGAGATCTTGTCTACATTGGAAAATATACTTCGGTACAGGTGCCTCGTTTTGGTTATTGGGAAATTCTGTCCATATCAGTTATCGTTTAGTCACTTTGCGCTTGTTACGATCGCTTACTGAAAAGATAATGACAGTGCAGTACCATTAGCTCTCACCCGGGGAAGCTGGCCGAGTATAAAGAGTTCTATCGGGCTTTAGATTGACATCAAGAGTGCCACCTTTTTAGATAAGCCCTTAATACTTTCTGTTATTCTCGTACATTCTATTCAATTGTTTCTGCTCTACATGATGATCGCGGTCAATCTAGACGATATCATCCGTTCTCGCGTGCCTGCTTCTAAACACTATTTCACGCCGCCGCAAGCACCTGGCTTTGTCCCTCATTACCCTTCGCCGTCGGCTTCAGACATATTCCCCCTAACCCATTAGGTTCCTCCATACCTTACGCAGTCCATTTTTCTATCCTCCGTACATTCTCGTGGCCTACAAAACCATGCCCAAAACCTACAATTCGTGACCTCTCATTCATCTAGTGAAGCGTAATATTCACCGTTATTCAATACTAGCCTTCCTAACTAGTCGGCCACTAAGAACCCAAACGAATTTGACAAAGAGTTATTGAATCGCGATATAGTAAGAAAGGATAGCTTAGTTAAGCTAGATATATACTCGATGGATAGAGAAGCACAAAATGGCTCTGTTGGTGGCAATAGAGGACGGAAATCACGGTCCTTAGAATGATGGTTCGTGAGCCCGATTGACTATCTGAATCCATATTCGGAGAGTTTCCTTTACCCTCATAGGAAAAGAGAAAAGAGAGAAAGAAGGGGATTAATGCTGACTTTGCTTCTTAATACTAGACTTTCGGGACGATGCTAAGGATGCCCTTCTCGAACTTAGTTTATAGGCCGTCTTCGAGGATGATCTAGCTCTATAGGAAGATATTAGCGGTTCGTCACCGGCTGTTGGGTTCTGTCCGTCGGCGGAATGTCCTAGATCTATACCCGAGTTTCCGGCACTAGCTCAAATAATCTCTAACCAGAGAGACTTGAATCTTTTGACAGGTAAGTAGACTCGAATGGGCGTACTTAGTAGAGTCACTCATGTATTAGAATACAGACTAGGCCGCAGTAGACGTCGTGGTGGCTCAAGTCTCCGTTTGCGATAACATGGAGAACAGCATAGTAGCCGATGAAAAGAATTCAATGTCTATGAGCCGAGACAACGTCATTTGCCAAGGAAATTCACTATCCCATCAGCTCGACTATCTACATGAAGCTACTAAAGATAATCTTCATCCGTCAACTTGCAGTCACTAGCGGGAAAGAGCAGATACCGAAAATCCAGCAGTAACCAGTCTATCAGTGGAGGACCGTAAGGGTCAATAGCGCAGAGGAGCTACAGAAATTCGCCTGTGAGAAGGATTTCAACGACAGTAAAAGAATCTTGAATGAAATAATTGGAAATAGACGAGCCCTAATTAAAAAGTAGTTGTGAAGCCATCCCTCACCGCCTCTCGCAGTCGAAGTACCATACGAACGTTATTAGGCGTGTTCCGTAGTAGCTCAATTCAGAAAACATAATTAACATGGGTTCCGAATCTAGCACGAAAATGACTGCATCTAGCGAAGTTAAGATAGCTGTGTGCAGGTCCCAGTCTGGTCGCAGCAGACTAGGTGACTCTGCCCGTTGTGGCCCGGCAATGGGCAACTCGCACGGCCTGGATTTGTGTAACAGGTTCCGGTGAGAAAGTTCTTGGAAAGCTGCTGTTGATTGGTGCAGCAAAAGCAGTATGAGGTAGCAGTAGCAGTAGCCGTAGTAGTGGTAGTTGTGGTTGATACTGTCGTACTGGTCTTTGTGGCCGTGGTCGTGGTCGAGGCCGTAGTGGTGGTCGTGGCTGTAGAAGTGCAGGTTGATACTGTAGCCGTAGTGGTGCTCGTGGCTGTCTTGGTGGTCGAGGCTGTAGAGGTGGTCGTGGCTGTAGTGGTGGTCGTGGCTGTAGAAGTGCAGGTTGATACTGTAGCCGTAGTGGTGCTCGTGGCTGTGGCAGTTGTAGTACAACTTGTCGTGGCTGGTACACAAACGCAGATACCACCCCCGCCAAGGACACCAAGGTCAAGTAGGCCGGTAGATCCACCCTCGCAGGAACCTGATTCGAAACCCGCGTTTTTACACTTCATGAATTAGCATGTCAGTATCGAAGTGACCTCTCCGGATACCCATAGATAATGTATCCTACCTCGGTGTCACAAGCATCCTGGTCGCAACCACCACCAGGGCAAATGCCAATGTTCTTGATCGAACCGCCATCCCCACCTTGCCAAATCTTCACCCCACCATCCTTGCCTCCGCCCCAACCCTGAGGCCCGCCCTGTTTGCCTGGAGCAACCTCGCCCGGGAGCGCATTGACAAAAGCACAGCTTAAAAGGGTAATAAGAGGGAAGAGCATTTTTGCAAAGCAATTGGCTTGAACAATAAGAAATGTTGCTGGAAATTGGCACTTGTTGGACTGCCCGATGTAATAAGAACAATTTTTGTCCCTATCCTCCCAGCGCAGGAGGCTATATATATAGCTCACAGCTATTCATTACCTTTCTAAGTTCGTTATCACAATAAAATGCTTGGACATATTTCCTAGGATGTAAACACTCACCTTTCCTGCAAACGAGCGATAATGTGGAATCCAGGGAGGTTGATTGTATGCACACATTTTTTGGCGTGAAAGTTAAAAGAAGGGAGAACTGTATGAATTCTGAAAAAAATAATGCATTTCTTTATCACAAAGTAATAATAGGCGATGCGTGATATGACACGATATAGAGATATGTTCCGAGTATAGGCAGCGACCTAATGGATAAGGAACGTAATTAATCTATTACCGGAAAACTTCACCACCTATCTTGGCCTATAAGTGACTTAATTACACTTGCACCACTGGTCTACCCTCACTGGCAAGATATTGAAATTCCCAACCGGCTATCGCCCCACCTGGCATGTTCTGAAGAACAGTACATTACGACTAACGTATCACACATCACTAGGACAATTTTCGCTTTATTTTACGTATCATGTCATACTATAACCAACATATAAGACAGCCATACAATACCATCTCAAGAAAGTTCTCGTCCCTCCCCCTTGATTACATAAGATTCTGCCGCCTATTCTGCCAGCTCAAAACCTCATCCGATTTCTAGATACATCACCTAATATTTGGTATACCAGCCCTCAGCCTCAATAATAGCCTGCAATCTATATGGCATTGTCTCTGAGAGATGTACGATAATATCTAGATCTAGTGCATCCCACGCCTCTTAGGCTGCAGCCACTAAAAGCTCACGCGTAGTGTCATTATTGGGCATTCTTTTTAGCTCTGGGTGAAACTTAAAGATCTTATCCTTGAGCAGCGTCCATAGTTCTCAATGGTACTAAGATCTGGTGTTCTCGCTGGCCAGTCCATAATCTCAATCCCCATCTCTGCTAAAACTTCGCGGACGACGCTTGCAGTATGCATTGATGCGTCATCTTGTTGAAAAATCCCATAACGATTTTCAAGCAAAGTAGGCAAGATTCGAAGATATAAACCTCGAATAATAAATCTATCAACACCTCCGCGTCTCGATTCTGGATTTCCGAATAGAGAAATCAGGCTAGTTCGTCGTGTAGAGCCAGAAAACGCAGCTCAACAAATCTGTTTTGTTTGTTTTCCTTTTGTCGGTAAACCGCGGACATCACGTTTTAGAATTTGATCTTTTCGCGAAGGAAAGAGATATTCACGTCGTTCACCTATTCCGCGTTCAACTGTATACGCATCAGACCAGAAAACTCGAGTCCAATCCTGACGGGTATAGTGCTCGTACGTTCGAGCCCATTGAAGTCGTTGAGCAGCGTGGTAAGGCGATAAGCCTAGTCGATCAATAATAAGCCATTTTCGACGACCTTCTTCAACTAAAAGCCGACGAATTGACTCTTTTTTGACTTTATTATCGACTTCAGGAAGTAAATCTTCGTAGGTATGCGAGGATTTTCGTCGATAGCGTTTAAAAGCTTAGCTTTATCGTTATCGTCAAGCTTTCGTGAACACCCAGAACAAGGTGAGGTTTGGTTTTCGATGCGCCTATTCGCTCGCTGAACAGTTGATTTGATCGTAGAGATTGGAATCGACTGATACTCCGCTTGGATTTGCTTGTATGTCCAACCGTCCACGGTCTTAAGCTCTATAAGCTTCATACACGTATAGGCGTCAAGTTCACAGTTTAGACGGCGAGGTGGACGGATGGCGGCCCTAGTAGAACGTATGGGAGGCATATTAGCACTGCTTTATAGAGGAAATATAGAGAAATGTATGTAGACGCGTTACTATACCACTATACTTCGCCCTAACCCGCAGGACCCAAAACCCAACCCAACCCACCCCGCAAATGGGTTGGATTTTGGGTCCAACTCTTTAACCCACAGTGGGTTTTTATTTTAATGAAATATAATTAAATAGAGTATAAATAGTATTAAAAACAACTAAAATAGCTAAATTAAAAATTTAGGGTTAAGTAAATAATCGTAAGAAAAAATGGTGCTTCTACATATCGCACGAATATATATCTTAACCGGCCTATTATAAATCTATTTTAACTACCTTATTTGGTAATTTTGCTAGCTACTACTACTATATATAGCTAGAATAATCTATAATAAGCTTTATTTTGATAAAAATTGGTCATATATAGTAGTAAAAGTAAGAGTAAAGTGTGTAATGGTGGTTACAATTCATAATTTATAAGCAGATTTATGAGCGCTAAGGCCTTGATTTTATAAAAAAAATGGGGTTTAATGGGGTCCCATTGGGGCCCCATTGCGGGTTATGGGTTGGGTATTGGGTCGAGACCTTCGACCCAGTTTTGGTTACGGCGAAGTCTATATACCACCGTTCGCTTGGCGTGTTTAAGCGCGCTGAGATAACCAGACAGTATTGTACGCGGTGTGGGCGGTGTGGAAAGGGCGGTGTGGGAGTGGGACGCAGACTTTCGAATTGCCTCTGTACAAGGTACAGTACTGTATAGCCCAGCGTACGATAGTTGAAATTTCAACTTTCTTGCTCGGGGTGGTAGATAGTGAGGCATCCTAAATGAGGCCCTTAGGATGCCATAAGGGATAGATGCCTTACTGTCAACTGTCAAGCTTGTGTGTGCCCCTTGCTATATCTAAGATCGTACGTATTTACCCCGACGATGGGCTCCGTCCATACAAGCTTATAAATAAGGTTAGGGTCGAATATGTGGGGTGTGCGCCGCGGCGGCGGTAGTTTTGGTGTCCTGGCGCATTACTTTAGGCCGGAAAGAATGCAAGAACGCGGTCATACCCCGGCAATTGGTTCCGTCCAGTACAAGCTTATAAATAAGGTTAGGGTTGGGGTGTGCGCGGGGGCGGCGGTAGTTTCGGTGTCTTGGCGCATTACTTTAGGCCGGAAAGAATGCAGGAACGCGGTCATACCCTGGCAATTGGCTCCGTCCAGGACAAGCTTATAAATAAGGTTAGAGTCGAATATGTGGGGTGTGCGCCGCGGCGACCGTAGTTTTGGTGTCCTGGCGCATTACTTTAGGCCGGAAAGAATGCAAGAACGCGGTCAGATCCCCTTTCAAGTTTGAAATGTGGTTTTGTTTGGGCCGTTCCTATGCCCCGATATGGAAGGCGATTTGGTCAAGCCACCTAGGGTTGAATTCTCGGGACCATAATATTTCTGGTGGGAATGCGAAGAACACTCTGCCCTGGAACGGGCGCATTGTTTATTCTCGCTACAAATCCTACTCCCCGATATGAACGCGATTTGCCCGAGCCCCCTAGGGTTGAATTCTAGGGATCATATTATTTCTGGTGGGAATGCGAAGAACACGCTGTTCTGGAATGGGCACATAGCGAATCCTCGCTACGAAAGATAAAGTAAATGCAAGTCGCCCTGGCGCAAAGCATCTAAGCTACAGCTTTTTAATCATGATTCCTTGAATGTGTCTGTCTGGAACGACATATCGGGGTGTTTATAGAGCCTATTCGTCAATTCATTTGTTTTGCAACTGAGTTGAATCACACACCGTGGACGTGAGCAAGTTTGTCAAACACATTCTTTTCGTTCAAACAGTGAGTACTATTCGGACGGCAGTATGACTTTGGATTCCAAAAACGCGAAGCCAAAGCACTCACGAATGATTTGTCGAATACTTTGGTCGACTCGAGGCACAATCACCTTCCTGCTGTTCATATCATTTTTGGCTTGGCAGCTCATAGCTGGACAGAAATATTGGAGCGAAGTTGGTTATACTAGTCGCAATGATAGTCCCTGGACATCTCGAGTGGCAATTGTCGTCTTCATTACGGCGCCACAGACATACATCCATCTCGGGCTTCGAAACAAAGACTGTATGCAATCCTCACATGTCGAATTCTAATTTGCACATTTATCTATTCATAGATAGATCACTGACTTTACTTTGCCTCCGCAGATTATGCTAGGCTTCACGGTTACGACCTCTATATTGATTACGAATCACATTCTACACGGGGCACCACGTGGCTTAAATTTGACATGGTCGAACGTGTTATCAAGGCTGGACAGCACGACTGGATCTGGTATATGGACTTTGACACTCTTATCACAAACACCAGTATAAGTTTGACGGATCTCATTAATGAGAATCTGGCTAAGGCCACAGAGCCGGACACGATAGATTTCCTTGTAACGGACGATTGGTAAGCATTTGAAGAAGTCACGCAAAGTATAGTCCGAGAAGCTTACGTTCTGATTGCTGTTTAGCAATGGACTCAACGACGGTTCATTTATTGTGCGGTCATCATCGCGCTCTATACAATTTCTTGACGCAATCCGCGCTCTTCACGACAGAGACAAGGAACAGAGTGGAAGATCATTGAGCGACCAAGACTCAATGGACGAATTTCTCAAAAGCGACGCTCCCCTTACCCAGCATGCAATGCGTATTCCTCAGTGGACAATTAATGCCTTTCCCGAAGAAATTGGCTGCTACGATACGCAAAAGAAGAAATGGGAGAAAGGCATGTTTGTAATTCATTTCGCAGGCGCATGGGCTCATGTATCTGGGGAAGATCCCACTGGTCAGCTGATGAGGAAATATGAACCTGAAATAATTTGAGGACGTCTACTGTACCACAGAGGAACATAGCCCTTGCTTACTAACCCTTTAACCTACTCATATAGCTTTAGACGGATACGAGGGTGAGGGGAATGAGATGAAATCGCCTAAAGATCTATTGTTGTATCCTACTATAGTGTAGCTAGAGCCATTAGTGCTTAGGCGTAGCTACTTACGATTTTCTTTTGTTGCTAGTAGGCGTACTTATTAGAAGTCTCCTAAGAGTGTATAACGTCACGGCTTTAGCGTAAGTACTAGCGTAAGTTATAAATTTGTGATGGAAGCAAACCGCTTAACGTCTTAGGGATACTAAGTTTATAGGTGTTAGTGAGGACTAGAGAGCTTATTCCTAGGAGCTCGCGGCTAGCACCTAGGAAGTTACGAGCTCCTAGAGACTAGACTATAAATGAAAAGCGTTACTACCATCGACTCCTCGTCTGACCTCTTCTGGGCGATGAAGGGTGCTGGCCATAACTTCGGCATCGTCACGTCTTTGACCTCGAAGGTTTACGACATCCAGTTTAGCAAGTGGGCGATCGAGACCTTCACCTTCAGCGGCACCAAGGTCGAAGCTGTCTACCAAACTGCCAATGACTACCTCTTGAAGAACGGCACCCAGCCTGTGGGTGTTATCAACTGGTCGTACTGGCTCAACATCCCCAGTGCTGACCCTACCAACGTGAGGACGTCCCATGCCAAAGTCCCAAGCTATGAAGCTAACCACAGCAGCCCGTCATTTTGTTCTACGTCATCCAAGAAGGAGTCACGACCGTCGACTCAGCCTACACACAACCCTTCCACGACATCGGCCCGCTGTCCGCGCAAGCCCAATCAGGAACCTACAGGGATCTCGCCGGATGGTCCGGCATCGCCCTGAGCTCTCCCCACTGCCAGGACGTCGGCCTCGCCAACCCCCGTTTCCCCATCTACCTGCAAGAGTACAACGTCGCCCTCAATCAAGCGCCTACACCATCTTCGCCAATGCGGTCCGCGGCGCCTCCTCCTTCAACCACTCCATCTTCATGATCGAGGGCTACTGCATGGAAGGCGTCCACGCCATTCCCGCCGGTTCGGCTGCCTTCGCCTTCCGCAGCCAGAACATCCTAGCCGCTCCGCTGATCACCTACAAGTCTACGGGCTCTACAATCAACTGCCAGGCTAAGCAATTGGGCGATCAGCTTCGTCGGATCCTTTTCCAGGCTAGTGGTCTGCCGAATCCGTGCCTACGTTAACTATGTCTACGGTGATGAGTCATCGCAGCAGTTGTATGGAGCTGAGTGGTGGCGTCAGAAGAGGTTGCAGGCTTTGAAGAGCATGCGGAGGGAAAGTTTAGTTTCTATGCGCCGATTCCGTAGATCGGTCGGGAGAAGGGATTGGCACTATCTGCACATATACATAGTAGTCTTGACTACCCACCTACTTGATGGGTATTACTAGTAATATACAGCATTGGTTCTTTTGTGGTTCAATATGTAATTCAAAAGAGTCAGGTTACCCAGGCAGCCGGCAGTATAAAAAGGTGAGATTCCACCATCCCGATCAAAATACCTGCAGTACTGTATGCCAGACGTTCTCAATCTTCCTTGTCGCCGCTTCTCCCGTTTCTTATCCTCCGGCTGCTCTTCTGAGTTCCTGCAGATTCGAAATGAGCGCGTTGCACGCGGTGGTTGAGGGCCCAGTTCGTAATTTGCCGTCTTTCCAACTCCTCTCATAGACCGCCTTGTTGGAAGTTCTGCGTGAATAGCCATGTTGACCACTATTTCACATTATTCGCCTCTCCACTCATGCAAGAAGTAGTGGGTGTACTGCATTTTGTTTTGAGAAAATGACGAGATATCTCTAACGGTTCGAGACTGTAATGTTCTCGATCGCTGCAATGGAGACGCCCGGGAAGCTTTCTATATCCATGGTCGCGCCTTGCTCAATTTTGCTCGGGTTGCCCCTCCGGTAGGCCCACGCTTTGAGATAGCGATTTGCTAGTTCGTCGACGCTTCTGAGGCTCTCGTTGTCGGTGGTCTGGAGTCTCTCTGCCAGACTCGCTTTGCGGTGTGGGTGCACTAGCAGGTTTAGTCACATCCCTAGAAGCCAATCATCAGCTCGATGTAGGGTCCAAACCATGAAAAGGGCCGCACAGCCCGCTTGCTTTCCCTCTTCTAGCATCAACTCCCAACTACATTCTAGAAAGATTTCAATACGGCGGAAGCCCGTCGATTGAATGGCATGGAGTCGCTTCCTACAAAAATTCTCTCCGGTATCGTGAAGTGTCTTAACAAGCGAAGACCAAAAAGCTTTCCCTCGCTAGTAAGCGGACGAGGGACGTCTGCTTATCCTTCTTATTTCGCAAAGTCAGCCTTGAATTTTCGAAGGAGGGATTTGACTTGCTAGAAAGTCTTCTGAAATCGAGCTTGCATCGGTGTATTGTCTCCGTCGAGTACGTCGCCCCCAAGTTGCTAAAACCTGGTAAGAGCCCCTGGCGAATCAGTCATGGAGCAGGCTAACGTCAAGCCAGAGATACGAAATTATGAGGTTTTTAAAACAGAGATTCTCACTCCTGATAATTATGTCGAAATATGCGAAGGCTATGATGACGTTAACGGTCGTGAGGATTGGGACGAAATGGAATATCGGTTAGGCGACTACCCTTCATATACGTGCGTTTACAGGACGATACGACGGAATTGTGCCTTTTTATCCAGACGAATAAACAGAGAGTACATGTGAGAGACATGTAGGTCTTTCCATTTTGTAGTTATGCCTCAGTGGGATGCTGTAAACGGACTGTATGGTACAAATGTCCCATCGTTGATATCCTGTCCTTTGCCTTGGTAGCGCCATCTGCTAACATAGGACGCGGTGCTTCCAACACCGCCGTTACTCGTAGCATACACCCCGACGAGTGCGCCTGAGGATTTGTCAGTAAGAAAGCTTGACGCAGCCCAAAGAACGTAGTAGCTGCAATAAACTTCTTTGGCAGCACGTTCTGCGAATGGACCACTCATTTAGCATAGGACGCTACTCTTACCTGTAAATTCACCATCGCCGCCGCTCAAAATTGTTGCAGGTGCTATTCCCATGAGTTCATTATCCGAAGGCTCCTTAGATGACGCCGCGGAGAGAGCATAGTGCGTCTCATTGACTGCATCGATCTGCAACCGTATAGGTGCATCTAGCCAGCTCTTGGGCAACATCTTGATGGCAGTTGGCAAGGTTCCGTTAAAGTTACCATTCAGGGCGGGCACGTTGGTGACACGGAATCGTAGATGGGGAGCTAGCTCCGCCTTGCCATTTGACCCAGAACTCCTCGCAGGCAAGAGCACAATGCCTAGGTCAAGATGCTGTGTTTGCGTGAGAAAAGCCGTCACGCCAACCTCCTCCTCTTGTACCTTTGGCTCAAACAAAACGACATCGACGCTAAAGCTAAACAAGGTGTCTGTCTGCACACGCATGATAAGGCTCAGTTCTTCTATAGTTGTCAACGGTGCGCTAGATGTTAGATTTGACTTCGACGGACGTAGCCGAAGCGTATTAGGATGTCCCTGAGGGGAGACTGCGAATGCATGTTTTGGTGGAAATCGCCAGTATAGAAAATGCGATGGGATCGCTGATCCTGGAGGGAAGTCTATGATATCTGGATCTTCAACAAACGGTCCACTTCCTGGTATTGCTCTTGTCTGCGGAGGCAGCGGCCAGCCGCTCATTTGGCCACGGACTGGCTGCAGAACAGGCCACTCGCCCTCATCCCACGTCACAGGAAATAAGACAGTCTCACGACCCATCGGATAATTTTCCCATGCAGGTCCAGATCTTGTGGCAAGGCCGCTGCCCCACCAATTCCCAGTCGCATCTTGAAAAAGGTCCGCGTGGCCAACGGTCTGGAAATACTCGGTAGTGTTGGTGTTCGTAAGAATAGGATTCCCCGAGTAGCCTTCGTATGGGCCCCAGATATTCTTGGACCGGGCGATGGCTTCGTGGTGTCCCAGCCCTGTTCCACCTTCTGCAATCATGAGATAATAGTATCCGTCTTTCTTGTACATTCGCGGCCCCTCTGGAATGTATTCAGTGAAGCCTTTCCATATAATTCTTGCAGGTCCTAGGGCACCCGTCTCAAGGTCAATGGTTTGCTGATGGATGCCAGAGAACTGCATGTATGTCATCCCATCATCGTCCCAGAACAGGTTCGCATCAATGTCAATCAGCGGAAATACTAGGGGATCGCTCCATGCACTGTCATCATATGGATCGGTAGTCGTGAAGACGAACCCTGTGACAACGAACGGTGTCTCTGGCGTGTATGCTACTATCGCGTAGAATTTGCCATTGTGATACCGAATGGTCGTTGCCCAGAGACCCGCATTTTGGACTGTTGTATTTCCAATCTGTGGCACTCGGGATGGCCGAGAGAAGACGTGACTAGAGAGCCGCCAATTGACCAAGTCTTTGCTGGTGTAGATGGGCATTCCTGGAAAGGTGAGAAACGACGACGTCGCACAGAAGAAGGAGTTGTGTTCCTCAGCCACAAAGATGCAACTTGGATCGGAGTGCCAGCCCGGCAGCATGGGATTCGTGTATGTCGAGTTTCTGCTGATCGACAATGCCACGGCTGGCAGAACTAATATCGCGCCCAGGATTACTTCTAGCATGTACATCTTGGAGGGAGGATAGACACGGAGGGAACGCGCCCTCCATGACGGCAAGCTATTGTTTAAATCTTACAGTTGTGGAATCCCCGCCGGAGATATTCCCCATAAAACATGGAATTATGCCCGGTGGAGAGTGGAGTCAGAGCTAGGCTAGAATGTACCAAAGTCAAACCTCACGTTTGGGCCCAAACCTCGAATCGCATAAACGGAGTCTTGAAGGCTTGAGATGACATAACGACTGACATACAGAAGACCGGCATGGAAAAACACTTGTTTTAAGGCCAAATAAGAGAGTGTTATGTACATACAATATATCAACAAAACAGCACGAATACAGAATGGAACGGTGTCGGCTCTCTCAGCCACGCCTGCTCCTATCACAATAGGCCAAGCGCCAAGATCTCTATCCTGGCCTACAGCATGACCATGCTGACACCAGAAACGAGGGCGGTGACAATGTAGGCAGCGACCTGCCATTTGCCGATGTAGACAGCCTGGTGCACAATGTTGGGGACAGCAATACCCGAGGTGGTGGTGGCAGCACCGCCGCTTGCAACCGGGCCGCCTGAGACGGTGTTGGTGGCCTTGGGACCAATGGAGCTCATCGATGTAGCGCAGCTGCCAGAAGCGCTCGTGGCGGCCTTCGTAGTTCCAATGCCGTTGAAGGCACAAGCTTCGCCATTCTTGCCATTCTGTATAGGTTCATACCTTGCCATAATGTCAAAGAAAATTTCGATCATATCATTATGTCAGGGTAAAATATCCACTTTAAGAAGTGATAATACTATTTCCCTGTAGAATTAAACGTCGAACAAGTATGACCTCTGCTCTCAAAATTGGTATTTTGCCGAAGCTCGGGTGATATGCAGCAAACCCTGGGTTCGCTCAGTCGGGATACGACCAGCCTTTAAACTGGTGGCAAGGTCCCCGACCTCCCCCGGTCGTGCCGCTCAGCCTACTGTAGGACCCGGGTCTGTGCGAGTGTCGCCGAGTGACAGTACGAGCCAAAGTCTATTTTGAAAGCGTGCATGCATCTTCTCGTATGAGGACCAGTCCTCGATCCGGACGGCCTATCTCCACCAGATAATCAATCCCATGGCGATTTGCTTGTCCCCAACCGCACCCAATTATAACTGGCCATTTCGGACGCCGCCGGACGTGAAGAGGTTTTTAATCCTGCGCGTATCAGGTAATAGGCTGGGGCTCGCCAATTCCGGCGGGTTTCATTCCGGCGGGTTTCATTGGACGAAGCGTCGTTCATTGTCCGGGATCGCGGGTGGAGCTGGTTCATTTAGCCGAAAACCTTAATTGAATTACTCCGCAGCAAATGCACTGGCAGTCACCGACTGTCATTGGAAGAAGATCTCAGGTACGCCTTGTTTCTCTGGGTGTAGAGATCTGCATCTCCAGTTCGTCTTGTACCAGAGTTCAATCACAAATTATTAATTCTGGAAACCTTGATACCGCAGGATCGCTGGTGTGAACCTTCGTCCTGACAAGGGTTCGGAATCATTCTGCTCTATGTGGGTTTGGCTTTTCGGCGGCCGCAAGCCTTGGAGATCTTAAAGTACAGGACCCTGGCCCCGGCTTCTTTCATCTCCATTGAAAGAGTTATAGGAAATTAAGGGAGACTAGTACGGATAATAGGGTAGAAAGGGGACAGTCTGCTATTGGGGAAGACATAATAGTCCAGGGGCGAGCCATTTTTGGCTCCCCTCCGCGACGTGGACTTCGAAGTACATGAAGTTGAACACAGACCAATCAATTAGACTAGCGTTAGGGACCGAAGATTGCGGGCTGGCGTGGAGGTTAAGCCGTCGGCCGTGGTAATTGATTCACGTGATGCCAAGACGGCCGTTGGTTAGCAAGACTCGTAATACGGCCGCCTGCTAACCGTCACATCAGTTTGTCGAGTATTGAATAGTAGCATAGGGATAAGGAATGTATAGTTTAGCCGCAACTGGAGACCTATCGCTACGGTCTTACGCGTAAACGCATTAAGACTGTGGCGGCAGAGGGGCCCCGTCCACGCTCCCTTGTAGGGAGGCAATGTGTCTATATATTATGGTGGCTTTTATATACTTCCTATATAGAGGGACGGTTGGAGCGACAAAATCGAGTCTTGACTACGTGAGAGATGACGAGCTTCGTATAGAGGGCGAGTAACTGACTACTGAGGCAGTTTCCTGAAGGACGAATCCTTCTACAAGCCCGATCATAGAATCTTTTTAACATAATTATTTAGATAGCAACGTAGGACGCACAGCTAATCAATGCAGTTCGAGATGCCTAACGATTTATCCTATACCATAAGATAGCGACTGAGAGTCAACCGCTCTACGCATATGCTTCAGGACTAATATTTAGCCCTGCCGGAAGTATAACAAGGATTCAATTTGAATCACGAGAGCTAGGGTGGATAATTAGAAAGCCAACAATTGAGGAGGTGTAGAGCGCCTACTTACAGAGTCTCGAGGGCCATAGCGGCCTAGTCGTCTCAGTCACCTTCTCCTATGATTCTAAGTTCCTCGCTTCGGCGTCATACGACGACTCCCTTAAAGCGTGGGATACCAGCAGCGGCCAATGTCTACAGACTCTGGAAGTCTATAGCGGCAAAGCCAACTCAGTCACTTTCTCCATGATTCCAAGCTCCTCACCTCGGCCTCATCCCATGACACTATCAAAGCGTGGGATGCCAGGAGCGGTCAATGCCTACGGACTCTAGAAGGCCTTAGCGGCCGGGTCAACTCGGTTACCTTCTCCCACGATACCAAGCTCCTCGCCTTGGCTTCATCCGATCGCACTATTAAGCTATGGGATGCCAGTAGCGGCCAGTGCCTACAAACCCGCAACGTTGCAGCATCTACCTCTGTGAAATCATTCGACACCACCAACTCATACCTTGAAACTAGCCATGGTACCCTTTGTTTATCTTTAGTAGCAGATATAAGGCCTACTAACAGCATCGATCTCAAAGACCCGCAATATGAGCGTTGTGATGTAAGTTCCGATGGTACATGCATCACTGGGAACTCGGGAAATCTGATATGGTTACCACCGGAGTACCGCGCAAGTGCTTTCGCAGTGTCGCTATCGACAATATGTATTGGTTGTGCTTCGGCACGGGTAATATTCTTTTCTTTTAATTCGTCGAGACTACCGCATTTCCCTTGCTAGGCCCCGATTTTACAGGTTGGTGGATCTCGCCTTGAAACGTAGGATTCACTGGATGGGCGTGTCGCGCCACCGCAGAATGGTTTTCTGACAGCGCATTGATTGGTATTTATGCGATGAGCATTCTAGGCAGCAGTTTTGGAATGATTCCAGGCCTTGACAGACGATAAGCTGAAACCGCATCCTGTTTCATGCACCAGGCTGTCGATTTCAAAGGCGCTTCGTGATGTTGGGTCCGCGCTTATAGAGAGTGGCTTGAACTCCAGACAGATTGTTTATGGCTATTGGCCAAACAGTATGAAAATTGGTTCCAAATCTACCCCTCGACCATCTAGCATCCACATCTCCCACTCTCCAGCTCAAGAAACAACCACAGAATAAGCCGAAGTCGTTAGCTCAGCCGTTCCACTAAAGGGCTCCGTGCCTGACTGCACAGTGATCAGATACAGACTAGAGCTCACGCCCTCGTACTCTTCGAGATACTGGAAGAACTGCAGCATATCCCCCGAGAAGCTAGTCACCTCCGAGTTCGCCACAAAGCTATACACGTATGTGCTCCCATTCATACCATAGTACAGATTCCAGGTAATGCCGTTGATAGTCGCCGTAGCGATAGGCGAGCCCGTCGATGAGATCGGACCAGCGCCGCCTATCGCTGCTAGCCACACCATGATCTCGTACTCATTAGACCCGGTTGCGCTAGAGCTAAGGAACATATCGTACGAGACGTCGGCGGTGATATCGGTAGTAGAGTAGCTTTTTTCAATATTAGCAACTAGACAGAATAGGGTTTTTATGGAATATCAGGTAATGGTTACCTCCAATCCCATGAAGACTCGATGCTACTAATCGCACTCAGCTGCTGAGCGCTGAACTGCAACGCAACGTCGGCATAGCTCTTAACCTGTGTGGTATCCCCAGACCACGAGAACGTGGTGTGCCAGGCGATCGTGGAGCCGCTCAGCGAGTCAACGCCTGTGCACTGCGTGCCGTTTTCGTCCTCGCTTAGCCCCCAGAGGTTGTTATTGACACTATAGCTGCCCGTTGTGGTTGAGTCGTATTGGCCGCAGAAGTCAGCGCGGCGCTGGAGCGTCCTAGTGGGTAGTACAGATGCACTGCTTGTAGCGCACAGCGCTAGGGAGATGAGCGACAGAGGCGCGATGGAGGATTTCATAGTGTTCAAGTTCGGGTTGACTTGCTTGTGTAGTGGAAGACTGGAATTTTAGTTCCATTTTATATCTGTCGCTAGGCTATTCCGTGCGGGAATTCGTTCGTTGCGGGCTATTCCCCCATAGAGCTGAGGAGTGGAGTGGCTCTGTTTGATTATAGGGATCATCTCCACCGGGTAATAAAGTGTTTGTTGCAGAGATCGTCCGCGCAGCACTTCGGCCCGGTGCTAGTTTTTCCACGACTGCGGAGTTCTGTAGGAGACATTCTGCAGTGTTGGGTAACATCTCCGGTAGACCGAGACGACGGCATTGCGGGCAACGGGACGGAGCGTTCCCCTGTATGATTTCCTCCGAACAAGATCGTCGGAGCATTGGAATCTGTCCAGATTGGCGGAAGGATATTCTGAAACACCAGTCTTTCCCCACAGACATACCCTGCAAACTGTTGCTGCGGATAAATAAATCCATCAGATGCTGGCCCGGCATACGTGCACGGAGGGCTGGCCGTTTTGCACTGGGTGCGGATCGACACATCATCCTTGGGTATATGCTATCTGGGGAGAAGAGGGAGGATTTGTAGAATAATGTTTTATCATATCAAGAAATTAATCGGCTTTAGGTAGTATCTACCTGCATTTGAGTTTGAAATCCATTGGAGAAGTGATTGCGCACTGCGTGGTTGAAATATATTGTGGCTGACAAGATGTTGAAGCCAAAAGCTTGTACATAGTTCTCGATTAAACCAAGATAGGGCGACTTTGGAGTCAGAAAGAAAGCTGTTATATTATGCGCAATAATCAACTACTACCCTAGCTACTACTGAACTTGGAAAGTGGCATTCCCCCGAATGTCAGCAGAGCTACGCCCCACCAGCACCTGGAACGATCCGGGTTCAACCACGTACTGCATCCGGCTATCCCACAACCCCAGGTCCTCAACTTTCAGATGGATCTTCACGATTTCCGTCTCGCCGGCACGAATAACGGCCTTTTCGAACCCCTTCAATAACCGATTCGGCACCGCCACTGATGAGATATCATCCACCACATACACCTGCACGACTTCTGTTCCATCCAATCCCCCATGTGTATTTGTCACGTCCACACTTACTGTCACTGTATCCGTGGCTGAGACAGTTGTCTTGTCCAGTGTGACTTTTCCATACTCAAAGTCAGAGTATGACAGTCCGTACCCAAACGGATACCACGGCAGCGGAGTACCAAGGACATACTGGTGGCCAAATACAAGGGTTCCGTTATCCGCCACAAATCCCGAGTCGGTGATAGCTCGGCCAGAGTTCAGATAGTCATAGTAGATGGGGAGGTCGCCGACATAGTGGGGGAAGGAAACAGATAGTCTACCTGAGGGGTTGTAGTCTCCAAAAAGGACATCTGCGAGAGCGTTACCACCTTGTTCAGAAGGGTAGAATTGTTGCACGAGAGCTGAAGTACTGTTAGAGAGCCAGGGCTCACTGACAGGTTTGCCACTCGAGAGGACCACGATAGTCGGGACACCTGTAGTGATGATGGCTCGGACAAGTTCACTTTGCGCCCCGACCAGGGAAAGGTCATTGACATCCACGTGCTCGCCCGTCCTATGTTCTTCGTCACTTGTATGCCAGAGTATTAGCAGGAAGAAAGACTCACGTTGCGTTCAAGCCTTGCCAGAGTTCGGCCCCGTCGCGGGACCAGGTGCCCACGACAACTATGGCAACATCAGATTTCTGAGCCGCCGCGATAGCTTCCGCAAATCCAGACTGATCATTGCTCCATCTTTCACAACCCTTGGCGTAGTGGACGCGGGCACTTGTGCCAACAGCAGCTTTGACTCCGTCTAATGGTGTGACGCCATGGTATTGGCTTCGATATGGGACGTAGTCTCCGTACTGTTCTTTTGTTAACTATGGGAGGGTGTGAAAGAAAAGGGATCTGGGGTATACTACATTCATGAACCCATGCGCCATTGGACCAATGACAGCGATATCGCCTTTCTTCTTCAGGGGCAGGATATTGTCATGGTTTTCAAGGAGAACAATAGACTCCTTGTCTAGTTGTCTGGCAAGCTCAACTGCTTCCTGCGTGTGAATAAGATTCTTCCACTCCTTCGGGGGAGCACCAGGGTATGGGTTCTCAAACAGACCCATGGCAAACTTAGCGCGGAGCACTCTAGAGACTGCTGTGTCAACAATCCCAATGTCAAGTTTGCCTGACTTAACCAGGTCCGGGATTTTTTGAAAGTTGCTGCCAGTGCGTCAGTGCTCCGTCTACCCTATTTCAACGATTGTGTCTTACTATGATCCACCTCCCATCTCAACATCATTGCCAGCAGGGAGAGCCTTGAGCGTCACTGATTCCATGTCAATTGGAGAGCTTCGGCAGAGATGGAAGGCAGTGCACAGGCGATCTGTTGCTCCAGCATCACTAATGACGAAGTACTCATAGCCCCATTCCTTGCGAAGAATCTGTGTAAGAAGATGGTAATCTGCAACTGCCGGGATGCCATCGTAACTAACAAATCGAATCAGCCATGGTGCCCAGGTTCCATAGGGGAGATAGAAACAATCTCACGAGTGGTATGCGCTCATGATACTCCAAACACCGGCATCTACGATCGCCCGCTTGTAAGACGGCAGCCAACTAGATCACAGGTAAATAAGAGTCCTCATCGCACAAGGGGTAGAAGAAGCCACGCACGTAGTACGCAGGTACCGCTCGCCTCCTTGAACAGGACCGGTATTGAGGCCCTGCTCTGGCTGGCTGTATCCCGCAAAGTGCTTAACCGTCGCCGAGACATTGAGGCTTTGGATCCCAACAGTGTATTGGAATCCGATCTCGCCGGCAAGGTATGGGTCTTCCGAAAATGTTTCCTCAACCTTTTATCCTCTTAGTCTTTTCTCAGCAACAGGAACAACGTGATTGGGCACTTACCCGGCCATATCGTAGCTCACGGGCAAGGTCGGCAAGTGGAGCGAACAACTGGGTGACACCCAGAGCACGAGCCTCTTGGGCAATGAGCTTTCCCATCTTGTGGACCAACTGGACTACCCATTAGTTTCGCAACCCAAAAAATTCAAGAAGCAGTCGCAAAATCATACGTCTCGGTTGAATGAGCATCCATATGCAATAGGGGAATTGAAGATTGTAAAAAAACCATGAATACCTATATTTCCCCCAATCGTTAGCCCAGACCGGGGAATTCAAGACGAGGAGCGCATACCCTCTGTTTGAACAAGGGCAGGAATACCAAGGGTGGTATTTTCCACAATGTAGTCTTGCGCTCTCTTGATATTTGTTGCGAGCCAGTCCCATGGAACTGAGTATCCAGCTAGCAAAAGGATGTTAATGATACCGTGGCCAAAAGGACGGCCGTAGAGGATATACCATAGAACATGCCCCCCTTCGTCTTTATACTTTCTTCCAAGCCCGTGTAGTTAAACTTTCCTGTGTTTGTATCCATCCAATCGGACATACCGCCTGCAAATCTGTTAACCATCGTAGATAGAGCTATCGGTGGAAAGTTCTATCACCGTACCTTGCATTAACTGGGCCACCTTTTCCTCAATTGTCATGCGCCCCAAGAGATCAGAAACACGATCGCCGATACTCGCATTTAGATCTTTGTAGAGGGGCGACGCACTCTGCGCAGCGACTAAGCTCGCATAGAGGAGCAGTAGCCCCTTTGAAAGAAAATCAGAGAACATGATCGGGGCGTTGGCGTCTGGAAGCTATGTCAAATCACCACGAGAATTTCGTGAGCAGAAGTAACAAAGATTGAAGGAATTGCGACCTTTGGGGTTTGTTTTATATCTAGTTGACAGGACATCGGAAACCACCACGGAGCAATGGAGCTTTTTCTGAAGTAAAACAATCAGGAACTTAAAAGACGGGAATTAGGCAAAAATAGCGCGAATCAGATTACGATGACCATGTGGGGAGCAAGAATTTTGGCTCAGCCACCGGCAGTGAATGTGAAATAGTGTGAATCGTGCACGGTAGGCATCGAGAGATGAATATGGGGTCAGGGGAGTGCCAAGTACCTTGGCTATTAAAAAAAAAAAAAAAAAAAAATCCCCTGAAACGAAGGAAGTGGAAAAAAGGGTCCTAATCAACGCAGATACTCGGAGTATGTTTGCCAGACTGCAAAAAGAGTTTGCTTAGCTACGTATGAAATGTACTACCATGCGCAACGCCCATTTGCCTCTGCTCGCCTGGTAACTGTTGTGCCTTTCAGACTACTCACTCCGCTTCCGATTATGGGTGCACCATAGCGCACTCGCCGTTAACACCGTAATCGCCAAAATGATCAAATTCACATTATTTACGCGAATTATCAACGCAACGGCCCAGGATCGAAGTAAAAAATCTACTCATTCTCTTGCACTACCCTCACTGCTCAGGTTGACTCCTTACCCGGCTATATAGGCACTAGGCTGCTGCCGCATCCGCAAGATCCCTTGATGTCGTGTCATCCTCTCCGAAATCTGCGGATGCGGATGTCATATGCGATCCGTAAATCCTCAGTTTGCGGATGAGAATGTCGTAATAGGATCCGCAGAGCATCAACGGAGGATTGCGGATGATAGAATTTCCAAACATGCCTAGACTCGTGACTTATTCTCCGTGCATAAAATATAAACTAAGTACGGTGATAGTGAAACTGGTCGGGGAACTTGGGAGATCTATTCCGCACTGTCCAATCCGCGTCGTTGCTCTCCAACGTTAGCCCCGGAATTCAGCAAACCTAATTGGTTGAACCTTATCGTTTTCCGCACTCTACTGTAGGGTGATTTGATCCAGCCTCCATCTCCCTACCCCTCTTTCATCCTAGCTTCATGGCTTCATTCAGTTGATAGATGCGAAAAATACGAATTGCTGGTCCATCTTTCGCATACCCTGGTCCCTGGCTACCAGGCGGACCTAAACAATCTGTCGATGTCTTACGACTGGCTGCTTACCCTGGTTCCTGCTGTGCCGATCAGCCTGAATGCAATCCGAAGTTTGCTGCAGGGTTGGTTCCCCAGGTCTCTCCACAATTCCTCTGAACCCCCAACCTGGCACGGGGGAACGACCTGGATGAGAAGATGCTCACCGGTCCACCGGAACGCCATCATATAAGACAGGGAGAGTTCCCTGTCAATCGGGCCTTTCCAGCCAGGGGGATATCGAGACCACCTTGCACTCAAACGAGATTACAGAACTACAGTATTTCATTGGTGCAGGGCGCTTCGGAACTCTTCATCGACTTAGTCACCAGCTCTTGATATGGCGACGAACGTGAACCAGACCGAGGTCGCTTTAGAGAAGTCTGCTGCGCATCATGTGGAGGATACGTTGGGTGTCGGCGCGGTCACCGAGGCGAAGCTGGCCACCAATGAAGAACATGCGCAAACCCTGTGGCAGGCTCTGCGAGCCAACCGCAAGGCTGTCGCATGGTCCGTCTTGATCTCCATGTCGATTATCATGGAGGGATACGATACCATCCTGATGGGCAACTTCTTTGCCTATCCCACGTTCCGGGAAAAGTATGGCCAGTACTACGGCGGGAAAGTCGGCTGGCAGGTGTCAGCTCCTTGGCAGACCGGGCTGAACATGGCCAGCACAGTTGGTTGTATCTTTGGTGAGTTGCGGGAGCTTTGCAGGAGCTGTGGTTGTGATGGTCGTCTTGCGTGCTGATGCTCTTTCCCAGGTGGCCTCCTGAATGGCTACTTTGCCAGCAAGTTCGGATATCGCAAGGTCATGATGATCGCGCTGGGATTCTTGACCGCGTTCATCTTCATCGTCTTTTTTGCCAACTCCGCCGCCGTCCTGCTCGTGGGCCAGATTCTCTGTGGTTTTTCCTGGGGTGTGTTCGCGACGGTCGGACCCGCCTATGCCTCAGAAGTCTGCCCGACCAACTTGCGGGGCTACCTTACCATCTATGTCAACATGTGCTGGGCCATCGGCCAGATGATTGCGTCTGGCGTGCTCTATGGTCTGCTACACCGGTCAGATCAATGGTCCTATCGCATTCCCTTTGCTTTGCAGTGGATCTGGCCTGTACCCTTGATTGGTATCTGCTGGCTGGCTCCTGAGAGTCCCTGGTACCTGGTCCGTAGCGATCGTCTCGAGGAAGCGAAGCACAGTATCCGTCGCCTGGGCGGGGACAAGACCGAGGATCAAATCAATGGCCAGTTGGCGATGATGGTCCACACGGCCAAGATCGAGGCCGAGATCGAAGAAAGCACCACGTACTGGGATTGCTTCATGGGGGTCAATTTGCGCCGCACGGAAATCTGCTGTGTGGCCTTCTGTGGCCAGATTCTGTCCGGCAGCACATTTGCCTACTCCCCCACGTATTTCTTCGAGCAGGCCGGCATGGATGGCAACCGGGCATTCCAGCTAGGAGTGGGTTGTACCGGAGTGGCCTTAATCGGGACTGCGCTGTCCTGGTGGCTGATCACCTACTTTGGCCGGCGAACTCTATATATTTGGGGCCAGGGCATTCTTTGCACTTTCTTGTTCATCATTGGGATCATCAACTCGACCTCACATACCACCGATGCCATGTGGGCGCAAGCCTCGTTCTGCTTCCTCTGGCTGTTCGTCTTCGCCCTGACCATTGGCCCCATCACGTATGCCATCGTATCGGAGACTTCCTCGGTGCGGCTGCGACCCTTGACTGTTTGCCTCGCGCGCACGGCCTACCAGGTGGTCAACGTCGTTTCGCAGGTGCTGGAGCCTTATTTCATGAACCCAACTGCCTGGAACGCGTCTGGCAAGACCGGATTCTTCTGGGGGGGCACGGCCCTGCTCGTCTTCATCTGGGCATACTTCCGTCTGCCTGAGCCCAAGGGGCGTACCTATGCTGAGCTGGACATCCTCTTTGCGACCAAAACCCCTGCTCGCAAGTTCGCTTCTACCCACGTGGATCCGTATGCCACTGGTGTGTCGCCCTCCCAGGAGGGTCTAGTTCACAATGAGACGACACAAGAGGTGAAGGAGTGAAACGGATGGCACAATTAATAAATCATTCCTTGAACGATATTGTCCCTCCGTTTCTTTCATTTTCTTTTTGCGCCTCGTTTAATCGAATTTGTTGTTACTTGCTGTTAGAGACGAGTTAACGAACTCAGTTTGTCTAGTGAGATCCTTTCTGATGTAGTAGTTTTCCTTTTTTCCCCTCCGGTAATATTCGTATAGCCCCCTATTAACTATGCACCCGCCAAGCTGTTATAGTCATGCTTCTAATACCCTGATACGCCCACATCCACAGCAAGAAAAGAATTCCGACCCCGCCACTCGCGACAACCAGATACGCATTGTTTAAATTTGGATGGCGAGGTCGGATCAGATCGGGCCGGTCTAGGCGGAACCGCTGGGATTTGAGACCTCCCCTGGAATAGTTGAGGTTTGGGAGCTATTCTGAGTCTGGAATCTTCCACCCCATGCCGTTGGGGATTTGAAATCTCCCACCTCGAACCTTCGAGGGTTTGGAACCTCCTAGAACGCTATCTGCCGCCCGAATTACCTTCCAAACTTTCTACATGTCACTATGCTAGAAATGCCTTACTACAACGATAGCAAAACCTATTAATGTTTCGTCCTTAATATACACAAATCTTTCCTAGAACACGCGCCGTAACATGTATATATCTTGGGATCTTGAAGGAGAGAATGACCGCAAAGACATTGATGAGATGCTAAAGATAGTAGGAGCAACTTGATATATCGATAAAAGTATGTATATCTCGCTCTTTTCTTAGATTAGAATCTAACCACTTCCTACGAAGTAGCCTTATAATTTCCTTAGCCCAATTCCTAGCCTATTATAATACTATGCTAGAAGAACGGTATTAAACTACCTAAGAACTAACCTACGTTAGTTAGGTCTACGTAAGTCATAGTCAAATTGCCGCTAGTAAGCTAACTATAAAGTTGAAATATATGTTAGTAGCGTCGACTTTAGATATAATTAATGTAATAGAACTTACTAATATAAGCAGACGTCCTACTCCTTGCCTCTAATACTCACGTTCTACGCCTAAGGTACTAAACTATTTAAGCTATATTAGTTAGAGAGTAGACTATTAGGCGCCTAATGGCTAAGCTATATCATTATCTTATACTTTGAGTTACGGTTAGTAGGAGCGTAGTTCTGTTATAGGACCTTCGTACGAAGTCCTGATATTGTTATACTCAGCTGAAGCTTTGTGACTGTTGACCGCCTTTCCGTTGTGCCATGTTTACCTACGCAGCTTATTTCCCCTTTTTCCCCCTTTCCTTTCTTTCCTTCTTTAATGAATCCTTCTTGTGCATAGGACACACCATCAATTGATACAATTTGGTCTAATCCCTAACAGTGGGCGCTTAGAGCTAGAACAAGGTCTTTCTCCGTGTCCTTTGATACAACCCTACTGTTGATTTTAAACACGCCACTCCTATGAGGTAGTGGATACAGGTTGGCGGGTATTCGTCGTAGACTCTATTTTCTTTCCACCCAGACACCTAAAGCAGCTTAAGAGCATTTATTCGTGATTGGCTTGCTGTCGCTTCAGTGTCTCTAAGTTAAATTCACGGAGAATCCGCCGTGCAAAGGTTGCTCAGCGATGTCGGAGTGGTTAATTACATGTAATACCCATATAGGGTCGCCGCGAGGTAGAGCTGAAGGGATGATTTATCCGAAAAGTTCAGGACTCCGGCGCTAAATGGAGGTTCTTCCGAGCTACTCCATGTAGTAAAGGCGGCTCAAGTTTATGTAGGCGAAGTGCAGCAATAGTTTCTCCGCACAATAGCATCGATGGAAAGCCGCAAAGGCGGCTTTTACCTTCTGCTATTGGCTGAGAATATTGAATCCCGGGGTATGGATCCACTTAGCAACACGCCGCTGGACGCCCAACCAAGAGAACAAGATAAACATCACCAAAACCTTTTAGGGTCCCTGAGAAACCTACTGACCGAAAGGGGAATCAGGCCAGCTCTAGAGAAAGATCCACAATTTTTGTGTCATTGTGGACCGTAATATGGCTCGATGGAAGGAGCGCTCCATAAAATTCAAAGCTAACCAATCTAGGCCCAGGTGTCGGCTTTGAAGCTCTTTGATTGGATGGGCGGACAACTCTCAATGACTGGGCTGTCCAGCCAGGAAGGCTGATGCCCGATACTAAGACTACTGTTGGGTGACTTTCATCTCACAGCTAGGTAGGTAAAGTCCCTGCCAATCAAACGCCATTCACGCCGACCAGAACTGTCAGGGTAACGGTCTAGGGCCTTGTGATTATGGGGCTTGGAAGCTGGTGCCCCGATAATAATGTCTTTCCTTGCCCATGTTTAGGCTGTAGTGTCGAGCTTCAGAGTAGCATACATCTTTCTTGAACACAAAATACTAGTCTCGCTGAAAAGTAAGCCCTTGGTGCTCCCTAAGGAAATGGAAGCTATACATTCACTGACAACCTTGGTTTCCAGGTTATCGCTCATGGCTCAAGTGCCTCCAGACCCAAATGGCAAGCAAACCAAATCAAATCCGATTACTCACTTTCTCTCAATCGGGAATGCTTCTAATGAAAATTCTCTCTCGCAGTGGTCGTCGTGGACGGTACCTCTTTTGCCCTAAACAGCAAGAATGCTTCCTACCGCTTTCACGTGGACGATAGCACTGGCGACCTGCTGTCGGACCATTTTGGCGGCAGTGTCACTGGGCCTATACCAACAGATCCAACTCCGATTGTCAATGGTTGGACTGGGATATCAGGTCGCGTGCGCCGCGAATTTCCTGATCAAGGAAGGGGAGACTTCCGTAGTCCTGCGATCCGGATCCGCCAGTCTCACACCATATCAGCCCTGCAATATCATTCTCATACGGTAGTGAAAGGTAAACCTGCCTTGCCTGGACTACCTACTACTTTTGGCAATGAATATGACGTTACCACCATCGTTATACATCTCTACGACAAATACAGCGCTATAGCTGCAGACTTGATGTACTCGGTTTTCCCTAAGTACGATGCTATTGTGCGGAGCGCTTCTGTCACGAATAAGTCCAAGGGGAGCATTATAATCCAGGACTTAGCCAGTCTTAGTGTTGACCTCCCTTGTCAGGATTTTGATATGATTTACCTAAGCGGTGAATGGGCGAGAGAAACGCGTAGGCAGAGGCGAAGGATTAACTACGGGATACAGGGGTAGGTGATTAAACACCCCTCGAATAACCTATTCCAACATCGTTATAAAACAGATTTCGAAGCAGCACCGGCTTTTCATCTCACTCGCACAATCCATTCCTCGCGCTCACGCATCCCTCCACCACCGAGTCCCAGGGTGAGGCATGGGGCTTCTCACTCGTCTACACTGGTTCATTTGCTGTCAACGTCGAGAAATGTCCTCAGGGCTTGACGCGTGTCCAACTAGGCTTGAACCCTCACCAGCTATCTTGGACATTAGATCCTAACGAGACCCTTACTTCACCCGAGTGTGTCTCGATATACTCCAAAGACGGTGTCGGGGGTATATCACGCTCCCTACACGGCCTATACCGCAATCACCTCATTCAGAGTAAATTCGCGACAGATAACCGGCCCGTGCTTCTCAACAGTTGGGAAGCTCTATATTTCAACATCAACAGTAGTAACGTCTACCGTATAGCAAAGGAATCGGCTTCTTTAGGCGTGAAATTGTTTGTGTTAGATGATGGGTGGTTCGGAAAGGAGTACCCGCGCATCAGTGATACAGACGGTCTAGGTGACTGGGTCCCGAATCCTATACGCTTTCCTAACGGTCTGGCCCCCTTGGTGAATGATATCACAGCTCTGAAATCAGCAGCCCTGGATTCGACAGCTTTGAAATCGGTCCAGTCGTCTACCAATCTTCGCTTCGGAATCTGGATCGAACCGGAAATGGTCAACACCAACTCAAGCCTATACCATGATCACCCCGAATGGGCACTCCACGCAGATCTGTATCCACGCACAGAACAGCGGAACCAGCTGATTCTCAACCTTACTCTGCCTGAAGTTCAAGACTTCATCATTAAGTCTGTCTCGGAGATCCTTAGCAGTGCAGATATTACCTACGTGAAGTGGGACCATAACAGATGTATACATGAGACACCCTCTCCCACTACTCACCACGCATATATGCTAGGCATGTACCGAGTCTTCGAGAACTTGACAACACGTTTCCCTGATGTCCTTTGGGAAGGATGCGCGTCCGGTGGCGGGCGACTTGATCCTGGTGTTATGCAGTACTTTCCGCAAATCTGGACTTCAGACAACACCGACGCAGTAGAACGCATCTTTACCCAGTTCGGCACCTTGCTCGCATACCCAGCGAGTTCTATGTGCGGCCATATTTCTGCTGTCCCAAACCATCAAACAGGGCGTACAGTCCCATTGGCCTTCCGCGCCCACGTTGCTATGATGTGCGGTTCTTTCGGTCTGGAACTTGACCCGGGGGAGATACCGCCGGAAGAAAAGGCTGCGATGCCTGATCTGATCGCGTTAGCGGAAAAGGTCAACCCAATCGTGCTGGCTGGTGATATGTGGCGACTCAGTCTACCAGAGGAGTCGAATTGGCCGGCAGTGCTATTCATTTTTGGGAATCAGGCGGTGATGTTTTTGTACCAGCTTGGGTCCAAGGTGAACCATGCCCTGCCACGGGTGAAGTTGCAGGGTTTGGGCCCTCAGGATTTGTACTTTGTTGATGGGGAGGGGCCTTACTCGGGTGCAATGTTGATGAGTCTGGGGTTGCAGTATTCCTTCAGCATAGATTATGGGAGCAAGGTCGTGTTCCTGGAGAAGGTGTAGCCTGAATTACCAAATTTTGATGGGTGAGGCTGTTAGTCACGCCTCACATTCTTCCCTCCAACCTTGGCATGCAAAAGGTAGGAGCCTTTTTGACTTCGTATTAAGAACGGACATCCAAAACTCCGCACGTTTCGTACGGCGAAGCGAGTAAGGTATTGAGCGGCTGAAGGTTCCGTAGAGCTACGCTTCGAGTTTGGGCTATTGTTGTCGGGCAGCGGGAGCACGCACGCAGGGAGCACGGGACATCAACAAGCCAGGAACCCGACCGCGGTCGGATCGCCGGCCGGGCGAGTAAGGTTCAGGTCGCCGCCCACTGTAGCCGGGCCCTCACCAGCGAGAGCGGTGGGCCCCGATTCACCGCAATTATAATTATTTTCTCCTACTGTATAGTGACAACCACAAAAGTCTGCGTCTCTGCGAAAGTACCTCCCATTTTACCCCCTCCCTATTGAAGACATACCGCACACAATAACAATTTCTATGAGGTACAGCTGCCAGTTGCCGGCAGAATAACTACGTACCATGTTCATATTATCCTGCTGGTATTGTCTTGTTGATGTCGTCCCGTCGATGGTTCCTATCGATATTACTTGTCATTTTCCTGTTGATGCTTCTTGTCGATGTCTTCATGTCGCTGTTACCCTCCAGCTTTTTTCCTGCTGATGGTCCATGTGTCCATGCTTGTGGACGATCCTTGCACTGCTATCCATTGTTTTTTATGTTTAAACCTACGTGTTTCTAATGCTCATGTTACCGTCGCTTTCTGCCTTTTCATTCTAGCTGTAGAATCTAAAGCTGTCTAGCTCACTAAAGATCCTAACTTGTTGACCTTTACATCGAAGTACACCAAACATAGTTATATACATTCCCGCGTGCTTGTTTGTTTATGTCTACACACGAATCAAAAGATCGGCTGACCAGCAGGTTCAAACAGTAGGATACTTCACTGTTGCCAGCGACACTCCCCTGGTGATGTTGTCATTCGATTGACACTATCGCCGTCCCCCCCAATCCTCGGAAGCGTCGATTGATATTCTAACAACCTCAGTTTACTAAGACAAGGTGCCCAGTTCTGTCTTGAGCTTCAACAAATTATTTTTCCAAAGATAACATTTTTGCGACGGAGGATTGAAGACTGGCAACGTGCCAACAATTATATATACGCGACAAGCGCGGATAGGGGTGGATTGAGTGTTCATCAACCCAATCGGCTTCGACACCAAGCTCGTATCCTTCAACGCTAGTTTCGTAAAGTAGTTTCCATGAATACACGGCCGACCGGAGCTACATAACAAATAACATTATGCTTGCATGCTCCTGCTTGCATAAAAAATCTCATTTCCTAGTTTTCGGAAATGTCCGAGTACGGGCATTCGGTACCCATGCGCAACAGGCCACGGCCGAAGGCACGGAAGCTTTTTGTGAAGTCCGGGTGGGAAGGGTCCACCTCCAGATGAAACATCGACAAGCTAACATTAGCAGGGAACATCGACAGGACAGCATCGACAGGACAGCATCAACAGGATAACATCAACAGGATAACATCAACAGGATAACATCAACAGGAGGTATCAACATACCATGTCAACAGGATAAATCTACAGAACGTCACCAACAGGATAACCTCAACAGGACACATAACAGGACACATAACAGGACACATAACAGGACACATAACAGGACAAACAATTATTGTTTACAAGTTTGACCAGCAAGCAGGGACATAGGGAGCGTAGACAGGAAATAATCGACAAGATAACATTGACAGGGAACATCGACAGGACAAGAAGGACAGGAACCATCTATAGGACATCGTAAACAGTATAAAATCGGTAGGGAACATCGACAAGACTACATCGACAGGGCAGTGAGCGCTCACTAAGTGCTCCTGTGACTAGACTAAGCATGATCACTAAGCATAACAGCGTGCTAACATTTACTTAGTGAGCCGGGGGGTGAGCACCGTTACTGAAAGGGCGGCCGCCCGGATAGGCAAGCCCCACCTGGCAGAGGAAATCCGTAACGTACAGGTGCATATGGGAATAGCACTCTCAACATCGCACCCTTTTGGAGTACCTCATACTCAACTTACGCTGTGAACCACCTATCCGATCCTCTCTAGTTTATATGACCACATCGCCTTTGACGCTGTTTCAAGCCACCTGTTTACTTGATTGATGGACATCACGTGCCCCAGCACCAATACAGATCCACTATGGATTTCACCGGTCACATCTCACGTCGTCCAAATCCCACCACGGAATAATATCCAGATATCCTGTTCGCGGCGTGCGGTCATTTGGTTGGCCGATACCCAGTCACCATGGCACCCGCTAGTGACCCTGACCGGGTTGCCAGCATCATGCTATCCTGGCACTCGCTCGAGCTCATCTCATGCACCACCCTACAGACCCTATGGGCAGGTTACGGACAGATCTGCGCCGTCACCGCCCGAGCTCTCACCAACGAAGCAGCGAAGCATCTCAGCGCACTTTGCGGTGTAGAGCCTGGAGCCGCCGGGACCACGTACCCTCTCATCCTCAAGCTCATCTCACCCCCAAGGCAGAGCGGCAGCACTGAGGTTGAGGATGAGGGCCACCTGCGAAAGATGCTGAGCTATGAAGTGGAGCAATACTTCTACAGCGATGTGGTCCCGCGCCTGGGTGACGAGGTCGCCGTTGCTAAATGCCTTGCCTCGACGCGAGGGCTGTGCGGCGAGCAGCATGGCGAAGAGGAACTCCGCGGTTTGATGGCTACCATCATGGTTGATCTGCGTGTGAAATTTCCAGTCGCGGGCGAGAAGAGGAGCGTGCTGAATAGCGCACAGGTGCATGGGGCGCTGGATTGGTTGGCAGGTTTCCATAGCTGCTCATGGGGTCTACTGCTGCCAGATAGTCTGGAGGAATATGTCTTACCGCCGCTTGAAGAGTCTGCCAGAAGACGGCGTGCAGGCAAGGAAGATACTACCATTGGGAGTCGACTGTGGCTTAACGGCGGGTACACGTACCTCGCGACACGACGTACAGAGTACGCCTCTCTGGCTCAGGACATCCGCTCGGAGTGGTGCGAAGCCCTGTGCAGTCCGGCTTCAGAAGGCTCCTCCTTCTCCTCACTATCTATCGCCGAGATGGCTGCATTATTCTTGACGCCCCGCAGAAGACCCATTGAGTCGTATATCCACGGCGACGTCAAGTCAGAGAATCTCTTCACAACAACGAATGGAGAACAGGTGGCGTTCTTTGACTTCCAGTACGTGGGCCTCGGTCTCGGAGTCTGCGACCTTGCCAAACTGTTTACGTGCTCGGTTCCTCTGCATATGCTTGTTGATGATGCTTGGCGTGAGCATGAGCCTTTACCCGAGAAGCTAACGATGCGTGAGGGTGAGAGAGGTCTTCTAGCGCGGTACCGCGCACATCTCCTCCGGAATCAAGAAGAGAGCAAGTATGAATGGGATACGTTCAGGCGGCATTGGGAGACGGCCCTCGTTGACTGGTGTCGATTCCAGGCCTCCTGGGGCTTCTGGGGGAATACAGAGTGGCTTGAGGCCCGTGTGAGATCTATATTGAGTAACCAGGGGTGGAGGGACTGGCTGCAGCAGAATATTAGCAGTCGGGATGGTTGATCCAGAAGGGCTTTTGATTCTCATTCTCTGTTATAGATTCTCATCATAGATACCCGATCCTATCAAAGCAATTGGGGTTTCCAGGACGGCGTAGAAAAAGCTACAACGGATGCTGGGCCTGTAACTTAACCACGCCTGGGCCAGTCGTTCACCAATCATACTACTGTAATGCTTCTACTACTGCTACTACTAATCTCACTCACCTATTACATGGAGTTTGAACCTCCAGCAAACCATTCCTGTCCACTGTTTGATGTAAGGAACACCCATTCTAGAAAATTGAGATAGATAACCTCAATTCGTACTTCCAAGTCCAGCTCCGAGTCAACGAAGATAATGAGAATCCTAAGGCTAGTCCTAAGTACATACCGCCCTTTGACTAAATATCGAAGTAACAATCATGTGAAGGAACGAGACAAGAAGAACACGCAAAATTCAGGATCAGAGAAAAAGAAAGGAATGGAACTAGAGCCCCATCCCGTCAATACATGATAGTTGATGTGAATCGCTCATTCCCAGACTCCACCACGCCCTTTCTTTTCCTTGCTACCATGGCAAGGTAAGAACCATAAGAATAACTGACCCCTCGAAACAAAAGAGAGAAAGTATAAGATAAGAACAACCAAAGGAACGAATAGGTCGTCGGGAAAAGTGCTTCAAATTTTTTGACCTGGTACAACAGCCCACATTAAAAACCCACGCCTATTGTCGCGGAGGTTGTTGCTGCTGCTGCTGCTGTTGCGGTGCAGGATCAGAAACACGCGGCCGTTTAGGATCATTCGGTCCCGGTGCTGGAGGATCTGAAGGAGGGGGATGTGAACCGGGGGACGCATTTGCATTTGTGACATCACTCAAGGGCGGTCTTTTGCCGTTCACATTCATATTCTGAGGTGGAGGGACACTGCCACCTCTATTAATTGCCGCCGCAGGGCCAGGCGAGTTCCGCGAATCGTTATTTGGCCGCGTCAGGGGACGGTATGAAGAAGTAGACTGGCCGCGATTCATGGGACTGCCGACTCCGCCTCCAGGAACGACACCAGGAGCACCGACTCGGCGCTGCATTTCTGCGGCAGGGTTGATGAAGTCGCGGGTGGACGATCCAGAGGGAGAGCCGCCGGTGAGCATGGGTTTGGAGATTGGCAGGCTCTTGGTATGGTCCACTCCTGCGGTTTTGCGGATTGAGGGGCTTTCGGCGTGTGGGTCGAATTGGGGTGCTGCTGCCGGTGGTGCGCCACCGGGATTATCGCGGAGTAGATCCACTGCTCGCGCGGAGTAGAAGCCTGTGGACGGGGTGCTCTGTGGTGGACGCATATCTTGGTTGATGGCAGGCCCGGGTTCTCTTTTTGCTGGCGGCTGGCCATTGGTGTTTTGAGGGGGCCGTGGCTGGGGCGCTGCTGATGGCACAGCATCCGCCGGCCCAGGCATAGGTCGTCGCTGGGCTGCAGATTGCTCGAGGATTGCTGACGGGGTTTGTGCATTCTGAGGACCTCGTGGTGGCGGTCTAGCAGTTGCTCCAGCCGCGCTCCATCTATCTGGCTTTGAAGGCGTGACAACAGCCGCGTCAAATCTTCCCGGGGGGCCTCGCTGTGCGCCGGGGCCATTCAGCGGCGTGGGCGGTTGCTGTCGTCTATTGGCGTCTGAGTCTATTATTATCTCGTCGGGATTGCCCGTGTTCGTTACCACGAAATCGGCTTCATCGAAAAGGTCGCCTGGATATGATCAGCAAGGTCTTTGATGAGATGATTCATGTTGCATACTGCCAAACTCGCCATCAACCTCAAATACAGCATTACTCTCAGCATTGCTGCGATTTCCAGTACCTGCTGGTCGAGGAGGAGGAAGAAGATCATCGTCCTCCTGCGGCCGGTTTTGTGGGACAGGCTCTCTCTTCACTGGGGGAGCGGCCTCCTTCTTGACTGGCGCATAATCAGGGTGACGATGGAGATCATCGATATCCCATCGAGCCTATAACCTACAGTGAGTATGAAAAAGCAGGACCTCGGAGGGCGCCTTACTGGTGCAGCCTTGACTTTGGTCACCTTGGAAACGTAGTCCTTGTCGTAGACACAGTTGCCCAAGACGTTGCCAAAGTTCCTCAGGGTGCGTTTCAAAGCGTCTGTCGTGCCTTCTTTCTTGGCCTTCTCAAATCCCGCCGCCTTGCCCTTGCAGTTCTCGATGTGACCGTATCCAATATCCTAGCAGACCAATCAGCCCAGAGACCCTAACTGAAAGACTGAGCGCATTACCTCGTGAAATGTACCATCCCTCAGAGTCACTCGGACTATCACGGACAGTCCCAGGTTAATCTTGCCCGTATTCGGATTCTCCTCGACCTGAATGCCCCGAAGTCAGCCGAAGTCTCTCACCACAAGGCGTATAAGACGCAACACACAAAATCAATCTGAACATTCTGAATCGAACTGGACCAGCCATTGAACCCAAACACCTCGTTCGCAAGGTTGATACACTTGTCTGCCGCAAGATAGTGCACCTTAGTCCCCGCGGCACCAGGTCGCGAAGAGATGTATTCGGGGCCAAGTTTCTTATCGAGCCGTGCTTGCAGTGTAGCGATCTCCTGGGCGGTGTACTCGGACATCCGGCGCTGGGGTTCCTCGAATGGGTTGTTCGTTGTGCTAGCCCCCCCGGTGCGTTGGGCATCATGATGCATCCGGGGTTGCTGCGGTGTTGGTCGCCGACACTGGGAGAAACGGGATCAGTGCTCGAGTCCATCGGTTATGTTATGATTTCATGTGTGACTCACGCCGGCATCTTCTGGCAATGGAGTAGGAAGGTCGAGTTGGGTAATCAGAGGATGTGGTGGGCGTGTTGTCGCGTCTCTATCAGCGAACGCGGGCAAGGCGCGCGGTCACGTGGTGATAACCAAAGCTCTTATCGCGTTCGAGTATACAAGAGTCGATTAGAATTACGAAGTTGACTGACACAACGGATGGGACGTCATTCCTTTTCCGCGGTTACATGCAATTAAAAAAAAAAAAAAAAAAAAAAAAAAAAAGACCAGAGTAACGACCCAATCATTGAATGACAAGGCTCGCACTAGGCACGAGCCCGAGCTCCTTCAGACTCTCTCCAAAGTACTCTGCATCAAACACCTTCTTGGGGAAGTTCTGAGTGAAGCTCTGCACATCGAGTCCTTCATCCTGTTTCAGAGCTGCAGCAACCTCAAAGAGTGTGGTGGTGACCGGGAATGTTTTCATCACATTTCCTTTCGAGGTCTGGAAACGCATGCGAGTCTCGGTGTAGGCGGAAGCAGGCTTGGACGCAACGGGGCCCGATGTGGTCGGCGCTGGAGCTGCCGCGGGAGGAGGTGGAGGAGCCACGCCAGCCCGTTCAGCTCGTTCGCGCTCAGCCTTCAGCCGGCGCTCCTCCTTGTCCGCCTCGATCTTGGCTTTGATCCTCTTCTTCGCCTCAATTTCTTCGAGCTTCTCCCGCTTCTTTGCCGCAGCCTCCTTCAACTGCTGTTTCCGTTGCAGCTCTTCCTTAGCGGCCTGGCTCTCCTTGGTGCTCTTTCTTCGAATCTCCTGGGAGGATATTAGCTAGAATCCGACCAGAAACGCGTATCCCGTGCGTACCTCATTCCTCTTCTTATCGACCTTATCCTGCTCTGACTGTACGGCGCGTTTCGCCGCCAGCTTCTGCCGCAACTCCTCCAGTCTCTCTTTCTTCTGCTCCTCGGTCAAGGGGGCGATATCCTCGGTCGACTCGGAGAAATCGACATGCTGCGACTTGGATGCATGGAACTCGGCCTGTGCTTGGCTGCGGAACTTCTTGCCGCAGTCGTTGCACACCAGGCTGCGTGCCTCTTCGCCTGGTTGCAAGGCGGGACCCTCCTCGTCATCCGGTTGTTCGGCCTTGATCTCCTCTAGCGACTTGTCCTGGTTTGTCTCGAGCCATTCGAGAGCGCCTTGCACTGCGCAGGTAATTAGACAGATGTATGTATAGGGCGAGGTGACTTACGGCCCCCGGTCTTGGCGACTGCTAGCTGTGCACGTTCCTTGTCGAAGCCCATTTCAATGAGCTGGTCCAGGTCGGATGTCATGGTGGATAGGTGAGGTGAAGTGAGGTAGCTGTGGTCAGCTACTCCCGGTTGAGAGAAGAGGGATGGATAGGTGGTGGTGGATGTTGTAGTTGATGTGGAGGAGAGAAGCTTCTGGGTGACTGACGTACCAGGCTAAGGCGGCGAGCGACAGATTGCGGGATGGGATGGCCCCGCTAGCAACAACATTGTTATTCCGGTAGGGCATGGTGCAGGGCTATATGATGTGTCTGCAGGGTCAGGATATACTGTTTGATAATAATTATCACAATTATTATATAGCTCTCGCTAGGTTCAGCATTGACTCGGGAATACTGGACCATGTCATAGTCAATTGAACCAGATAGGCGAGTTTCGGGAAGTCAACAGTAGCCTGTCCTTCTCCACAGCGACGACATCACATGCACTCGGCACGCCAACAGCGCCAGATAAGTAATCATCAAACGATCCAGTCTACTACTACTAATAACCACAACGACTTCTACGGTATAAACTCGCAAGATCACTGCCTGCGCCAGTGACATCACATGACCCTCTGCTGAGTCATCCCCGCCTATGCCTGGCCAGCCAACCAACTCAACTCAACTCCTGATCAACTCCACGCCCTTGACTGCCTTCTTCTTCCTCGGTGTTCGCAACTCGCGCGCACTACTCCGTGCTGCTCCGTGTTTTCTTCCTTCCATACATCTCTCCAAAATATCGACGCCCGCCATGTCTATGGAAATCGATCCCCCCGAGCTGAGCTTCAAGCGTGAGTTGGCCGCGCCAGCCCTGCCCGCGACCTCTCCCGCGGTGCCTTGCTAACCTGCATCTCCGGTGTAGGGCCCTTCAGCCAGGAGGTTTGCCAGGTCCTGCATCTGCGCAACCTGAACGAGGAGGCCGTGGTGTTCAAGGTACGTTTCCTCTTGCTTCCCTCGGCATTTGTCATCTTCTGACATGTGTGTATTTTTTTTCGCCCAACAGGTCAAAACCACCGCCCCGAAGCAGTATGTGGCTACTATGCGGTCCTGTGCGACTGTGTACCTCGAGATATGTTGACTGATCATCTTGCAGTTACTGCGTGCGCCCCAACTCCGGCCGTATTGAGCCCGGCAAGGCTGTCGATGTTCAGGGTTGGTCCATACTCGCCTTTTTTTGACTCGCACATGCTAATGGGTTTGGATAGTTCTGCTGCAGGCCATGAAGGAGGAGCCCGCTCTGGACGCGAAATGCAAGGACAAATTCCTGGTTCAGTCTGTGTCGGTCACTCGTGACATGGAGTTTGCGAACGTTACGTCGATCGTATGTGCAGACGTCCCACTCGATGTATAGGCGCCCAAACTAATGATACTCTGCAGTTCGAGAAAACCCCCAAGTCTTCCGTGGTGGAACGCAAGATCCGCGTGAACTGGCTGCCATCCGATGCTACCGTAGGCTCCGGCGCAGGCCAGGTAAATAAACAACGACTGTCCCTCCTCCCGACGCTTTTAAACTAATATAACTTCAGACCGTCGACGACGAGCCCCCAGCTTACACCTCCCCCGGCGGAAACTTCGAAACCCCCGCCCCAGGTCTGTCGACGAAGAAGAGCACCGACGACACCTCTCCGCTCCCTCCTCCCAATTTCTCCGAGAAGCCCGTCAAGCTCGAGCCCTCCCCCCAGCCGTCGCAAGAGAACTTCAGCTCGTCCACCGCAACCGCCAAGTCCGCCGTGGCCGGCGCTTCTCAATCCACAAGTGAAATGCAGGCTCAGCTCTCCGATGCACGAGAACAGATTCAGCGGCTCAAGGACCGCCTGGCAGATCAGGGCTTGCGGCAGCGGAAGACTGGCGCGGAGGCTGGCGGCAATGCTCCCCCGCCACTATGCAGCAGCAGCATTCGCAGACCGCGTCGGGCGTACCACTCCAGATCGTGGCGGGTTTGTGTCTACTCAGCTTCTTGATTGCATACTTCTTCTTCTAACCCTTTCCCTCCCGACTCTGCGTGCTCATGGCCTCTTTGATCACGTCACGTCTCCGACGACCTTTCTGACTTTGTGTCTTGTCTCTTGAAGAGCTCCCTTTGCTTTTTTTCCTTTTTTCGTGACAGCATCAGCCCTTCTTCTCTGTCTGTGTTTTCCCCCCTTCCTCTTGTTCCCGGTATCGATACTTTATTTTACAATCCACTGCCGTGCTCTCTGTCTGGCTGGCTGTCTCTAAGACCTGTTCTGAATCCTCTGGAAGCTCGACGCCTGTGCTGCTGCCCTTTCTTTCTTTTTCTATCTTCCTTTCCTATCTTGTCTAATAACACGTTATGATGAACGGCACCGAGCGGCTCTTTTTCGATGTTGTCTTTTGTGATAGACGAATGCCAAGCAAGCCCCTCGCAAGATATTCTTTTTACAAGCCCCGATCACTGTCGTAACTTCATACAGGTCGGTATGTAGGCAGTGCTCCAGTCTACATGATTATTACATTGAAGAAAGCAATAGAAAGAAGATGTACCTTTGATGAATCATATCAATTGATAATAATGACCGCGTTCTACGCGCATTCGAGAAAATCGATCAAGGGCAAACTCGGCCCGAGGGCAAAATAGATTGCCATATACATCTAGAACTCATGTCCTATGTATTGTGCTGTCTACACATGGGGAATAATATATGTGGTCATGGGGAACGCTGCGTTGATTGATCTCTAGTTTTACTGGTAAATCCGCTTCCTGGGAGGTGATGGCTTCTACACAGGACTGGTAGTACAGTTAACGGATGGAAAAGATACTGTTGGTTACTCTAGCACTGAATCTCGCTTTCCTTCCACCCATCCCCTTCCTCTCCTGCCGGACCTGCCGACGCAGCAGAGATACCCTCCCCACCACGCCCACCAGTGCCATTCTTCTTCGTACTGTTTCCTCCTCCACCACCAACCACACGCCCACCCTGCGCCCGCTTCACACGACACCATGGCCCAACATTCTTATCCAGGATGAATGTCCAGATCACCCACACCCAGCTCCGATGACACGGCAGCGGCTCGTAGAACTCCCTCGCCATCTCATGGAGCGCATGCAGTCTTGTCCAGGGGATAGCGGGGAAATCATGGTGCTCGTTGTGTAGGCCCACATTATAAGTCAAGATATTCAGTGGCCCGTAGTAGGAGTATGTCTCTGGCGGGGGGAGCGAGTCCAATGGATGCTCCGGGGCATCTTTACCGGCAGCAGCAGATGCAGATTTCAATTCCGAAAGACTCTCTGTCCCCCCACCCTGCGCCTTTGAAAAGAAATAGTGCTCAGCAATAAAATGCCCTGCGCAGGGGTGCAATGAACCTGCGAGGAACGAGCTCGCCAGGAGATACAGCACGGGCTGCAGCGAGCCGCCGCTGACCCGGGTGAGCACGTAGTCGAAAGATAGCTGCACGGCTAGGTTGAGGAGGTGGATTGATGTGAAGGGCGGGCTGTAGATGAACATTGGGCGGACGGCGTAGAAGAGGATCTGGAATGTGCAGAAGAAGGTTTTGCCGAGGAGGGAGTTGAGGAAGAAGGCTTCTAGTGCGGTGGGGAGGTCGGTGTCGAGGCCCGTCACGCCGAGAGATTTGTGGTGCGTTAGGTGGTAGGGCTGTTTCTTTTTGTTAGCTGTTATGTTGCATTTCATGTTGCCATGTTGAGGGTGTGCTATGTCCCAAGGGAAAGGAGAATCTCACCCGAAAAGCAGCACTATACGGCAATCCAATGGGCAAATTCGCGAAAATAGCCAACAGCCGATTTGCTAGGGCAGAGCGGAAAGCGAGGTTATGCGATATTTCATGGATGGCCAGGAAAAGATTCTGGTTTGCCGTTGCTCCGATCACGTAGGCGGTAGCCAGGAAGCGCCAGTCGAGCATGGAGGTGTTGCGGAGGAGATAGGCGCATATGAGCTGGGTGGAAACGACGGCGAGGACGACATATTTCGTTAGTGGTTCAGGGCCGCAGAGTTTTGTGACCTGAATGGAAATAGGAGGGTTAGCATATGGGCATCAGGAAGAAGTGGAAGCAGGGAAGGGTGTTGTTTTTGGGACGGCCATTCCCATGCAGGAATCGGATCTGAAGTAGTAAGCGTACCTCCGGATGAGCCTTGATTATCGCTTGCCGCCGTGAGCGGTGCGGCTCTTCAGTGTATGTCCAGAAGAAGTGGTCGTCAACGGCCGAGACCTGCGGCGGAGGGATTCTGGTGGAAGCGGGTTGTGCGGAGGCGGTAGTGGATGGGGATGTTTTCGCGGACACCCGTAGGTGAGGCGAGGCTGTTTCGACTGCAGACATGGGGAGGGAAAACGAGTGTGCAGGTCTACATCGAAGGGAAGGAGTGAAGAAACACAAGAAGTGAAACAAAAGATCCACGTGGGGCGGCGACACGACACGGGCGGTGGATGGCCTTGGCACCAACTATAAATAACAGGCAACCGTTACAGGTACATGTAAGTATAGGTTACATGCAAGTATAGGAGAATGACTATTTATTTTATAAACCAGACAGATATTTAATAGTCATCGCCGCGGCTGATCACCTCCTTTACGTTCGGCCGCAGCACAAGAGTCTGTGATAACAAAGTCAGTGAGAATCCGGTAGGAAAAGGAAGCGGACAAAACCGTACATGTTCATATTGGGCGGTGTAGGAGCCCTTGATATCGCAGAGAGGCGGGTAGTCCTGCACAATGCCCGCCGAGACCAGGTTGTTCAGGCCCAGCAGATACTTGTCCTGGCCCAGCCGGTCCAGGTACCGCCGGCAGAAGGGCAGGGTGCCGAAGTTCTTGTTGATCACGCTCAGCAGGTTCTTGGCCGACGAGAGGCGCAGAGGCACGTTAGGTGCATCTGGGGTCCGAGCGTAGTGCGACGTTTCCATCTATTAGCAACGTCAGCCAATTAATCCCAAATGAGTAGGTAAGGCACCGGCTTACATCCTCTCGCACGTAGCCCTTGCCAGTACTGCCGAATGTCTCGATCGCAAAGACCTCGCCCTCCTCCATCTTCGTCTGGTCAGTGCTCTTGACAATAGGAACACTCTTGCCGCCGTGGATAACGTGCTGGTCGATGTTATGTCCGTTGAGGTTGCGGATGCACTTGACCGGGTACATGGTGCCATTCAACTCGACCTCGTAGCTTTCCATGGCCTCTTGGATAGCCGCACCAATATCGCTCATGCGGACGTCAATTCCAGCTTCCTAGAGACGGGTGAGAAATATACAGGACAGATGGGATGAAAAGCAGAACATACCCGAATACCGGTGTTGGTAGCATCCTTGACGGCTGCCAGCAGCGGATCATACACCGGATCAAACGACATGGTAAACGCGCTGTCGACAATGCGACCGTTCAGCTGCGCCCCGAAATCCACCTTCATCACGTCCCCTTGCTGCAGGACCATCTTGTTGCCCGCGTTCGGGGTATAGTGCGCCGCGCAGTGGTTAATGCTCAGACCGCAAGGGAAACCCATGCCGCCCTTGAGGTTATCGCCCTCCTCCAGACCCTGGTGGCCGGTCAAGGCGCGCACCGAGTCCTCAATACCCTCCGCGATCTCCGTCAGGGTCTGGCCGGGCCGGATATTCTTCTGTGCGTACTGGCGAACCTGGCGGTGGACCTCGGCTCCCTGGCGGTACTCCTGGAGGAAATCATTGTTCATGCGGTCGAGGTAGCGTTTCTCCTCGTTGGTGGTGCGGTAGGCGTTCTCGTTCTTGTATTCGACGATCTCGCCCTCGGGGTACTGGTTGTTCGGGAACAGGGTGGACACGGGCACCCGTGGCGGAGAGCTCTGGACCTTGGCCCCGCCCTTCTTCTTCTTCTTGGGCTTGCGCTTCTTCTTCTTCTTGGCGGCTACCCGATTTGTCAGTTGGGGTTGGTCGTGTGGGTTGGGTGAAACAGCGAAAGGCGGGGGAGAATGGAATAACGGAATGCAGGAAGCTATCAGCACATCAACTCACCTCCGGTCGCTCCAGCATCTGGAGCAGCGTCGCCTTCTTCTTGGTCATCGTCGGAGTCGTCCTCTGCTTCGCCAGAAGCGGCTGCCGCGGCGTCCGGTTTGGCGGCGCCGTTCTGGCCGTTCACTGCGGGTCCGGGATCAGTCACACAGCAGGCGAGCACCAGGGAATAAATGTCTCACGGTCAAGCTGTTCCAGCTTCTCGCTAGCCTGAGCTGCCATTGCTGCTGGAGTCAAGGATAGATTGTCAAGGAGGGGAAGAAAAGGAAGGCAAGAAGAAGCGGAAGAAGTGGAGAGGGAAGATTTTGCGATAAGATAACCGGACCCCAAGTATGAATGCGTATAGAGTTAATAGTGACAGACATATAATCAGCTATGGAGAATTATAAAAAGAAGAGAAGCCACACCTCAGGGCTATGAAACAATGCCCTCTGCCCAGTTTGCCCTGTGGGAAGTATCGGTGCGGTGCGGTGGGCGTTGACACCTCAGGCATCAACATCATCCCGGATTGATATCGCGTGTTACTATGTATTTTAGTTAACTATCACTTTATTCAAGGCCCAAACGAACCCCGGTCGCCTTCTAATTCCTTTAAAGAATTCAGGGTGCCATTTGCTATGTTTTCTCTATATCGCTTGTCATTGCTCTAGGACGCCAACAGTCAGCTTTACTAGCAATATTAATCCAGGACCTGAATTCAGTAAAATACCTAATATCGCTAAAAGCATTATCATGGCTTACGCGTCGGCAAATCGGTCCAAATATGAGGGTTGAACCTGGGGAACCCTTATGCAGTACGGGAATTTACCGGCGATTCTGTGGGGCACTAATCCCCACATGTCCTGACCTGGTTCAAATTCAACAAATATAAATTGTTCGCCCGGTAGTTTTGTACTTGGTTTGAAATCAAATTAGCATCTTCATTTCCTTCATTTACAGCCCTTGTCACTGGCTGTGGTTCAAGAATGCGGTCGACCTTTCTTGCCAGCGTTGCTGGCCTTCTAATTTTGGAGCTAGCAACAGCGAACCCCTTGTCGAGGTCCACCCTCGATTCTTTCATTTCTCACCAGGGCCTGAGATCCTATCAGGGTATCCTGGACAACCTGGGGAACAAAGGGAGCAAAGCGCCTGGTACAGCGGCCGGCCTGTTTGTTGCCAGCCCCAATACAGCTAATCCGGACTGTAAGATATGACAACTATTATGCAGAGTATGAAATTGGAACTGTGACTCTGATCTTGTTCCCAGACTTCTATACGTGGACTCGTGATTCAGCTCTCACCTTTAAATGCCTCATCGATCTGTTTAACAGTGGTGGTTCCGACTTTGGGAGCAGCAAAAATGACCTGGAAACAGATATCCGGAACTATGTCTCTGCACAAGCAGTCCTACAGAATGTATCTAATCCATCTGGCACCCTGAAAGATGGCTCAGGCCTTGGCGAGCCCAAGTTTGAGATCGATCTCAATCCCTTCACTGGCTCTTGGGGTCGGCCTCAGCGGGATGGCCCCGCTCTCCGAGCGACCGCCATGATCACATATGCGAATTGGCTGATCTCCCACGGCCAAAGCTGGGAAGCAAAAGAAATCATGTGGCCAGTTATCTCAAACGACCTTGCTTATGTGGGCCAGTACTGGAACGAAACTGGTTTTGATCTGTGGGAAGAGACCGATGGGTCATCTTTCTTCACACTGGCTGTTCAACATCGCGCATTGGTCCAGGGAGCAAGTCTTGCGCAGAAGCTGGACAAATCATGTTCTGCTTGCTCATCTCAGGCCCCTCAGATTCTGTGCTTTCTGCAGAGCTTTTGGAACGGGAAGTACATAACCGCCAATATCAACCTCGATACTAGCCGTACCGGCATCGATGCGAACACAATCTTGGGAAGCATCCACACCTTTGATCCAGAAGCCCAATGTGATGATTCAACTTTCCAGCCTTGCTCAGCTAGGTCTCTGGCAAATCACAAGGTCTATGTTGATGCTTTCCGTTCGATCTATAAAATCAACGCTGGCATTCCCGAGACGTCAGCTGCCAATGTAGGTCGCTACCCGGAGGATGTCTACCAAGGAGGCAATCCATGGTGAGTTAATATCTTCTATTTTGAAACCCTTTTCCGTTGGCTCCAGCAGGCTAATGGATGTCTGTGTTGTATAGGTATCTCGCCACGCTAGCATCGGCAGAGTTGCTCTACGATGCCTTATACCAATGGAACAAGATTGGCTCTCTCGAAGTTACCGAAACCTCGTTGTCGTTTTTTAAGGATTTCGATTCATCAGTGAAGACAGGCACCTATTCCGCACACAGCAAGTCCTACAAGATACTCACATCTGCTATTCGAACTTATGCAGACGGCTTCCTCGACCTCGTGCAGCAATACACACCATCTAACGGATCACTCGCGGAGCAATACAACCGTAACACCAGCGTCCCAATGTCAGCCAATGATCTGACTTGGTCTTTTGCTTCCTTCTTGACTGCCATTCAGCGTCGTGATTCATCTGTGCCTCCTTCATGGGGTGAAAAGTCTGCAAACAAAGTCCCTTCTACTTGTTCAGCTTCTCCTGTGACAGGAACTTACACTGCTGTCACTTCCACTTTCCCCACCTCAACTGCTGGATGTGTACCTGCGACGGACGTCGTCCCAATCACATTCTATCTTACTGAGAGCACGTTCTATGGAGAGAACATATACATAGCTGGCAATATCAGCGCGCTCGGCAACTGGAACACGAATGATGGCTTTGCTCTCAGTGCAAATCTTTATACTGAGACGGACAACTTGTGGTTTGGCAGTGTTGAGCTGGTTTCAGCGGGTACTCCGTTTGAATACAAATATTATAAGATTGAGCCAAACGATACTGTCATCTGGGAGGGTGGTAAGAACAGGGTTTCTGTTGTTCCTACTGGCTGTCCGATCCAGCCCACCTTGCACGACGTGTGGCGAACTTGATTGCCTCTCTCGATGACTCTGCATTCTCTCTAGTATTGATATTTGGAATTGTGTACTAGGTATCCTGCCAAAAGATAACCACTTCATAAGCACGAATCTAATGCATTATGCCTTGAATAATTTATAGCCAACCGGTTATCAAGCACCCCGAAGAAATTACTGAACCAGGAGAACCAGACAGGCAATAATGAATGGCATGGCAACCAATACTGCGAAGACACGTGCTGTGGGCTTGAAGTGCCGGTCGTGGCGCTTTGTGTAGAGTTTTACGATTAGGTCGTGCGGCTAGTGGCCGGCTGGTTCGCCGAGTATCCCACTACAGTACAGAGAAGCTCGAAACCCCGTCATTCCAATTTTGGCTTTTATGTACTACTCTACAGAATGGACATTCTTCTAATTATCAATTCTCCCTGCCTAGTTGGAAAATGCTTTAGTACAGTATATCATGGTTCACTCGTGGGAGTCTACCGCTGCTGTCAACATCGTGAGACTAGATATTCACACTTCATCCTCCGTGACGCCTAGAGCGATTTCGTCCATCGTCCTGGCATCGAAGCATGCGCCGACTCTTTAGATCCAACGACTGGTGTTTAGCTCAAAAGACCTTTTATGATCGCACGAGGTAGTGCGATCTTTCAACGAATTTCAAACCATCCCGTCTTCTTTCAGCCTTTTAGGCGACAACTATTGGGGCGTAGACCAAAGCCGCAATTATCTTCCTTACAGCCTTGTGGCAACCCAAAAATTTGCAGACATCGTTATACTATAAAGAAATGAACTCTGGTCTACATTTATAGATACGCTGGCCGTTTGATGGTACCCTATCACACTGCATTTCTCTGCATACCAACACATCATGCCCCTGCAATCAGACGCCTTTCGAGCTAAGATGGTGGACATTACATATGACTGACCAGTCAAGCCCAAACCCCGGGCACGACTGGGCAACACCCTTGTACGATATGGCCTTCGGTCCCGATCATACGTCCACTCTTAATATAGTCAACAACCTTGGGCGTCTCTATAGAGATCAGGGGAAGCCGACTGAGGCAGAGGAGACGTACCAGCGAGCACTAGCAGGCTACGAAAAGCCCTTGGACCAGACCACAGTATGAACCGGCGCTTATAGCGAGTCTGCATAGATTAAACATTGCAAGCAGAAGATAGTGGATAATCACCCACAGAACATCATTACTTTTATTTTGACATATTCTTAATAGCTACCGAGTTCAGTACGTGCGTAATTTCTCTACGTTAGAGGGAAACCCCCAGCTCTCTACTGACCATGCGGAAAGTATCCCAATAAGCTATTGTAACATCTTGCATTTTCTAATCTCTGTTGAAAACGATGGCCTAGGGGGGTCGGGGGAGATCTGGCTTTGTTGATAAAAGGTCGCAATTGTGTGATTAGTAACGAATATGCCTGTTGTGCAGGTTGAGAAAAAGAGTGATATGCCTCCAGGCAGATTTTTCAGAAACAGAGCATCAGCAGCTCTTGCCTAGTCAAGCTACACTTCGTGTCGAGACTAGCGCGTATGACGTCCCAAAATAGAAGTGCAAATCACGAAGCAATAAATCTTGTTCTCTGATTGACTAAATCTGGGAATGTCCAACAATTTACGGGGTAGACATTAAGTAATAAAAGTCTAGTACAAAACAGGATACGGTGAGGGGTAAAACTCTGTATGTGACCTGCAGGGATCCCCAGACACGGCAGAGGGTGGTTCATGAGATGGCACGAAGTGTCGCAAATTGGAATTTCTGAAAATAACGGAGCAAGATCTGATGGGCTGCAATTTCTGGAAGCTCAATGCGTCTGTCCATAGTGATTTCCAAGCTCGAATATTCATCAGGTAGAATGGGGGAGAAGATCTCTGCCTTACCTGGCACCTTCAACACCTACGTCATTGGGGGAGCTAAGGTCCAAACTCCTACGTCACTGTACCTAGGGCATCACGTGTTGAAACGTGGTCCGCAGTTGTCCCCCCAGATTATCCATGGCGCCAGAATTGTTTGCTTCCAAGGTGGGGTTCATACTTTTCATGTCAAAAGAAGTGCCACTTGCCGGCACAGGATAACCTCTTTATCCTTCATTGCAGCGGGCAACAGCAGTGGAGCTTTTTCCGGCCATGGACGATTACAGCGAGCAGACTCTCTGCGACCATGAAGCAGACCGTCAAACGCGCGAGGTCTATCGATATTTCCAACCTTCAAATCCAGCGGCGCTAAATGCGGTTTGGCCTCCTGGTGATCATGAAGCCGCTACAGTCGACCCATCGACGGCTACGAACTCGGTTATTCTGGATGACGAGGTTTCTGAGGCGGACTCGATTGAAGCCAGTCCCCTGTACAGCCCGAATACTACTTTGACGTCTCTTGCGCAGCTGGCAGCTCTACGCCTGAATGCACAGCGTGCCTTTATCACGTACAATCGCCCCTTGCCCTAGCGAGGACCTTGATCTGACTCCTTTTTTTTAGAATCTTGAATCGGGACTCTCAGTTCATATTGGCCGAAGCTACAAGAACAACGAACGTGGGAAACTCGACATTACCCGGTGAAAAGGGAGACAAACTCTTCGCTGGAACATCCACATTGGCAGATGCTTGGAATATTTGTCAGGTAAGACCGGGCCTATGAACGTTGCCATGGACTAGTCATTCTCCCCGATACTGATCTACTTTTCAAACAGGAAACGGTTAAAATTCAGTCGGACGAACAGCAAGATGGAACATATCCCTTTTTGATTATCAACGATCTTGGACAGGAAGATCGCTTCAGGCAATTGCCCTTCGTAGAAGGCGAGCCACACTCCCGATTTTATGCCGGAACGCCCCTAACGAGCGAGAGCAACATCAATTTGGGATGCTTGTTTGTGTTGGATGACGAACCCCGTGACGGGTTGTCCGATATTGAGAAGGATACACTAGGGACAGTGGCAGCAATGGTTATGGACTATTTACAGGTCAGCCGCCAGGCCATTGACGGACGCCGCGCCTCGCGGTTATCGCAGGGGCTCCGTCTTTTTGTGGATGGCAAATCCAGCTTCGCCAATAATGTTCCTATGTCTCGTTCGCACAGCTCAAACCATAGTCCGTCCTCGCGGGCATCGCCTTATTCTAGGGCGAGCCGATCTACAAGCTCTCGAAATAGCGGTGTGAATCTCCGCTCAGCACATTTTGAGAACGATGATCTGCCCCTTCAAGATGGCGATCCACGATCTTTGAGCCCAGTCTCCACCGAGGAGTTGAACATAGGCATTCCAGCTAGCCCAGCGCTATCATCGCATGGCTTGCGACCAGGTGACAACGGTTCGACTGTCTCGAGCAACAATGATTGGCTTTTTCAGCGAGCTGCGAACCTCTTACGACAAAGCCTAGACTTGGACGGCACTGGCGGTGTGGTGTTTTTGGAGACCGGGGATGACTCGTCAGGAGACGGTGTCGCCGGCAGCCATTGTTCTCCTGCTGATTCCAAGACTCCTGCGCCTGTTCTTGCGCTATCCACCAGAGATGAACCATTTGCATACCAGACGGGCTCTGAGGCATCATACCCTGCGGCAAAACTCGACAATGTCTTTCTAAAGCAATTATCTCGTCGCTATCCCAAAGGTAGACTCTGGTCATTTCATCGTGATGGGACTTTGTCCACTTCGGACGAAGAGCAATCCATCGGCTCCTCTCGGAAACGGAATAAAAGGACCGGGGGCTCAGAAGCCAGCAAACTGAGTGCCTACTTCCCTGGCGCATGTCAGGTCATGTTTGTTCCACTATGGAATGCCACCAATTTGCAGTGGTTTGCAGGGTGTTTCTCTTGGACTCCTCAGCCGACACAAGTTTTCAGTCGGGCTGTCGACCTGAGCTCAATGTTTGGCTTCGCTTCATCCATCATGACCGAATATAGCCGTGTGGAATCAGTTGCCGCAGACCGCCAAAAGGGGGATTTCATAAGCAGCATTTCTCATGAATTGCGCAGCCCATTACATGGCGTCTTAGCTGCCGCCGAGTTTTTGGGAGGCACTCACTTGGACGAGTTCCAGGAGTCTCTCCTTGAGACGGTAAATGCATGTGGTCGCACTCTCTTGGATACGATGAACCAAGTATTGGATTTTAGCAAAATCTTGTCATTGGAAAGGCAGAGGAAGAGGTTTAAGCACAGAAAAGACCCATGGAAACCTAAAACTCCAGACGAAGATCCAGCGCGGCTGGATCCACTCGTGGTAACAGACGTTGCCACCTTAACAGAGGACGTTGTTGATAGCGTGTGTTTGGGGCATTCTTATATCCAGAGGACAGCATCGTTAATCAACCATCCCACTCGCATTCAACCAACTCCGTCTTCTATACCAGCCACAGGGAGCAACAAAGTTGACTCCAGCTCGGACGTGGAGGTTGTCGTCGATATTAGTGATAATGACTGGTTTTACAAAGTCCAGCCAGGATCGCTGAGGCGCCTGATCATGAATCTTCTTGGAAATGCCCTGAAGTATACCAAAAAGGGCCAAGTCACTGTCTCCATTCGGGCAACGGAACATTCCAAGGGTCGTTCTCGACGTCAGGGCCTTGAAGACATGGTAACCTTGACTATTTCAGACACGGGCCAAGGCATCTCAAACGAATACCTTCGGACCCGTCTATATACCCCATTCGCACAAGAGAACCCACTATCTGTAGGTACTGGCCTCGGTCTGTCAATTGTTCGCGGCATTGTGGGAACACTTGATGGAAAGATCAGCATCCAAAGCCAAGTAGGTGAAGGCACTACTGTCAAGATATCAATACCCCTCGAGCGTCCAGTGGGAGAGAAGAGCCTGCCGTCAATGGTTCATGTCACAAGTTCGGAACAAAAGGCACTTACAGCGTTGTCCCGACTGCGTCAGCTGGATCTGACTGGGAAACGTGCTGCGATATGGGGGGTCGATTCTTCCTGTCTTGGTGAGTATCAATTCTGGTCATCGATTGCTCGGTATGTCACGGAGTGGTATGGCTTGAAGCTGGTGTCTTGGTCCGCCAATGAGCATATTGATGTTCTATTTGCAAAGGAAAGCGATTTGCATACAGACGGGTTCCAACGTCTGCGCACTACATTTCCAAGCATGATTATTTTTCGCAACGATGCAGACAGCTCTAGTGATACTAGGACACAATGGTCGCACCTTGCCGATTCTCTGACGATCCTTCGTCGGCCTTGCGGTCCACACAAGCTCGCCAGAGGAATTTTGAATTGTCTTAATTCGGAGCCGGTATCTGCTACGCTGCGTTCGCTCAGTCCTGGACAAGCATTCGTGGTCCCAGAACGACCCAAGCTTTCGGAACCGGCCCCACCAACGGGGAGGTCTACATCACCGCCATCAGGAAACCTAGAACCAACGGATGCTAAACCATCCAATCCTATGCCAGGTGCTCACAGTCGCGACGTGGGCCTTGCGGGACGTGATGTTCTTGTACAGTCTCCAGATACAGAAACCCCTCGTCGCAGCACACCCGGAAGCGCCGCTTCCAGCACACATACACCTTCGTCTACTCCGCCGCCCAGTGGCTCAGCCCTTATTGACTCCTCATCTGGGATCAAAAGCAAACCCCGGGTGTTGCTGGTGGATGACAACGATATCAACCTTCGCCTTATAGTGACTTTCATGAAAAAAAGAAAGGTCACGAGTGTAGATACGGCACGGAATGGCAGAGAAGCTGTCGACTTCGCTGAAAAGATGCTGCCGGGGTACGACCTCATTTTCATGGACATGTCTATGCCCGTAATGGACGGGTTCGAAGCGACGCGTGCCATACGTGCGATTGAAAAAGAGCGGGATGGCTGCGTTCCGGCCAAGATCATTGCTTTTACTGGACTCAGTAGCTTGCGCGCTGAGTCTAATGCATTGGAGTCAGGAGTGGACTTGTTCCTTACGAAACCTGTCTCGTTCAAGGAATTATCACGTCTGATCGACGAGTGGGAAATTGGAGTGTTAAAATAAACTATGGCGGTGTGCTTCTTGAAGTCTAACCTGCAACTTCAGCGCAGATATATATGTGAAGAGCATGACAGCTTTTCAAATACATTGCCCTGGCGGCTTAGTCACTATGATCGTCGACAACTAACTAGCTAAGTTAACTAACTAAACTGTGACAGCCCAAGCAGCAATAAGACTATCCAAACCAGCACCTTGTGTTTCCACACCAACTGAGCTAACCGGTCCATTGAAGTTCTCACCCAGATTGCATTCAGTTTCTCCATTCTGGGTGGTAATGTTCAAATCATTGTTCCATGCTGCCTGAGCGTTCGTTGTAAGCCATGTCAGCCAGTTGTCATGGGGGTCAGCGAGTTGAAGTTGGCGCAGGCCTCGGAATAGAGGCCCCTTGAACATAGCTGAGGTAGTATCACAACCAGAGGAACAGTCCGTGATCACTCCGTTGCTACCTGTGAAAGGCGAATTGATTGCAGTTGTCGCGTTGGCAATGTTTCCTGCAATATCAAGATAGGTCGTGTTGCCCGTGGCAGTGGCCAACTCCACAGCAGCCGAAAGGATAACTCCTTGGTTATATGAGTATGTGGCAGTTGAACTGACTTGACATGTGTCTGCGTCGGCGCCATCAACCACAATCCAGTCGTCACCAACGACGCCAACGTCGAAAAACCAGTCCCAAACTGAGACTGCAGAATCAAGATATGTCGATTTCTGATCAGCAGAAACCCGATTGGCTAACCCAGCAGCCAACGTGATATAGAGCTCTTATACATTGGGTAAGACTTTGATGTAGAGAATGGTGCGTAGGGCCGACTTACCATTAGCAATAGACGCAAGATAGGTACCTCCCTTTTCCCAGATAATCCCACCACATGATGATTTGTATTGAGAAATATCATTGTAGATGCTAATGGCCAGGTTGAGATAGTCTGGATTCTCAGTCAAATCATACACCGTCAACCACGCGACTCCCCACCAGGCCTCGTCGTCGTCATAGGAGTCGATGAAACCTGTGTAGTCCCCATAGCCCGGCGCATTGGCGTATGTTGTGGCGTAGGTATCAAAGTAAGTTCCGTTGTAGCTAGAGTCGAGGGAGGAGATGTCCGCAAGAGCGGTCATGAAAATTGCCGATTGCCACCAGTCATTGTCTCCCCAAAGGCCCGAATTATATGTTTGGTAGTACCGCATCAATTGGTCACTTCAAAGAGCTTTAGTGAAAGATGTCCATGAACTATGAACTCAAGGAATAACTACCAGGCGCAGATTGCATTTTGTTGGTATGACGAAGCATCCGCTGAGACCGAAGTCAAAGCAATTGCGAAGGAAATAAAGCCTATAATTAGGGCTGCCATTGTGGCAAGTGTCTGGGGGTCGGATTTTGAGGTTATTTGGCTCTCTTATGTATAATGCCGTTCCCATTCCGGCACGGTCTTTATTTGACCGTGCAGCCACTTTCTCCTAGTAATGTCTCAGATCCCATGCACCCTTTATTATATATATGGTAAGATCGGCTATTGATTATGTACCGTTACATATTCTATCTATGCAGCTTACCAAGGCAGACCTCCAAAGAGGCGTCGAGGCGCAGGAATCGTCGCCCCCAAGTCTGAACGTGGGCAAGTGCCATGATCGTTTAATAACTGGCGGCTTATTCCGTCAGATGGGGGCTGCAGATTGAGAGAAAGGTTTCTGTGTAAGATTTGATACTGGGTTGAGAGAGCGCTTTTGATAAGTTGAATCAGCCTTGGAGCTTACCGAGTAGGGGCCGAGACGGTTTTTGACTTAGCGCCGCCGATCGAAGATCACAGCCTGAGACGCCTGAAATGCATCCATCGCTGTATACGGATACGCACTCCGGCATTCCTGGGGAAATTATGACTGATAACCAGCATTGCACGCCACGGGTGTCGGTCGTCACTTGCCAGCCATCAGGCATTTGTCAAACTTCAATTCCACTTAGACTTGACAACTATTGCATGCCAGATAAGCGGCAGCTGATTCAAAACTATCTGGATCCACTAAGAGACCATTGTCTTTCCCCAGATCTAGCAGCCCTCTCAAAGCAGCTAAATGTAGATTCAACATCGGAATATGGCCAATATTCACCCGAGGCGACAGGGTTAGCGTCACCAAGATTACTTGTAAAAATTCCTTCGCTCAGTGATAACCAGTGTCATAATATCTCACTATAACTATCAGCATTGAATGGCCGTTCACCCCGATGACGCCACTCCGCCTTGTCCAAGTCCCGCTCTCCACACCTTTATTCCCTCCTCTTCCAACAACACCTCCAACCTAACCAGGGGATATTTCCTCTACCCTATTGCCCCTATTCTAATTCAATGTGATTCTCCCAAGACGCAGGGCAATGCCACCACCGCGCGCCGCAGCAGCCGCCTTCGTCTCCCTCCACCCTGCGGCGCACACGACCATCGCATCATCATCCGGCATCTCTCACGCCCATGCCAACCACCGACCTCAAGCGCATAGAATCCAACTACAAACACGACTACATCCCCCAATACTATCCTCTCGAACAACCCCATTCTCAACATCCACACACCGCTCCGCCACCGCCCACGAACCAAACTACTACGAGATCCTGGATATCCCCGTAACCGCGACAGCAGCCGAGATCAAAAAGTACCTCCATTTCCCCCTCCCTCCACCATTTCTCCTAAATAACTAACTCTCCCGCCACCGAAAGACAATTCTACGCTCTCTCCCTGCGTCACCACCCAGACCGCAACCGCGCCGACCCGAACGCCTCACAGCGCTTCGCCCGCATCTCCGCCGCGTACAACGTCCTCGGCAGGGCCTCCAAGCGTGCCTCCTACGACCGCGAGCATGGATTCCATCATGCGCAGCAATCACATAGTCACACGCATCCGATGGGGAGTCATAGTAGCCACTCAGCACACCACCACAAGGGAGGTGCAGGAGGAGGAGGGAGCTATGCCGGGTCCAGACCTGCAAGCGGACTGAGTAAACGCCGCGGCGCGTTCAGGGGTCCGCCGCCGAGCTTCTATGAGCAGGGGGGATATGGGGGGACCGGGAGGACGGCGGAGGGGTTTGCCGGGGGTGGCTTTTCTGGAGGATCGTCAAGTGCATGGGGAGGATTTGGGGGGAAGAAGAAGAAACAGGAAACAGACCCCGAAGACCCAACCGCGTTTATAGACCGCAACCCGCTAGGCCATTTCAATGCTCGCGGCCACTTCAGGACGCAGACTGCTGAAGATGTGCGGCGGCGCGAACGCCGGTCAAGAGCTAGGGCTGCTGCTGCAGAGAATCTTGCCAATTCGTCTGGTGCGGGACCCGGGGACTTTGCGCTACGGTTTATGGTTGTTTCGGGGAGTTTGATGATCGCGGGGGCGATGACAGGTTTGTTGAAGTGGCCTGGGGCTGCTGGTTCTGGTTCTTCCGGTTCTGCTACTACGTCTACGGGCACAGGCACAGGTGGCAAGAAATCGGGGAGTGCGGGGGGCCGTGGAGAAGCTGTATCTGGACCATGAGGTAGAGTAGAGAGATCATGACGATGATGATGTACATAGACAGACACCCCTCCCTCACTAGCTACTTGTACCAATACCAATATTATTCTTATAGATGAAAGAGAATAAATGAACATTGAATTCAACAAAGGAAAAAATAATTTCGATTTGATATACAAAGGTGTTCGAGAGAAAGGACTACGATACACACAATCTCGGAGCCAACCCATATTCGCCAAATCTATGCGTTTCAGTAGGAAACAATCACAGAGATGAATCAAAGAAATGGCTCCTCAAATAGCGATCAGATCAGAACAGAATGACATGTTTAAGCCTCGAAGGTGAAGCTGGCGCCGACCTTGTGGGCGGCCTGGTTCAGGTTCTGGGTATCGAAGGAAGCACCCAGGCCGAGGGTGACGCCGGGGCGCAGGAGGACGTTGTAGGCCAGGGCGGCGATACCACGGTCGTTGATCTTGGCCTGTAATCACAAGATTAACGCATGATTGGATGATATATGGAAGGGGGAAAACATACCTTGGCGAAGGAAGAGGGGTCCAGGCGGTACTTGCTGGCGACCTCGAGGCCAACAGCGTTACCGGAGGTGGAGTCCCACGAAGCCTTAGCACCAGCCTCGACCTGCGCGTTGACGCGGTGGTAGTAGCTGGCCGAGAAGAGGGACAGGTTGTTGCTGGCAGTGATGGCAGCAGAGTACTGAGCGACGCTGTAGCCGACAGCAGCGGAGTACTTGGTGATAGCGGCCTTGTTGACATCGTAGCCACCCTCAGCACCGACGAGGAAGCCCTCGTGGCCGAGGACAGCGTCGAAGTTAGCGGAGGGGCCGTTCAGCAGGTCGAAGAAGGCGCGGGCGTGCACGTTGGGCTGCTTGAAGTACAGGTTCAGCTTGGCGCCCTTGGACTGCTTGGCGGGCAGGTACTGCGTCAGGATCTCAGCCTTGAGGCCCTTGGCGAAGTTGTTGTCCAGCTCCAGCTTGGTGTCGAGAGCGTTGGCGGTGGTCCACGCCTGGGTGAGGGTGAGGCCTGTTCCCGGGGTAAATATTAGCTTGAGTCCATGCAGGTAGGTATCGGAGGTCAAAAAGAGGTTCACCCGGTACGCGGTGGGAAGTCCGCAGAAGAAGAGGAATCTCATGGGTGGATTTCCGCGCGCACAGGGTTCGGGTTCAGGTGGTTTGCAACGAGTGGGAAGGGGGGTTGCGGGTGGGTGGGCCTTTACCAGTAGGCGCATCAACGTATTTGGCTTCGAGCTGTAGTAGCGGGCGCGCTTCAATTAGCCAGTCTGTTTTGGGTCGTTTGGAGCAAGGACACCCACCTGTCCAGCAATGGGACCCTCGTGGGCCGACTTGCCCTTCACGGTGAAGGTGACACCATTGGGAGCCTTGGACTTGACCTCGAGGTTGGCTGTGATTCAGTCAGTCATGAGCTGTGGAGATTTCTTGAAGATTCAGGGGACTCACCCGGGTTGGCGTGGTAGAAGTCCTTGTTCAGGAGCTAGGGCGGGTAGTTAATTAGCAGGGGTCTTATTGGGCGGGACATCAGGTTCCGCGGTTGTGACAAAGAGAGCGTACATCGTTGGCCGCCTTGGCGATGTCAGAGAAAGCAGCAGGAGTGGCCATGGTGACGGATGAGGTGGAACGAGTCGAGAGAGACGCGAGGTGTGGGTGGTAAAAGGGGGTGTGGAGGAAGGAAGAGGAGGAAGGGAAGGGAACAAGTGCCGAAGAAAGCGAGCGATGAGGTGTTGTTGGGGGGAGAGAGGAAGGGGCACATTAGATCAGCAGTCACGTTGCCCCCTACAATTGGTTGACTGGCTGCGACGGCCGGGTAAAGCCGCCGTGACCATTCGTGCCTGAGGCAGCAAGACAACCCAACAAAAACCCTAACTGCGGTTGTAGTAGGGGCAACGAGTAGTTCCAAGGTTGTCGTATATACATTCTATTCCCATTCACTAGTCTTCAAGCGGTGCTAACTAAATCCAAAACAACCCTTTTTGTATTTTCCAGCTTACTCGGCGCTATCGTACTTGGCGTTGTGGGTGGAGATGGCCCTGCAAGATGGCGGTCAGTAAACAACATTCGTGACGCATGAAACAATCAGTCCAAACTCACCGGCCACTGGGGTCGCTCTGCTTCGACCAGGTCGGGGTCCAGCGCTCGACGGTACCCGCGCAGGAAGGCGGGAAGTGCTCGTCGAACATGGTGCGGTACCAGTACGCCTCCTTGGTGTCGGGGATATCCGTACCCCATTCGGGCTTGGGGTTCTTCATCATCTCGTCGGTGACCTGCTTCTCAGCGGTGTCCTTGAGACCATCGATCCAGCTGTAGCCGACACCGTCGCTGAACTGCTCCTTCTGGCGCCACAGGATCTTGTCCGGCAGGTAGGCGGCGACGTCGGGCTCGTCGGAGGTATCAAAGGCCTTGCGTAGGATGTACTTCTCGATGCGGTCCTTGGTGATCATCTTCTCTTGCGGGTCGACGCCCATGCAATCCTCCAGGAACTGCTTGTCAAGGAACGGCACACGCGCCTCGAGACCCCACGCCGAGGTCGACTTGTTGGCGCGCAGGCAGTCGGCCAGGTGCAGGTCCTTCACGCGCCGCACGGTCTCCCTGTGGAACTCCTCCTTGTTCGGCGCCGCGTGGAAGTACAGGTACCCGCCGAAGATCTCGTCGCTGCCCTCGCCGCTCAGAACCATCTTGACGCCCATCGCCTTGATCTTGCGCGACAGCAGGTACATCGGGGTCGAGGCGCGGATGGTCGTCACGTCGTACGTCTCCAGGTGGTAGATGACATCCGAGAGGGCGTCCAGACCGTCCTCAATCGTGAATTCAAAGGCATGGTGCTTGGTGCCCAGGAACTTGGCAACCTCCAGGGCAGCCGCGGTGTCCGGCGCGCCGGGGAGACCGATGGAGAACGAGTGCAGCTGCTGGAAAGTGGTGACAGTCGACAGCTCGTTGCTGTCGTCAATGCCGACAAGCTCCGAGGATTCGGTTTGGTTCTGTACAGCAGCACGAGCGGCATCCTGCATGCGCAGGGTCTCGCGCTGCGCAATGGACGCAACCAGACTGGAGTCCAGACCGCCAGACAACAGCACGCCGTAGGGCACCTCGGCCATGAGACGCTTGCGCACAGACTTCTCCAGGCTGTGGCGGATCAACTTGTAATCGATCGGGGTCGACGGCACGTTGGTCGGGTCCCACCACTTGGGCTCGAAGTAGCGCGTCAGCTTGTCGGCCTTGGAGTCGTAGACGTGGCCCGGCGGGAAAGCAATGATGTCGTCGCAAACCGGGTGCAAGCACTTGAGTTCCGAGGCGAAGTACACGGCGCCGGGAGTGGAAGACGACCGGCCCAGGTAGAAGCTGGTGATACCAATGGGATCGCGGGCAGCAACCACACGGTCCTGCTTGCGGTCATACAGAACCCAGGAGAACATGCCGTCGAGGTGCTTAGGGGCATCGAGACCGTGCTCCATATACTAGAGGTTTATCATATCAGCAACCGCCATCTGTGCACATGTATTAATTGCGTCCGACATACTAGAGGGATGATGACTTCGCAATCCGAGTGTGTCTTGAAGTTATACTTGGTCTTCATGGTTCTCCGGAGGATGCGGTGGTTGTAGATCTCGCCGTTGACGGCGAGGGCGAGGGAGCCATCCTCGTTAACGAGAGGCTGAGCACCAGAGTCTGGAAGTGAAGCAGCTTTAGCGAGTGGAATTGATCCAGTATTGCGAACCACCTACCGACACCGACGATACTCAATCGCTCGTGCGCAAGGACTGCGAATGACTCAGTTAGCCCTAGCCGGCGACAGCGACACGCGACCCTTCAATTGAACTCACTAGTCTTGTCGGCAATGAAGTTTCCACCTGTCCAATGCTGTCAGCATCAATCATTCCCCCAAAAAACCCCCCAAGTATTTCCAATGACTCACTCCAATCAGGACCACGATGGCGCACACTGATCAAGAGAGGTTAGCGAGCCAATTGCACCAATTCAGTCAGGGAACACTCACGCCTTGGCCATGCGCAAGGCCGTAGGCTTGAACTTTTGCACATCCGGGTGACTAGAGGAAGCTCCTGGTTAGCAATGACTCAATTCGCAACCCCATCATTCGCCTTCCGTTCCGAGGAGGGGAGGGCGGCGGGGTGGGAGGCAATGAGTTAGGGCTAGGGCCGATAACGCACTGGTGGCACGCGAAGATTCCACACATGATGGGCGAGGGATTGTCGCAAGCGTGAGGAGAGGGTGAGAAGAAGGATGGAGGAAAGTGGAAGAGAGCGAAGGAGAAGAGCAATTGACTAAGCGCGGGTATGGGGAAGAGGAACCGGGCGAGATTTTTCTTTTTACGATCGAGGGGCGATGTCGGAGTCTTTGAGTCACCGATAAGATAACGGTCTTCCGCGACTACACTGACCGACGGTGTATTCTACAACGGTAGTTCTAGGGTCGACCACACCTATACCACTCGGAAGTATCCTGGTTATAATTCTAGTGGTCGCACTGCAAGCGCCATTCATTGTTAAGAAACGCCGCGCTCGCGATGTCCTAGCCAGAAACAAAAAAAGATATGTGTCGCTCCCTTCGCCTAAATCAAACACCAAAGGAATTACCATATGCATCATGCGCGCCACATCCCACAGCCTACGCGGGCTGGTTCTCGCGGACAACTAGTTTAACCCGCTTCTCATAGGCCGCGCGATCCTTCTTGAACAGGTTGTAGGCATCGGCTTGCGCCGGCGACTCGGGGTTGGGATCGTCCAGCAAGTCCTGGATCCCCAGCAGGATCTGCTTGATCGTGATCGCGGGTCTCCAGGCCTCCTCCTCGTTCAGGATGGAGAGGCAGACTGTCCCGGAGGGGTAGACGTTGGGGTGGAAGAGAGGCGGGGTGAATTTGCCTGGCGTGGATGAGGGTTAGTTATGCGCCACGGAATCGCATCGCGGAGGGAGTAGTCGTCGCAAGATACGTACACTTTGGTGGCTTGGTGGGATATTCTAATATACCAGCAGCCAGTCAGTATGAAGAAGATACAATAGAGCAAACATTGAGAGCAAACGACTCACCATCCGGAAAGAGGACATCAAGCTTGAACAGCCCGCCCTCCCAAAGCGTCTTGGCCTTTCCGGGGATCGCGCACTCCCAGCGCTTCAAATCGAGCGCCCCCTTATCCGTGCGAGCGGGTTTCGCGACGAAGCCGAACGGGTGGTCTTTTCGCCATTGCTTGCTGTCAGATTCCGGACAGTCAGCTCTGCGCGTTCTTGCCTGTCTTGCCTTGCGACACACTGCGAATGGAAGAGGGTCACTTACCGCTCCTCTTGCAGGCGATTCTGGCACAGCGACATTCTTGTTCAGGTGCTGGCTGCGCAGTCCAGTGCGGAGCTCCTTGTGTGGACGGGTTGGCGAGATTGGTTTTTGGGACGGTGTTGTATTGCGCTTGAGCGACTGAGACGCCCGGATATAACTCGTGCTCTAGGTGGGAGAGGAAGAAAGAGCGAGAGGTGAGGTGAGGGAGGCGAAGAAGAAGAGATCAGACGAAGGCAATCGCCGATCCAGCGTGGAGGGGATTAGGTAAGCAATCACAACGGCTGGCTGCTTTGACCATGTATAAAGAGCATTGGTTGACGGGGATTGCCTGTAGATTTATCTTTATACAAACAAAAGAGAATATACAGTCTGCAAGACAAATTGATACAAGACAAGAATTGTGATACTCCGTGAACAGGGATGTCCAGCAAGACTTGACCTAGCTGTCAGATTTGTTGTAGGGGAGACCCGACGTACTCTTGTAGAACATCATACACACAAAATCCATATTTAAGGGGCCCACATTCCTAGATAGAGTCTCGGGAATGTTTGCCATCTCATCATTTCAACTTCAGTCAAACCATCCTCAATCCACCTCACACTCCCAATCTGCAAGCAAAACATACATACCTTCATTCCACATACCAGGGCCAACAACCAACACAAAACACCATGTGCCACGGCATAGTCTGGTACCACGCCCTGTGCCTACACCAAAACATATCCAAATCCTCTCTAGTCTTCTGTCTCGACGCCCTGACAACAGGAGACGACTGCCTGCCCGCCGTCCAGGAAGTGCTCTACATTCCTTTGGCGGGATGGTGCTGTGTCTGCAAGCACGAGCAGTGGCGGAGATATCGACGATACCGGCGGACAAAGCGGCGGCGACAGCAGGAACATGAAGTTGCGGCGGAGGCAGATACAAACGAAGACGGGGTTTCTCAAATCGCGAAAAAAAGGAAGCAGTCTCATGGGAACGACAGCCAGTGCATGGATGTTGACGCAGATCATGTCAGCCCTAAACAAGGGCGACATCATCGCGTTGTGGATACACGTTGGCCAGATGGGCACGATGTGTCTACGGCAGAATACGTCGAGTCAATTCCCGCGGAAGAAGGTCAACTCGGACCATGCCCTCCCAGAGGTCGGCCCAGACATCGACAATCATGGATTCCCGTGCCGAAGGTTCAACCTCGGAAATCAGAGCCAGCCCCGTATCTGGAGACCAGTGAGGACGAAAGGCAATGCCGTCGTCGTCCGCGGCAGTCGTTGATCCCTGTCCCGGCAGGGAAGTTCCAAAAAAGACAGCCATCAGGGACGACGCGGCCATTGAAAGCAAATGATAGTGATAGGGATTCCTTCGTTGATGATTTTGAAATGTTCGATCAGGAGACTTTCTGATTTGCAGCATATTCGATTGCTTGGTTGGGCCAAAGCATCATAGACATCGAGGGATTATCATTCCATTTCATTTCAGACAAGATCATGTCGAATCCCGGGTTATATTATGTACATCAGTCGATATAGATTCCTTTCGCGAACTTCTCGGGGTCGAAGAACCGCGCTCCGATTTTATTCCCGTTGAAGATGCGTCCTTCTAGCGCATTGACGGCCTGTCATATAGTGTCTTGTCAGTAGACGCTAGAACATAAGATGATCATGAAGACGTACCCGTAGAGCAGATAATGGACTGGTGAACTTGACGAAGACCGGGACCGGTTCACCCGCATCTCGGGCGATGAAGACTCGTTCCACGCTTCCGTACTGCACATAGCATCAGTATCCGGAAGGACTGGGACATGAATGGGGATAGAAAAAAATACCTTCTCAGAACACTCCTCCCCAATCTCCTGCATCAGTCCACCACCTTCGCCAGTCAACTCGGCCTCCAAATCCATACCATCCAACATGCCCCTCAAAACAATCACCTCACTCATAGCTCCAAACTTGCCCTCATCGTCCCCGCCCTTCCTCTTACCCCCAGTGATCTTCCCCCTGCCGGCTGGCGTCGCGAATCCTCCGCCCTCCGAGTCGGGGCGTTTCTTCTGCTTCTCAACTTTCACCTGCAGCGGCTTGGCAATACCAGAGCCCGTGGCGCCGAGTCCAGAGCCCTTGGTCCAGCCGTATTTGGCAAGAAGCCGCTCGGCGAAGCCCTTTTGGCCCGGTCGTAGTGAGCGTGGTGCGTCCTCGTCTGCGTCGGGTTCTTCTGAAGGTTGTTCTTGCGCGAATACGGCTTCCAGCTCGGCTTCTGAGGCGGGGATATCTTCTGGTGGTGGTGGTAGGGTGTAGCGGACTGGTGCGCGGGAGATGGTTGCAGAGCTGGGTTGAATGGTGTCGAGAGGGCGTGAAGGTGGTGGTGGTGGATTCTCTGCTGGCGGTTGAACTCCGCTCCGTTGTAGTCGTCGCATGTAGGCATCTTCCCCGGTAGGATCGTCGGCGATCGGGGCGGGGGGTTCTGTAGGCGGGGGAGGTGGCGGAGATTCGTTATGAGCCATAGGCCAGTTATCACCGGAGCGTTGACTCATGCGCATCCGTCGAGCAAATGCATCTTCGCCGAACGCATCGTCAGGGACCGAGGCCGGGGGTGGAGGGGGCGCGTTATTGATATTCGGCGGCGGTGCGAAGCTGGGGGGAGCGAATTGACCTGTGAAAATACTCAGCATGGAATCCATGAGAAGCAAGCTAAAAATAAAACCATACGGTTCCGTGGCCGGTCATAGTCCTCACTATCCGAGTCCATGCTCGGTGAGCGTCTCATCCGATGAGCATACAGCCGGTCCTTCCACTCGCGGACCTCGAAAATCTTCTCATCGCTATGCCGGTATTCTTCGTAGTTGTTCGGCCGCGACGGATCATAGATATCATCCCAGTTCTGCGTGGCAGCATGCGCTTCGCGATTCTTCTTGCGTTTCTTCCTGCCGCCGCGCTGCCGCTTCTCGCCCATATAGTACCCATTGTAGTCATCGTCTCCCGTGCCAGCCCAGTCGGCAAGCGTGCTTTTCGGAGGTGCGGCGGGTGCGGGGGCAGGGTTCTGGGTAGCGGAGGAGGGCGCGGTCTTTGGTATTGAAGGTTTGGGTTTCGGTTTCTGGGCTGAGAGCTGGGGTCTTTTGGTGGGTTGGAAACGGAGGGAAGCTGAAGAAGTGAGTACAGGAGTTGGATTGAGGGAAGATGAGTGAAAAGTACCAGCATTCAGTTGCTGCTTCTTCACAGCAGACTCGTCGGGTTGCGCGTCGGACTCGGAGCTCTGTTTAAAGACGACGGGAGCGCGGGAAATGGTGCCGGGGGCCTCTGCGGAGGGGTCGAGCAGGTTGGCGTACAAGGACATCATCCCCCCGCCTTTGGACGGGGTGGATTCGGGGGCCATGATGGATGGATGTAGGTTGGTCAGGGAGAGAAGTTGGAGAATCCAAGTGATGTTGCGATAAGATGGATGTTTGGCTGTTTTGCACTGAAGGCGGTCGTGCACCATAACTTAGGGTAGGTATCCAGTAACCTCATGGTTTGGTAATGATAAGATTCGGGACTTTAAAAGAATATCGAAATAGTGAGTTTACGAGAAGAAATAAGGAAGGTGTTATTCATGCCACATTAGAGGTTGTCGCATTAGAGGTTGGCAAATGAGGACCTCGGTCTATGTGTAGTAGGAGTGGCCTGAGCTAGCTACAACAGTTCTGGAGCCAAAAGAAGTCCCATAAGCATTGGTCGCAGCTCTATATAGGCATCTTATGCGTAATCGTCCTCCGTGGCTTCCTCAGTTCGTGTAGACCCCTGCATGCTTGCATATATGCCTCTCTACCACCTCCAAACAGCAGAATATCTAACATGTTAGAGCTGCTCACGCACAGCAGACTTGAACTAATTTCCCCCAAGAAAGTAAAGTCAGCACACAGTCAGCACTCTCAACCCCAGGTAGAGTTAAAGCGGCGGCCCGCGCGGCTATCGACGGAGGGAAAAAAGAGAGACATACGGGAATAATCTGCGCATTCTCCAAATCCCACACACCAGAAGTGCCGTAGATATCGTTAGCAAGCAGCTGGCGCACCTCGGCCTCGGACTCGGCCACGGCGAGCATCATGCTCCCCTTAAAGGAAGGGGTTTCGCCCTCGGTGGGGTGGGAGTTGAGCATCGCGCCTGTGGTACCGGAGATTAGCGACGAGGTTGTGATCAATTAATGCATCGCAGAAATGAGATTAATAGGTATAAAGGAGTTGAAAGGGATGGAGACAAAATTCTCCGGCTGGGTGGAAAGTTGGGGATGGTTATAGAAGGAAGAGCAGAGAGGACGTACCACCAGCAACGACCTTGCCAGATGCAACCAAAGGCTTGACGCCCTCCAGATGCGCTCTGTTCGAATCAAAAATCAGCACAATCGATCGATTGGGATCAATCATAAGAAGACATCATTATAGGGGGTATGGTAAGGTATGGTATGATATGGTGGGGTGAAGCCACGTACGGTCGAACCTCGATGCGCTTCGCCATCGCGCCGGGCTTATCCGGCAGGATGCACAGGAACTCCTTCTTAGCGGGGGCAGACATGGTGCGTGAGAAGGAACGGTATTGTTGTTGAATTGAAGAAGGGTAGAGTAAGGGGTGTCGTTGGTGTCGGGGGACGAGACGGAGGGATGAGAAGGAAAAGGACGAATAATGCGGGACGGCGCGGGGGACCTGTCGCCGAAGGGCGTGGGGGGAGCAGCCGGGAACACGAAGCGTCAAACTGGCGATTGGCATTGTTATGACAGATGATATCCTAGTACTCCAGTCACTCGGCAGGGGATTCTGTTAGGTCGGGCAAGGGGCTGTTGGTAGGTCTTGGGGTTGTTCAGATCGGCTCTGGGTTTTCATTGCGGCGGAGAGGAGGACATGGCTCTGCCGAGGATGTATACACACCAAGGATTAACGCTTAGATGATTTTTAAAAAGAAATACGGGTCTAGAACAAGGATTCTCTCATTGGATTGACACATAAAACATTATAGGAAATCCAACAGAGACCGATTCAAAGTCCTAGTTCAGTGCGCAAAGGTCCACAAACAAGAGGATCGAGATAGAGACGTATCTCTACAAGAGTCACAAAACAACAAAAAAAATTCAGTACAGTATATCAAGACAAGAAGAAAGTCTGGAAAAGGACCGGCGGAATCTATAGGCCTTGCAAGTCCCGCCAAACAGCATTTTCCCCGGAGCGCCAAAGATAACAAATACACACCCCCACACAACCCACACTCACTCCCTATAGTAGTAACGCGACACGAGATGGGATAAGTGGAAATCATTAGGCTTCCGTCGCGAGATCATCCTTCACACGAGAGAAAAGTAAAAGAAAAAGATCACAGTGGAATGGTAAAGGAAAGATGCCGCCAGCCATCACATATAGGTTGCGGATGCCAACATGGTCACTCAGGGAAAAGCAAAGGATGATTCGGAGACGGATCGAGTTCATTCAAAGATCAACTTTGTCGAACCCGGAGTGGGCAAGAAGGAAAGCTTAGTACGCCTTGCGATCTCCCAGATTTCCGCCTTTCTCATCGGTATCAATGTGCCAGACCACGTAGTTGGGCAGGCCGACTACCTGATAACCGGCGCGTTTGGCCATGCGCGCGAACCCTTCAGTCTCAGCTTGGTTCTCGAATGCGTATGCGGGGAAGTTGATGCCGGAGCGGTGGACATCGGCCTTGACCAGGATGTTGACACCACCAATGCCGTCCAGCTCGACCTCCTCATCCTTGTTCTTTCTCCAGTCACCCATGCTGACGAGGTAGGTTCGGCCGGTGTCATATTCCTTGTAGCCTTCCGCCAGAACGGTGTCGGGGGAAAGGGTTGCTCGTAACCGCCGGCCCTTGTCGGATTCGATCCACGAGTTGTAGTCAACTATACGAAAGGAACGTTAGCGAATTGATGCAGCACACAGGTCAGACTTGAGAACATACAGCGACCCTCGATATCATGGCCGTCCCTATAGCGGTGGAACCAAATGTCTGCAAATCTCCTGTTAGCCAAATGAATCCCAAACTTATCATGGGATTTACATACTCGGCACGAGGATGTCCCTGTCGTGAGCGATGAAGTCCTCAATGATCCGCTCAGGGCAATCCACGATATCGACATCACGCCAGTACACCCAGGAGTGGTCGGGCTTGAGCGCCGAATAAAGGAGGTAGTTACGAGCCCGGCCGATAGCCTTCCGGCGCGGACCCTGTGCAGCAAACGAGTGTCGCTCCTCCACGGTCATCTCGACGTCGGCGCCGAAATCCTTTCGCACGATGGTGGCGCTCCGGAAGGCAATCTTGTCTTCGGCGTGGTTCTGGATGCGATCCAACTCTGCCGCCAGGTTGGCCAGTGTGTCATCTTTGCAATCCCCGACGAGGAAAGCCAGGTCGATCAGTTCATGGGGGTAGGTCAGTTTGTAGAGGAGCTCGAAGTACTTTTGCAGGTAGTCGGCGGCGTCGCGGAGAGGGGTCAGGATGAGTACTCGCTCGCGGTTGGCGATGGCTTGGGAGGACGAGCGGATCGGGTTGAGGTCGACTTCGGAGATGGAGGTGCTGTTGACTTCGTAGGGGTCATGGTGGTTGAAGAGGACGGGGGTCTGGGAGTGCGCGTTCCACTCGACCATCTCGTTGATGGACATTTCCATCGGCGACTTGGACGAGCCGTAGCAGTAGAAACTGGACAATCATAAGAATAAATGCAGGGTAGATAATAATGCGGTCGACATACTTTTGCATGCCCGACGCAGACTTGCTGACACCTCGCCACAGCAAGATCAGCAATCCCGTCGCGGCCACCGACACCAAAAAGCGAGTTCGTGTTAACAGGGTCACGATAGCGCGCCATGGAGGCAGCCGGCCCCGGGCGGACTTCCAATTCATTTCACCCTTGGACATCAACATTTTCACCGATGCAAAACGAGGGACGGGCGGAAACAGAGAAAGCGGACGGATCGGGCTCAGGAGCCTTCACACACGGCAACGAACCCGGGGTCTCGATCTCCAGTTGTCGAAAACCCCCCTGCCGGATGATGGTGGCTCAAGCGGGTGACCACGATCGTATCACCCGATAGAGAAACTGGTGATGTGGATGTGGTGTGGTGGGGAGGTGAAACGAGGTCCAGGCAAAGATAAAGGGAGGAAGAAAAGAGAGGAGGACGGGATCGTCGGGGCTGAAAGGTGGCTCGGCGGAGCAAGTCATCAATTAATCAACACTGGCAAAAAAAGAGATGCACAGAACCAAAAGTCTACGAATGTTGTTATTATAGTTGCATAATTACGGTCATGTTGAATTGTGATGGACTGTGAAAGGCTAGAGTTCAGAATTACCTATGGTGGTTAAAGGGGTCGTCTGGTCCGGACCGTCGCCACGATTCCTTAGGCCACGGAAAGACCCTTCTTTTTTTATTTATAGCACAGCCGGCCGCTGACCTTTGGACACTCCTACGTGGGTGTGGGAGTATTCAGACTATATCCCTGGTCAAATTAGAAGTATGTACAGATGGATATACTTTGGTGGTTTCCCATATTTCTCTTTTTTTGTGTACGGGGTAGGCTGCTGAGATTCGGCCTCGTTGGTTGGTGCTTTGATCGCTTCATTTCCCGCATTGCGTGTCCCTGGTCGCAGATCACGCCTTTTGTAGCCGCACAAGTACCAATACAACACTGATCAACTACAACAGTCAAGACCAACAACTAACTATATCATAAACCCTGGGGTAGAATGCTATTCGTCTGCTCGAATCGTGCTGGGACAAAGAATGATCGGAAATTAACGAAGGTGGACTGAGACACGCGGCACAACAAAGTGAGACATCTACAAATGTACACGAGGGCAAAAGCGTAAGAAGATATGATCAATTGGCTACCAAAATTATAGGCCATAGGAAAAGAGACCAAGACAAAAGAAACAAAGGAAGACTGAAATGAAAACCGTCCGCCCGAGCATATATCCGTATGTTCACAAGCGCCAAATGACAACAAAAGAGATAAGAAGGATAAAAGAGCCACCCGTTTTTATATGAGAAAGGGAAAAAAAATGAACCGTTGAAGAGAAAAAAGAAGTGAAAGAAAAGTTCACGGTCAAGCAAAGCAACCACACGTCGGGAGAAGGAATATAGTGTTACAATGCAGACGCTAAAGGTCACATACAGCGGGAGCCGTCCTTGGGGGGTCCAGCGCTGTCTGCAAGGGAGGAAGGTCGAGAAGGAGAAATCATCAACGTATCAACATCAACATGGACATGATCATAGAACATGTGTATCATCAGGGTTCCATTTTCATGGAGAGGCATTCATCGACTCGCGACGCGAGGCCGAGAGAGGGAAAGAGGAGATAGCAGAGTGAGATAGGGGGAACGCAGGAGAGGGAGGAGCAGTCGTGCAAGGCGTGGCGGTCAAGTAAGAGCTGCTGAAGCACTGGGAGGTAGCGCTGGGCAGGTTATCGGGATGAGCGGACAATGGTTCGGGGGCCATGTTGGCGATCTCGCCGCAGAACACACGCATGCCCGGCAGCGCCGCCCTCTTCTGGCGCTTATGCTCGGGCACGTCAACGATGGGGGTAGGGCTGGTGCTCTCGGCCTTGGGAGAGCGGAACATCTGCTCGTAGGACTTGAGCTGGAACTCCAGAGCACGGTTGCGGTCGACCAGCAGCTCGTTCTCGGCCTTGGTAGCCTTGAGCTGCTGCTGAGCTGTCTGGTTCTCCTGCTGGAGAGAGTTGACGAGGTTCTGCAACTGCATGCAGCGGAACTGGGGCTGCAGCTTCTCTGACAGCTGGGGAGAAACCTGTTCCTGACGCATGAGATGCACGATGATGGCAAGCATGAAGTCAATCAGATACACCGCACCCTGAACGATGTGTTCCTTGGACTGCGGCAGGCTCTTGGACGGGTTCCAGCCAGCACGCTCCAGGAAGAAATTGTGGATGCGGCTGTCGAGCTCGCGGTGCAGCGTGCTCAGGTTCTTGCGCCGGTTGCCCTCGGCAATGCGGTGCTTCTCGCGCTGGTCGTCCGGGTCATTGGACAGAGGGCTGCCCTTGCGCTTGCGGCCGCACAGCTGCTGAAGCGGCGGCTTACGGTTGATGTTGGGTGGAGCAACAAGGGCCATGATCTCCGCCTGGGACAGGTCGGTCGCCCAGTCAGCGGAGCCGGCCTTTTGGGCAGCAAAGGACTCCTGCCAGGAGCTTTCGGCAGAGTTGGCAGGAGAAGGAGGAGCAACAATGTGCTCGGCGGCCGCCGAGTAGGGCGACTTGAACTGGAATGTAGTTTCATGGGGACTGGGGGTACTAGGTCCAGCCGCCAGGGTCTCCTTGGCGTTGAATGGGTTGAACGGCCCACGAGGAAGCGGCTCAATGCGCGGCAGAGGAGGCAGGCGGCGGTCCTCGCCCAGGTCAGACGAACCCATGCCGGAAGCAATGGTCTCTTTCAGGGCCCTGCGTTGGCCGGTCAGCATTGGAGCCCAAATGCTTTAGCATGTATATACTCACGGAAGAGAGCAGCGGCGCGGGATATCATCAGTCATGGAGTCCATTTCCTCATACATCGTGTCAAGGTCGT